AAAAAGTTGCACCTAGAGTCAAGAAGCTCGGGTAACGCAGAGTAAAGCTTGAGAATCATATCCCACAGGAGAAGCCTTCTATCAAGGAGATCCTCGGGGCTACGTCCCTGCAGTAGAATTTGTTGTCGGGAGGATTGATATGGCGGGACAACGATAAGGGAAACGGCTAAATTATCAAACTGCAACCACACAAACCAGGAGGATCGCGACGGTTGACCGACGAGAAGTTTCTGTACCTGACGTCCGTAAGGCAATTCAGGGAACAACCTGGCAGGGCGCAAGATTGCTAGCTCGTTTCCAACCAACAGAAGTTGACGATCATGGAGACAAACATCCTGAGAAAGTTCGCAACCTTCAGTGCGACCCCAATAGGCTAACCAAGGTTGACAAGCAGCTTGCCAGGCTACTCTGTCCAAAGCGAGGGTTTCGACAGCAGGAAATGGGGATCTGTTGCGAAAGTTGATCCAGGCCTTCTGAAGTTTGCGGGGGAAACAATCCTGTACGACATTCTTAGGTAACTGGGGTCTACCAACGAGACTGGTGTTGCACGTGCGTAGAACCTGCTGAAGTGGCAAATCGTGGGTGGTGCGGAAAATATGACCCCAAAAAGACCAAATACGAATCAACCACAGCCGAGACCAAGATTCCGAACGGTGATCCTGGCAGATGATTTTGACGGAACGTCTCCTACTTAAGGTGTTCTCGAGGAAAGGGAGGAGGGGATCAAAATCAATGCGCAAAAGAGACAACAGAAGGGTATGCTTAAACGCATCAATGCTACGGAGTGCTCGTTGAGACGGCCAGGCTACCGGGGCACACCAAGACCATTTCGAGGTGAGGTAGCTACGAAAGAGCTCAAGTTTAGTAGCAACAGGGGTACTCGGATGATCAAAAAGTCTCCGCAAACCAAAAAAGGAGGAAGAGACCTTTGCAAGGGAGATGCCGAGCTGACCTAAGGGGGTACACTTATGGGAGAGGGGCACCCCCAAATATACCAAGGATTCGGATCCTGCTAGGGGGGTTGCACTACGAAAGGGCCATACTCCCGGGCATGACCCGTTGTCGTCATGCAAGACGGCACATTTGGCCGTATTGATGTGGAGACCAATGGCAGACAAGCACTGCTGCAAATCGTGAAGCTTACTCTGTAGATCCTCCGCGGAGCATCCCAAAACTAGAATATCGTCTGCATATAGCAACAAATGCGGTAAGCTAAAACGCCGAAAGGTCGGATGTTCCGAAAGCGACCATCTGGTTGAAAGACCCGACACAAAGTAGTCCAACACCCTCGAAAAGATATCCGCGGAAAAGGATGTGCCCTGAAGGACCCCACGTTCAAGACGCTGAGACCACGCGGTGGTGCCGAGTTGCATATCGACAAAGGTGTTGCGGCAAAGCTTCCACAGAGCGGAGGCTTCAGCTGACGGCTTAGTCTCAAGCAGGAATCGTAGTAGGGCATGATGACTTAATGTGTCGAAGGCTTGCGAGATATCAAGCTTCATCATATGAAGGCCCTTGCCCTCGGCTCCCCGAAAAAGTTTCATACAGGTTTGTGCACAGGCGACTGCTTCAAGGCTCTGAACGCCTTTCCTGCACGCATGTTGCCCAGAACGATAAGGAGGGGACGGTTGCAGGCGGGTAATAAGAATGCGCGTAAAGATCTTACACAGACAGGGCGTAAGCGAAATCGGCCGTAGATCTTGGGGCTTACACGGGCGGGGAATTTTAGGGAGAAAACAGAGTTTGCCTCGGGTCCACGTGGGGGGAATCGGTTGTTGCCCAGACAGGACCGAATTGAAATATGCAACGAGTTTGCCGTTCGAGTCTTGGGTAAAGAACTGTCGTACCGCCGAGTAGCAAACTGCATCCTGTCCAGAAGACGTGTTGGGACGAGCATGAGCTAGGGCTTCTTTGACCTCTTCAGTAGTAATGGGGACATGATTAACATCGTGTCGGGAAAGAAGGGCCTGAATCTGCTCCGGTGAAACTTCTGCCTCTCCAGGAGGCAGCTCATATTTACGACGGTAGAAGGCTTGCATGTCATGAACAGCTTTGTCTTGGCCTCCAAGTCGTTCAATGAAACTACCTTCAGAGAAGGTTTGCGAAGCACTCCGACGCAGATGCGTAATAGCCCCTCGGTCACCAGCACGTGCATCAGCTAAGAGCTGCAACTTATGTTCCCGCTGTGCTACAATGCGAGCATCATATATGTCGCGGACAAGTTGTGCCCTTTCTCCTGCATCCGCAGCAACCTTGCGTTGCCTGATAAGTTCTCGGACATGAGGTGGGTCGGAGTATCTACGGGTGGGGAGTCGGGAAGAGTGCTCCGAACACAAGGCTCCAAAAGAATCCTGAGAAAAGACGAAGTCTGGGTCCCGAGCAGCAGAGGACAGCGCATCAGGGGACGTAAACCATCTACCACACAAATGTTTGGGTCTGGGGGGACGTTCTTGAAGGCATGCACGGCCTACAAAACAACCCACGACTGGAGTGTGGTCCGAAGGTAAGGCTTGCATCAGATCTCTACGAAGGTGGTATGACGGCTCGACACCAGGCCACCGGTGGAAGACCCAGTCAATCGAGCTACGTTCATTGCGAGCTTCCCAAGTATTACCCAAAACGGGATTAAATTCCAGTCCTCGATGTCGTGTAAGAAACAAAAGGCGCGACAGTCCGGCAAAGGTTGAATTCGGCAAGGTTAAATTCTGATTACAGTCCATGCCTAAGAGAATGCAATCACAGAAACGGGCCTGGCTGAGGATCTCGTCAAGACGAGCAATAGAGGAAAGCCAAGTTTCTGTGGCATCACTACGTTTCTGGTGGGGGAAATGACCTGTGCCAAGAAACAAACGACGGCCAAAAGCTGTGCACTCGAGAACGAAGCCTACTCCAAAGGAAAGGCGAGACAATACCCTCAAGTCAATCTGATCCCGAAAGAGAAGGCCTGTCGCATGGTGGCTAAGGGGTGCCTGGTGTACGATAATAGTGCATGATTGTCCAGCCAGATCTAGGTGTTCCATACGGAAGTCACCTGAAGGCAAATCAGAGAAACCGCCTAATTCCTGCAGGCAGAGGAAGTCCCAGGGATCTTCCGTTGAGTCAAGAAGGGTCTTAATTTGATGCAAAGATTTACCATGGAGATTCCAGGTAGTGGCACTGAATTCATGTATCGGCTTCGCCCTGCGGGCCTGGCGAGAAAGTCTCGTTGCTTTGGCTGTTGTAGTGGCTGCTAGTCACGCAGTTAACTCAGCTTCAATGGTGTCTTGGTTACGGGGGAGAACCCGGCTGAGAATGCAAAGATCGGCCCACCAACCTGATTCGTTACCCTGCGAGTCGTTCAGAAGGAGGGAGCCATCATGTGGTTTGTGTTGACTGACGTGAAAAATCACCTGTTCACCCCGAATCCAAAGTTTGCCTTTCCAGTCAAGGTCAATAAAAATGGAGTTAATGTGTTGTGCACAATACTCTTTGATCCCCACAAGTGCCCTAATTTTGGCTCGTTCTTCTTTACTACGATTGCGGGAAGCCCAAAGCTTGGAACCCGACTGATTGGCCAACTGACTCATGGGATTCGCCTGAAGGTGTTGTTTGAGCGCTTTCAAGGTCAGAGTCTGAACATTCCTACGTTCGGCTAGCCTATCCGATCCAAACTGCAGCTCAATACGTGCAAAGTTACTGCGAATGAAGGGGACGTGGATATCTTTCAGCAAAGGGGAGGCTTCCAACACGGAGAACAAGCGGCGCACTTCCTGTTCGATGTCACTACGTCGTGCTTCCCTCCATCCACCAATGACGAGTTGTAAGTCGTCGATGATGGGCTGTCCACCAGAGCCCGCTGTGGTGCTACGGGGACTGGAAGTACCTGGAAGGCCACGGTGTGGCCCTGGGCTGATTGAACGGCCCGCTTTGAGGTCACGCATCTCACCTTCCATTTCGTCAAGGCGCGCTTGAAATCGTTTCTGCAAGTCCGCCATCTCCTGTTGTCGATGGTCAAAAGAGGCCATGCGTTCCGTGACCTGGTTAATACTAGCAGTATGGGAGCGCAGTTCTTGCATCATCTCCCTCTGTCCACCCTGAAAGAGATCCCGAATTTCCGAAACCCAAGATGGAACGCCAGGACCCTGATCCAAGTGATAAAACTCCGTCCCGGGTCCTGAGGGGGCCTCCCCTGTGTTCAGCGGCGGGGGAATTCCCCCTCCGAAGACGGGAGGTTCACGAAGTCCCGGAGAGGGTCCAAGTCCCGAGGGGACTGAAGGGAGACTCCCGGATTGCTTGGTACGTTCATCCGAGGTTTTGAAACGTTTGTCAGGGCTAGTGTGCTTGCTCAGATTGTTCTTCTTAACACCGCCTAGGCCCTTCGAGGCTGGCTTGGTTTTCTGAACAGGCGATGAATTCTGAGCAGCAGCAGCGGCAGCCTGGTAAGGGTTCAGTCCAGCATCAGAAAGATCTGCAGTGGCAGCGGCAAGGGCAGCAGCAGCGGCAGCAAGATCTTCGGCACTGGGAACACTCCCTGAATTCGCAGCATGCAAAGGACTCTCATCTTCATCCCTAGCACCCATCCGTGCGTCATCAGTTGCATCACCCATCGAAGATAGGACTTGACGGAGGGAGGAGGTGGATGAACTGCCCACGGGAGGGGGAGGGTGCACTGCCCACTAGTTTTCTCGAGCCGATACTTGAGCCAAAATGGCTTGAGCCAAAATGGCTACGGTAGGGTTGCTGTCAACACCGAACGCAAGGATCCCCAACGCGCAACTGTTCGACTTTATGTTACAGGTTGGAAGCCTCAGTCAGGCTGCGACAAACCATGGAAGCAAGCAGCATTGCTCGGTATCACAAATTGCTTAACGCGCACAGGCATATCACATTGCCCAAGCTCAATCCTCGAACATCCTCGAACATGCGCACAGTTCAGCCACCAAAATCCAACCAAAGCCCTGCAAACTCCCCTCAACTCTATAAGGACAGGGCTACGCCCGCTCCTAAAATCCCGGTCGCACCAGCAGCCGACGGCCATCAGCCAGAGCTCCTCGCAGCGCTGCTCGACGCCCGGCCAAGGGCCGAAGCCTGGCAGGCCCTGGCGCTGGACAAAGCAGTCTGCTCTGTTCCGGCGAATCTATGTGAGGAAGAAGCTTGGTTGACGCATCTCATCTTCGTTGAAAATTGTTGGTTGTTTAGTTGCTGTGTTTAGTTCAATCACCACTACTACTACTACTACTACTACTACTACTACTACTACTACTACTACTACTACTACTACTACTACTACTACTACTACTACTGCCGCACTACTTCCTGCTTGCTACTTGCTGCTTGCTACTTGCTACTTGCTACTACTGCTACTACTGCTACTACTGCTATTCCTGCTACTGCTACTGAAAATAATAACAAAAAATAACGATAATACAGATTAGTACCACCACTTATGACTGCTCACTACTACTTACTACCCCGTAGTGCTGCTGCTGCTGCTGCTGCAACTGCTATTGCTACTGCTACTACTACTACTACTACTGCTACTACCACCACGACTAGTGCAGTGACTACGGATGACTACTAGTGACTGCTAGTGACTACTAGTGACGACGACAATACTACGAATAATCATCATAGCCCCTGCTGCTACTGCTGCCGCTGCTACTGCTGCTGCTGTTGCTGCATCTGCTGCCACATTACACGACTACCACACTATGATTACCACTACGACTACTGCTACTGCTGCAGCCACTGCTACTGCGACTGCCACTGCTGCTACTGCCACCTTGCCGCTACTGCTATTGCCATCACCGCCACTGTCACCGCGGACGTCGGCTATGTAATCATACTGGTCCTAACATCATCAAAGTATTGATGCATGTCATGGCAAGTCTGCATGTCCACGGAAGAAGAAAATGGACACAAGCCAGCTTCTGAAACTAAGTGGATGACTTGCGGAGACGCCTGTGTCCAAACCGCCCAGCCGGACAACGCATCCCAAGGGCAGCAGGACCCTGCAGCTTCACTCTGCTAGTCGCACTGCGAAAGCCAAGCAACAAGACATGTTCATTCATCAGAGGCTGCTTGCGCTGGTTTGGAAAGGCGCCTGACTGCGACCAGCTTGGTGCGAACAAAACTTGCAGAGCAAAATCAAGACCGAGTGGCCTGTGCGGACTTACGCGAAGAACAGGTCCCGCTGCATCTACACCATCGCCAGGACATCTCGGCAAGGCGGTTGTGTCAGGTGTGCACTTCTTCAGTTTTCAATGCTCGCAACTTTTTAGGATTTTGTGCATGCGGCAGACGACAAAACGACAACTGTCAAAAACCGCAAACAAATTCATTGGGTTGGCCAGGTTTGCGCAGGACAACATCTGACATTTATGTTCTCATACCCCTGAAGTCTGCACCACGGGGCAAACATGGGCAATCCACTGGCTGTAGGCAGCTGAGCTGGAACAGTTTCAACAAGAAGCTCCAATGGCTGTCAATGCAGCAACTGAGGCAACGACTCCTGCACGAGGTATGCCTGTGCTTGTCTCTGCGTTCGTGCATCGTGGGTCGTTTTCCGATGAGGTCAATTGCGGTTGTCAAATTGGGGCTTGAACCGTTCTGAATCCGAAGAGTGAAGAGAGTACAGTAGCTGTTCCTCTGGCACAGGTGGTTTAGCAAGTCATGCAGTAGGCAGCTCACAAAGCTCCCCGTGTCCCACGGAGTCCCATGTGCACAAGCATCCCATCCTTATAACCGTATCAGTACTAGGCTGCCTCTTCTGGAAATGAGTTCGTAGCATCATTCCTCTCCTACTCGAGCGGCGACAATTAATGCCAACTTTTATCATGACCACTTGCGATGAGTACCACGACATCTTCGGGCTGATTGAATCGTAGTGGCAATTGTGTTGATGCCGTCTGACTTGCCGAAGTGTTTTCTGTATCATCGTGCTGCCTGCCAATGTTGCCTTTTACACATTTTCGCTGCTTGGTTGGACTCCTGCAGAAGGTCAAGTGGCTGGTGACTCTGTTCTCTGACATTTGGACTTAGGCATTCCCATCTTCAAGCAACAAAACCGAAGAAGTATCAGGGTACTTTGCTGCTAAATAGAACTCTGGAGATACACCTGAAGCCACAATGCCGCAAGTCGTGGGATTGCGGAAAGCCAGAAGCCTAGAGTCTAGAGCCAAGCAAAGATATGCGGTTTTCAAATCCGGGATCGATGTCTCGTTAGGAAGGCTCCTGACCTGTATTCAAAGTCCCGGAGGCACTGGCTCCTCCGTCTGCCCCAAGCTCCAGGTCAAGCAAGCTGGCCATGGTGCCTGGCTTTTATAGCCCCCATATGCCCAGATCACACTGCGGGTATTTACTCATATTTACTTACAAAACAAGGGCTGCGATAATCAGTAGCAGGCAATCCCGTTAAGAACGGATTAAACAGCAACCACAACCACGACATTCGCCATGTCCACACCTGTCGAAAGTGCAGCCCCCCCCCCTCCCCCCACAGCACGAATGGAAACACACGGGATGCCGAATAAACGTCAGGCAAGCCTACATCCAACTGCAGCAAGTTGAGAACCGATGTGGGCCTGGGCTCTCGCCGAAGCCTGCTGGAAGCAACTGCACTTGCAGGCCTGGACAACATGAAGGCGTAGCTACTCTTGCGACATGGGTCATGTGATGTCACTTATTCCCTTCCCCTATAATAAAAAAACACTTTCGGGCCAATCGTGCCGAAATCATGCCTGCCCTTTAAAACCTAATTTGCATTCGGGGGTCCGGGGCAAGAGCGATAGCAAGAGCAGGAGTAAGAGCAAAAGCAACAGTAAGAGCAAAAGCAAGAGGAAGAGCAGAAGCAATAGCAAGAGCAAAAGCAAGCGCAGGCGCGCAGCTAGAGATGCAGCAGGAGCAGGAGCAAGATCAAGATCCCTCACAAGTGCCGGTAAGACTCAAACAACATTTTCCGAGTTTTTATTGGGGGGAGGGGGTGCCCCCGTTTAAGATTAGGGGGAAGGGATTATATCTGAAGAGCCATCATACAGAGCATACCTACGTTACATTGTTACATATGTACGTATACGTCTTTGTGTGTGTGTGTGTGTGAATGTTTAACACGACGAGGAAGAATTGCGAAATCCAAGAAGGCCAAGTGAAGCAAACGAAGGATTCACTGAATGTCGACGAACCTCCTGTCAAAAAGCAAGGTGTGGGGGGGAAAAGGACCCTGCTGAGCCGGGCCTTGAACGAAGCCCGACGGGTGGAGAAGCTTTCGATCGCCGCTCGGCATCCTAGTGCAGTCTTTCTGTTTTTTTCTTTCTCCAGGCCTGAGGGGTGCGACTGTTTAACAGGGCTTGGGTGGGGAGTTGCCTCCCAGACATTTCTCTCTTGCTTGCTTGCTCCAGAGCTAAGGCACACAGGCACTCTCTCTCTCGCTCTCTCTCTCCCCGGCTCTGTCTCTGTCTTCTCTCCGTCCTTTTGACCCTGGCTCTGCAGCAGGGTTGAAATGGCGGGGTACGCCCTCTGGTACATTGCAGGCTTTCCCGTTCCCGGTGGCAGCTTGTGTTCTCGCGCGCACATAACACCCTTCAGCAGCGAGGAATTGGGCTGTACTGAGAGATTACCTCAAGCTATAGCAAGCATGACCGGAGGTACGAAACTGACGCGTCCGAGGCATCATGAATTTACATTCGGACAGACAAAGGGAAGCTAAGTAACAACTTCCACAAGAGGAGCTTCAACGAGCGAAGCTGCTCCCGGTACCTAGATCGACGAAGGAAAGGCACCCCTCACTCGCATTCGTAACTCAGGAACTGGGCCGTGCCAACAGTTTCACCTCAGCAAAGACCCCAGCCTGATGAAGATTTCACTCCGAGCCATGGCTGTACGCCGCTAGCCGCACATGCCGGGGACACTGGGACTAAAGTAGGCACCATTGAAGAAAACATCCTCGAAGTCCTTCCATCTCTCTGGGCCCTCAGCAAGCTCCTGGTCAGTCACCAAGGCCTTCTGCAATGCCTCGAGGATCAAGGGCTTATCGATGCCAACACCTATAAAAATCACTTCGGAGTCTCGGTCACCATAGCCGGACTCTTCGTGCCAGCGCCCCTCCTCCTTCATCTCTTCTAGCACCTTGCTGAAGCGCCTGCGCGAGAAGTCGTCAAACTTATCCTGCGGAAGTGCATCCAGGAAGGGCCTGTCCGAGGCTGTGAGGTTGAAGAGGCGACCAGAAGACTGAAACTCGATTGGGTGAGCATGGGCACTTGCAATCCAGAATCGCCCCTTGGCTCGCACCACACCCTGGAAGGGCCCTTCCAAGGGTCCAACAGTATCGCCGACAAACTGGCCTGCTCGGTCCACCTGCTCCCTGGCCTTTCCTGCTTGTGAGCGAGAGGTGGCTGCAGCGATGCTCGTCTCGTAGTTGCCAAAACCAGCAAGTGCAGCTTTCAGCCTTGTCGGATGGAAAGGACGGGAGTGGTTGCGGAAGACCACGCTCGCAATGCCGTACTCAAGAGTCTCAGGGACCTTCTCTTTCTCCAGCTCGCGCTTCCAGTCTGCTGACGCCTCTGCCCTCTCCATGTCGAAAAGACCCGTGTTGATCACTGCGTGCGCCGGGAGATCCACGAAGTGCTCCTCCATCGGAACGATGACCTTGGCATCTGGATTTAGCCTCTGCAGCAGGCATTTGATCTCGGAGATGGCTTCTGGTTTCTCCATGAGTGGGGCCTTGCTCAGGATGATGATGTCTGCAAACTCGATCTGGTCCAGCATCAGCTGCACGATGCTGCGATCATCTTCCACTTCGGGAGCAGGTTCGATGCTGTGAGCAGTGAGGAAGGCTCGCCATGCAGCAGCTTTGAGCGAGGCCCAGAATCCAGTTGGGGCGGCCTCCTCTTCCTTCTCATCTCTGAGCCCGGTGTTTCCGACCATGCCTGTAGCATTTCTCTCGGCCAAAGTTTCGATGCTGCCCAAAGCATCGTACACGTTCAGTGCATCCACAACTGTCACCATTGTGTCTAAGCGAGCAAAGTTCGACAGTGTCTGGAACGACATCTTCTCGCCGCTCTTCGGAACCGCCTCATCAATGTTCATTGTGAATGTTTGGGCCACGGGCAAAGGCTCCGATATGCCTGTGGATTCAACAACCAGGTAGTCGAAGGCATGCTCTTCACTAAGCTCCTTGACCGTCTTCAACAAGTCCTCGCGAAGTGTGCAGCATATGCAACCGTTGTGCAGCTCGACCATCCGAGCTTCTTCCTGGATTAGCCTGGAGTTCTTGATTTCCGATGCGTCAATGTTGATCTCACCCATGTCATTCACCAGGACTGCAATCTTCATCGGTGTTTGCTCAGGATCTGCATTCGCACTCTTCAGAATCTGCTTGAGCAGTGTCGTCTTTCCGGCCCCCAGGAAGCCAGAGAGCACTGTCACTGGAAGTAGGCCCTTACCAGCCATGGCGGCTTCGGGAATGAAAGTCATTTGTAAGTGTTGCCGCCAAATCAAACCATCGAAACACTAGTTGAAGGTTAGCGGACTTGCAGATTGTTAAATCAAGGCGGGCACCTATTCCGAGTCGAAGTCTTAGATTGCGTGCTGATCTCCTCAGTTCTGATCAGATCACAGCAGGTTTGCACGACCCTTGGGCCATCGCATCCGACCCACCCTGCCGCCCTGACAACTATGTATCTCAGCGGATGTTCGACAAAAGAGACGGACAACTGTCCTCTCAGATCAGTTCGAAGAGCCCCCGTAAGAAATCGAACATCTCAGGACTTGCCTATGCACGGTCGCAGCTTGTTGCTGAAAAGCCCGGTAGCCACTGTAGCCCTCGAAGGCAGCCGGAAGCTGAATAAGTTCTGCCTGCAGCTGTTCACCCTGTAGTTCACGCACTCAGCAATGTTTGTCCGTTGCACATCTCCTTGCATGGTTCTACAGAAACTGAAGAATGCATTCCGTCTCATACTCAAAACCCGAAGACCTATCGGAGGGATACAACAGGTTTCGTTACGAGGCATCTTCGAGTGTTCTTGCACTGCGGGCCCCGAACACCACAGGCTGACGGCTTCTAATTCAGAATTTGCGGCCAGTCACATTGCCCTGTCGATCGTAAGCGTGTTGGGGTGATGAACTGTTTGAGCTTCAATTCCATGTGTGATTATCTTACGGCTCTGAAATCAAGCGTGTACCCGTAGAGAAACCATCAATCCTACTTTCGTGTACAAGGGGAGGTCCGAGCCTGGTTGGAAAACGAGATCGACAAGTTTGGGTTGGAACCAATCCAACATCAGCCATGAAACTGAGCACATGTAAACAGATGTGACTTACAAGCCCTCGGACTGCATGTTTGACCCAACCTTCTCAAAAGGGTAGGGGTAAACTTCATCACTTTGCGAGCGCCGCCCCTCCTCTCCGCACCCGGGCCCCCCTTCCCGGAGCGGTCCGAATCCAATACTTCTCGTCACCTTCCTCGAAACTCTCCTCAGTCTTATAGTATATTATAGTATAATATGGTATATTATGGTATATTATTATGGTACATTATAGTATAAGGGGCAATCGGCCGTTGCAGAATAAGCTTCTTCTCACGGTGCATCTTTTTATTGACAAGGACTTGGTCCATGCACCTACAGAACAGCCCCGTCGCAAATCCCTGAAATCAAATGCTGACCCCCACAACATCCTGACCGAGACTCGACAACTCCTCGACTTTCAGAGTCGCCTGATGTGCCGAGGAGGAGGACCTTCCGGTACAACAAGCAGACCCCATCGTCGAAGCAAAAGCAGCTCATGACGTGGCATGAAGAAGCCGTCAAAGCTCGGCCGTCGTTGTTGTAGTTGCGGCGGCCGTGGTAAGGGCAATGGAAACAGTAGGACTCTCCTGACTGATAGTAGCTGTAGAAGCAACACGACTTGCTGGAAAAATGCGCTGGTAGTACTATTACTACTGGTAGTAGTAGTAGTAGTAGTAGTAGTAGTAGTAGTAGTAGTAGTAGTAGTAGTAGTAGTAGTAGTAGTTTTTTTGTCACCCACCTGGCACACCTCTGGCAGCTCCGCGGGGACTAGAGGGTAGTAGTAGTAATAGTAGTAGTAGTAGTAGTAGTAGTAGTAGTAGTAGTAGCAGTAGCAGTAGCAGTAGCAGTAGTAGTAGTAGTAGTAGGTAGGTAGGTAGGTAGGTAGGTAGGTAGGTAGGTAGGTAGGTAGGTAGGTAGGTAGGTAGGTAGGTAGGTAGGTAGGTAGGTAGGTAGTAGTAGTAGTAGTACTAGGAGTCTAATGGCAGTGGCAGCAGCAGCAGGAGGAGGAGGAGCCGCAGCAGTAGCAGTCGTCGCAGTGGTAGTCATAGTGTGGTAGTGCTGTAATGTAGCAGCAGATGCAGATGCAGCAGCAGTAGTAGCAGCGGTAGTTGCTGCAGCAGCAGCAGTAGCTTTGGTTTAGCAACAGTAGAGGAGCAGCAGCAGTGGTGGTGGTGGTAGTGGTGGTAGCAGTAGAAGTAGCAGTAGCAGTAGCAGTAGCGGTAGCAGTAGCGGTAGCAGTAGCGGTAGCGGTAGCGGTAGCAGTAGCAGTAGAAGTAGCAGTAGCAGTAGCAGTAGCAGTAGTAGAAGCAGTAGTAGTAGTAGTAGTAGTAGTAGTAGTAGTAGTAGTAGTAGTAGTAGGTAACAGTAACAGTAACAGTAGTACTGGCGGTGGCAGCCGCTGCAGTGGCAATAGCAGTATCACTGCGGTAGCTCTCGCAGACGTAGTCGTGGAGGCAGTCGTAGCACCGCTGGCAGCAGCAGCATCCGAAGCATGAGCATCAGATCACCGGACCCATCGAGCCTGCATCCCTTCAGGAATGTGCAGGGCTGCTCCGTCCTGAACACTCTGTCGGAGCTTACGACGGCCAGGGCTAGGGGGTGTCTAAGATGTAGGAGGGCCGTAGATGACCGCGGCTTGTGCAGTGCAAGACGGCTTTCGCAGTCTACATTGCTGGGCACAAAGGGCGCCAAGGCCCACCAGCCCAATGGTCATGTCAGACAAGTTTTGGGACAAAGCTCTACACCATTGGGGTTAGAGGGCTGGTATCCAAGCTTCAGGGTGCATGTGCGCGGCTTCGAAGTCGGGGCCGGGCGGTTAGAGTCGCAAGCGCGCTCAGAAGCAGCCTCAAGACTTTAAGTTGGGCTCCCGCATAGCAGAACCGAGGAGCAGCCCAAAATACAAATCGCTGTTTCGGGCCGGACAATGCGTCCAGTTCGGCAGGAAAATGGTGGGGAATTGATTGGAGTTGCAAGGGAGCCAGAAAGATGCCGAAATGTACACCTGACTGCCCAGAACTCGTACGTAAAGCCTTACAATAAGATGGAGCGTGTCTTCCTGTCTGCACTCCACAAAACAGCTTAATTGCTTACATGGGCTTAGCCCTGCAAATAGAAAACAAGCTAAAACTCAGCAGGTCACGATGGTTCAAAAGTTGCGAATAGCTGCATTTCAGAGGAGGACTAATCGACGATACGCCCAATCCGGCCCCAATCCAAAACCTTACAGCCCGAAAGCCATTTGCAGGCCGAAGCATGAGAATATACAGCATCTCATTTAACTCATTTCATAGGTCACATAACACATGATATATAGTCCTTCAAGCCCCAGGGCCCTCGCCTGGGCAGCCTGGCACGGCAAACAGCCGGCCAGAAACTCCTTCATCATCTCAACAACCTGTGAGGCGTAGGTAGACGGAACTTCCCAGGGAGGTCTCTGCTGGAAACGCCAGGAACAGGGATAGTGTTGCAGAAGTCGTCGTCGTACCGGTACTAATTGGTACGGCATCAGCGGAGAGAAACAGGGGCAATGATGCTGGCAGCGCTTCAATACGCTTCAGTACCAAAGCCACTGCAACCTGCCGGAATACAATCAATGACGGAACAACACTCGGCCTTTTGGTTTATAAAAGTATATACACATTAGTCACTTAACTAAACTCTCCATGCTCACCGCACCTCGCTGGAGATCTCGTGCGCTAGCTCTGGCAGCCTCAGTGAAGCTTCGAGACTTACTCCGAGGTGCAGGCTTCGGCAGCGTGTCGGGTGGGCAATCTAAGTAGGGTTTTGGGGAGTTGAGTAAGATTTAAGGGCTTTGGGGTAGCTTCAGCTTCAGGCCGGAGAGCTCAATGTCTTCCACCTGATGCAGAGGATAGTAAGAAAACGAAAGGAGGCACGTGCATCATAGGTTCGTGCCAGAAAAGTAGTTGTTGACCGCAGCTTGGAACGTTAGACCACGCAGAACTATATCAATAGCAGGGTGGGCGTCGAATGACAGGACCACAACAAGAAGATTGAAACACATTGGGTCTCCCTTACTGGTCATCAGGTGTCGGCTCATGCCCCCGTGCCTCAAGGAAACATGTACAATTCCCGCTGTTTCTGCGACTATGCCCATGAGTACAGGCATACACGCATATGCAGCACTTATATACACAAATGATCAGGTACATATGCATACACAGTCCACGTCGGCATGTGCATGTGTGTATGTGTTTTGTGCATGTATGCGCATGTATAGTTGCTTCTGTTGGACTTCCCCTGCGCGCAGCCGCTACGCTTTTGCATCTCTATCTCTCTCGCTCTCTCTCTGCCGTTGCACCCAGAGGGTCTAGCAGCATATGCATGCATGCATTTATTTATGCGTAGGTCGGTAATCAGGTAGGTAGGCAGGTGTGTAGGTGGGTAGGTGTGCAGGTGGGTAGGTAGGCAGGTAGGCAAGTAAGTGAATGTGTGTATGTGCGCATGTATGGGTGTATGGATGTACGGATGCACCTGCACCTGTGTATGTATTTGCATACCTACATATCTACACACACACACACACATACAGCATACATTGAAATGCTGAATGCGTATATCTACATAACCTACGTATAAGCGCACATCGTTTACACACCTGGCTGCCATCAACAGTCGTGCGGGTAGCAACAACTGCAAACACTTGTTGACATCTGGGTCGCTCAGTGTACTGCAATTTTCGTACGCCGAGCTCAAGAAGTCTCTCCTGGTAAAGCACACTCAGATCCTTCACAGTCACTGGAATGGAGTGCGCAAAGCTGAATCAAACCGCTGTCCTTGGCAATGCGTGTAGTTTCGGCGGTGACCGTCCTGGCCAAGCCCAAAACATTCACCACTAAAGAACGCAACCAAGCAAAGCCTGAAACTCAAGCCCAACACAGGATCTTAAAAAAAAACCTTAAGAAATAGGATCTTCAAAAACAGATTGCAGCCTCTGCGGCATCTAGGCCCTAGCCCTCACCATCCTGTCGCAGCCGCCAGCCACGAATAGAATTGGCACGTCACGCGAAGCATCTCTGAGCTGTAGGTCCCAGGGAACTCCGCCTCAGGCGAAGCTAGAAAAATCTTAAGAAAGAGTTGAAGTTTCCGGTTTGCAGGCCGGTGCTTGCCAGAGGCTCTGCTGCAACACGACTTGCTATCAAACCCCCAAAGTACGGAAGCTCTAGGTCTGTAAGTCTGGCTTAGAGCCAAGCACTATCCTTAGCCAGGAAGCCGCACAGCACACCCAAGCCAGCGCAGGCGCTCGGAGCCTGCCGCAAAGTCGGACAGCGTACAAAGGATCAGGAGCCCGGACAAAGCCAAAGGCTGAAGGACCCCAGAGGGGTAAACGAGCACATGATCATGACAGGATCGCTGGAAGGCCATGACGGGTGGCATGTGATTTTGAGGCTCTAACTGCAAAAACCCACAAAATCTCAAGGCAGGAAGCAAAGAGAGAACAGATGCTCACGCGCCTCGAGCCCTGCAAGGGCAGCGATCATGGAGCCCTGGGAAAAGCCAGCGAAAGCAACCTGTCGCAGGGCTTTCGAAGGGAAATCATCTTTTTTCGGCATATGGAAATAAGCCCAGGCCAGGTCTGATCGTATCCTCGTTCCGATAATTTCAAAATTCGGGTCGTTAATTTTCCTTAATTCCGCCTAGGAGAAATGTCGATCTCACGAGTGCACTTGTGCCTCCGCCTCCAGCCTCCCCACGGCTCGGAACCAACATGGATGCCCAGGGCTAAAATGGTTTGTTGGGCCTCAACAGATTGATTTTGGATTTCGCCTCCAGCCTGCCCACGACCCGGAAACAACAAAGTGGATTTGTTGGGCTTCAATAAGCTGATTTTGGATTTCCTGCATGCGGTCTAAGACAAGGCCGACGACAGTTCCTGCCTGCGACAGTTGTAGACCAAGCTGCTGGCAGTCCATCCTTGCAAGACATCCAACATGCACGGGAAAGCATCTCAACTCCGCTGAGGGCCAGCCTGACCCTGCCTCTCGATCATACAAGAAGACCTTCCGCGACTAGAGGTAGCCACACCCTCAACCGAAACATGACCCATTGACTTTACTGCTGCAAAATTGCTCGAACCTGAGACCTACGCCCTCGAGCCCTCAAGTGCGTTGATGCCAGCATGCTCCGTTGTATGGCCCAGGCGCTGAACTCGCGCCATGAGCTGACGGCGTAGTTCGTAGATGCGCTGGTCAAACTGTCCTACACGACGCTGCTTATAGGGCCGATTTTGGACCTACATATGTGCCTAGCTTCCGCAGGAATGTCTGCAGATGGAGCCACTGCAAACACCAGGCTGCTGCTCAGCTCCTCCACTTGGTTGCGTACTCTACTGCGGCTGGGCGCTCCATGGCACTCCTAAACGAATTAAGAAGCAAGAACGACGATGACCATGCTGATGAGGATGGTGATGATGTTGAGGTTGGACGTGGGGATGACACGGACGAGACCGGACTTCCTTAAACTCGAAGACACCGCATGTCCTGCGCTGTCCGTCTCATACCAAGAGGTGCGCCCCTGCCTTGCACAAACAGTCGACTGAGGTTTTGGATGGAGGAACGCAGGACGGAATAAAGCATCATGGAACCGTGTGTCTGTGTGAAATGCGGCTCGGGATCCTCAGCTTCAGCGATGCGAGTGTAGACTTCAGCTTCTACGGCAGTTTAAGACCCATTTGCATCGAACGAGACCAGAACTCCCGGTGAGCTAGTGACGTCCCGCGCCCACTTTATCGTCGTACAAGCAGCATCCGAATGTGACGGCGGGAAGTGTAACATCGCGTCTGAGCCCGCGAACCGAGCCCCGAATAGAAACCGTTCAAGTTCATCCGATGCCAACCTTCCACACCGCTGCAGCCGGGGAACTCGTTTCGGGGTGCCGTCGGGAGCCAAAAGCGGGCCGTCGGAATCGCGGAGGCCAGGGCGGAGACCTAGATGTGTGCATGCACATGCATGCACGCAACGAGGAACAGTGGAGCTTCAGCAGACTTAGCTAGTACATGGATTACCGGCTTTCAAACAACCCCAACTAACTAACCATCCGAGTTCCGGACCACTGGCAACATGTTGTGACCGGTGTCGCCGCGCCCATGCAGAAAGACGACCTTGTCACCAAGAATCTCCAAACATCTCATGGAATTCCAGCTTCTTCCAGCTCTTCCGAATTGCTCGAACTCTTCCGGATGCTACGGAATCCTGGACAAGCTCAATGGTCGAGATGCGAGAGCCGTCGCCGGCCCCTGTAAGGGACCGAAGCCTTCGTCCGTGCTCTGCAGCTGCACCTGAAGGCAGTTCCGAACTACGCTCCTACTAGAGTTGCCACAGGTAATCAGATCATCATCTTCATGGTTGCAATGGTAAGAGCGCTTGTGCCATCATTCAGACACCCATGTGCCCTGACTGAATGAACCAACAGCCAGCATGGGCCACATGAGGTTGTAAATACGAAATGTATGGAAAAAGGCGTAACACAAACTGTCCCTCTGTTCCGACTCCGAACCCTTACCCATCAACCGTGTACTATAGGGCCGATGTACATGTTAGATCTACTCACTCATGTTTCAGATACCACTTGGTTGAAAGAAGAACTTGGTTTGATATCTTGCGGGTTCTGCGGGCATTGGCGTAGCGTTTTGCCTTTCTGACTCAATCGCAGCTGCAAGGGAGGAAAGGATGTCTTGGAGGGCTGTGGTTTTGCGCTCACTGGACATCTCGACCCAAACCTATGTCACGTAGATTGCATAGGGAACAGATGGCAGAATCTTAATATCATCTTCGGCCAATGCGCTAAGGACCAACCCGTGTGAGCCGGCCTTTTGCATAGCCAGGCTTGCAGCCGGGACCAGCAGCCATCCGGCCGCACGCTTGAGCTTAGCCCTATGGCCCTATGGCATCCGTAACTTGGCTGCACCGCGGGTTATGCTTATTCTGGGCTGACTTGCATTACAAGACAGACGTACGTACGTCTGCGATCAAGGAGTTGGCCCTGGGCTTCTTTGAGCCATGTCCTGCGAGACCATCTGGAAGTGGCCGGCCAACTCACCACGCAGAGCTGCAAAAAAGCCGGAGAGAAAAGCTTTCGACCTTGCTGGCACTCACGTAATCTGTCAAAGGAGGCCTTTCAATCGGTACATGTTCCTGCTGCTACTACCACTAACAACTGACAGTTGGCAACGCCCTTGTCTATACACCTCCAACACCGACCATAAGCACAAGCCCGCCCGAATCTGCTATCCTACGCCCCACCCAAAAGCACCGCTATCCTAGGATCTGAACACTAGGCACGACAAACCTCTGCTCTTAAGTACTGCCTGTGGTTGCGATCGTCTCGTCGGTACGAACTTAAACTGACTGCTGTTCTGCTGCCTAAATAAATTACCACTACCATTTTGGAGGTTCCTTATGAGAATACCAACACCATTTTGGGGGTTCGTTATCAGAATACCAATACATACCAATACCATTTTGGGGGTTCCTGATTAGAATTACAGTATAACCCTATTCGGATCCGACTCTCCACTGGGACAGAGCCCGGAAGGCCTCGACAGACTCCAGAAGCAACTCGAGCTCCTTCCCTTGGCCATCGCTCGGGGTTGAGACTTCGGTTTCTGAAGATGCTTGCAGATATTAGCCTTCTTCAACTCAAGGTCGAAGAAGTAAGCTTATAGGTCTGCATACATCAACAAATCACTGCCAACGTTGGGTGGTGTGGTGTTTGGAACCCGCATGGCCAGGACCGAACGTACAAAGCCGGGGTGGGAACTGTCCGATTTGAGGTTTTGGCTTCACGTTGGCCGGGTCAACAGGGCAGGCGCTGAGCTGAAAAGCACTACCGGATTCATGCTACAGCCTTTAAGGTCGCTAAAAGTGTTGGATCCTACTGAGACATGCGAGGCCTCGGATTCTATGTTAATACTTGACCGTAAGTGCAGTCGAAGATGGAGCCCCGAAAAGCCCAAGAGTCTTGAGTCAAGACCTTGAGCAGTCGAAGCATGGCCTGGAATCCCGAAGCACACGGGCCCAAAATGAAGCCGCTCGGCCCTCGGTATACGTGTTTTAGAACAAACATGCACAGCATTACTCAACTTGAGCGCTGTTTGCCTTTCCGATGCCGTCTCGAGGCTCTTTTTGTGATACGTGCGCACGAACAAGTCGACTGTGACATCCTTGCAAGGGATGTCCACTCTTGGAGGGCTGTTGGCGTTTGCAGGTACTGTTTGCGACTTGATTCATGTGATAGCAGCGCATTGGCATTTTGGACAGCATCTCTCCTAAACTCTGATCCCGAGACAGAACTTCAGAACACAACACACAATACGGCTTTGTATGACCATGAAGGCGGACAGGGATCACGAGACTCATGTGCTCATGCTGATCATGACGGCTGCTATGGCAATAGCCGTGGCGTTCTGAGGATGATGATGATGATGGCGACGCCATGGTTGTGGGCAGTTGGATTTTGTTGTGCCATTGCACCACCAAGATTCCAGATATGCGATCGTCGTTCTACTTTCGGCATTGCGACTTCTACTACCACAGCAGAGACGACGACGAGGACTACTACCTTACCAGCTTTCCTCTTGTGACAGTGATGACTACAAGGGAACAACGTCTTGAGATTTTTGTGGAGACTCAGCACTCCAGTCGTCAGCCAGCACAGGCTTCCATCTTAGGGAGTCGTACTAACATGACGATAAAAGCATGTGTAGGGCCGTGCAGCAGTCGGTAATGAAACCTTGGCCCGTGTAAACCGCAAAGCTGCAGCTCTTGCCACGCACCCTACATCGGATGCATCCAGGCCACTGGCCGCTTGGCAGGATGGCCTCAACAGAAGCGCTGATTCACGTGATAGACATACGGAAATGTTGATCCTTTGATCCTTTCATCCCGAGTGCCTCGCCTAAGCCAGCCTTACCTGACCTGCAATGCAGGTATGGCGTGACGTGGCACATGCAAACTCTAGCTGTAAGCCTGTACACACCAGTCCCACGCCACCTTCTGCGACAGGCCGCATGCAACTCTCGAACATCGTCAATCTCCGCGGCGACATGCGACGATAAAACCAGAATCCCTCAGCAGCCTGCGCCATCCACGAGCGACGCCCGGTATCTAGGCGGCGCTGGCCTCGGCCAGGCAAAGGCCTCGGAGGACGTAGGAAGCGAAATCTGCTGGGCCTCGAGGAGAGCTGTAATAGTGACTTCTATATACATATATATATATATATATATATATATAGATAGACAGATAGTGTCTTTGGGGCACACATATGTATATATATATATATAATGTATATACACTCTAGTCAGAGGAACCAGCTGCGAACTCTTCTTACGCGCTTCTGAATCTGAAAGCTTGTGGCTCGAGCTGAAAACACACGTAGCAAGGTCAGGCGGTTCAAAACGAGGACCTTGACCCCAATAACTGCAGCCTAAAGCTTGACATCCACTGCGACCTGAAGCTGCCTCGCAGATTTTTGCTCCTAGCTCTTTTCTGTCTCTTGCTGAACCATCCAGCTGCCGTGCTGCAGGTCAGCTGCACATACCTTCTCGACATCTGTTTGCCGACTTCCTGCCGATTCGGCTTTGTGATCGCCTCTTGCATTGCGCTAGCTTGCCCCTTTGTCCCACTTTCCTGATCCCAAAACTCACACATCTTCTGAAGAAGCCATGCTGGAATATGGTCCTGGGTCTAAAGTAGAGCCTAGCAAGTCGGCAGCTCTAGAGAAGCATCTCGCTTGCTTCAAAGGTGTAATGCAAACTTTAAGTTTCCAGACTCAGGATTCTCTGGCTCAGGTCCACTGCCGGGTGTCCAAACTGTTGACCTTTGGCACTATAAACATGTTTCTGAAGGAATTAATGCTGATGGGAGGTGATGGCAGACAGGGACAGTGATCCTGACCTGAATCCTCAAAACCCTGTTCCTGTGATCCGTCAGAAAGAAGCCTTCGGACTCTGGCGCTCTGGCGTCCTGGCGTACAAAGATTGCTCAGATCTCAGCAACACAATCTGCACAGGCGATGCATGTCCTAGACCGCAGCTTTGCAAAGCTTAGGGCAAGTGTTACAGAGTTCAGCATACGGCAAATTATACTGCACACCCTGCAGGTGGCAAGACCCATTCAACAGAACTAAACCGTGCAAGCACAAAGTTTTTGATTCTGGCATGTCCACTGTCTCCGCTTTCCTGCTGCCACTGCGACCTGGCTGAGCCCATCTGAGGGTTCCCGCCATTTGTTTCTCTTCGCTGGCAATCTAGCTCAAACACTTCCTGGCCATGACACATGCGACCACATGGCAATCGCCCACGACATGTAAAGCCAGTGTTTTCCCAAGGCTTTCGCATGTCGGAGTGGCCAGTCCTTGGACCGCTTGCATATGATGAAATGGGAGTTTCCGAAAATTCGGTGGTACCTTATTTTGGGGTCATTATTTTGGGGGTCATTATACTAAGGATCCTACAAATTAGAACTATATTAGGATCCCCCTTTTTGGGAAACGCCCCAATGTGGCTCACGGTTCCAAATGCCAGCTTGCAGTCGCTTGAGTGCATGTGTTGGCCAACGAGATGACGATTGGTGAAACTGACAGGTGCATCCTCGATTTTCGAGCCTGCCCAGACCTTAAAATTTAAAACTCAAACGACAACATCCAAAAAAGCAGCATTGCGAAGAGTGCCTGATTACCGTTTCAGTGGCCAACACCGATGTTTGCTTCTGGGACCCACCAACAGTGACCCCTCAAAGGGGCATGCAAGGCTCTATTCAATTTGAGCTTGCGGGCTTCGGGCAGTGACCGGTTGGTGTGACCAGGTCATCATACTTTCGACCCCTGAGCGGCCATGCAATAAGGAAAAGCTACTGTGGGGACGTTTGGGGATGTATCCCTGTATTCCATGATATTCAAACTGCTCTAATTGGATGTTCCCATTTTCTGTTGGAACTTGATTAGACTCTGCAGTGTTGCCAGGTGTCGTTCCAAGACACCGGAGGTTCACAAAGCCTCCAGCGCGATCGGCTCAAGGCCTTCACGGGCCTAAAAGCGTAGTTCTTGCGGCTCAAACCAAAACCGACCCATTCGAATACGCAGCTCAGAACTCGACTCTGCGATGTGGACAACTGGCAGACACACGAGTCTGAAACGGCAGGGCTCCGTGATGAACTCAGGTGTTGTTCTATCCCGCGAGCTGTAGGAATCGAAGGCTATGTATTGTGCAGAAACGGAACACGAGCGGAGGTCGCAAACACAGACTCAAACGTGACCAGAAAAAACTTCAGTCGCCAGAGATCCCAGCTGGAGCTAAACATGTGCTCGCAATGATCAGCTGGGAAGGAGAACAAGCAAGGCAGAGTCATAGCCAGTGCTTAATGCAGGAGAACCCAACACAAACGAAAGTCACTCGTAATCATCAAACCCAACACCGGCAACGACACCCGCCACCGGTAGCCCCAGGACTAACCTCATCATCGTCATTTTGGCGGTCGCCATCATACCTGTCATCATCACTGCAATCCTCATCTCCAAGTTAAGTGTTGATTGAGGTGCCGCGGCATTTACGGGACCCATATACGGCTCCATAGCGAAAGCGAAACATGCCGATAGACGCAGCTGACAGACAAGAACAAGCGCAGGAGAACCCTGGAACGGCCAACAACAAGGCAAAGCCACATTGCCAGTTCGAGCCCTGGCTTCTCGTGGCTTCAGGGGACGGGAAGTGGTGGAAAGGGGTGCAATTATTGGACACATCCCAAAGGTGGGTGCAGGTGGCATGGAAGGAAGACAGAACGCAATTACTAGACTCACTAGACACATCAACATGCAACAGAAGCGGGTACAGTACTGTAGGGTGTCCATTTCTGCTCCCACCTCCTTCGGGACTCCAGAACCTGAGTGCTCACACGGAGCCCACTTCTTCTACGCCGCGCCAGAGGCATCAGAAGCGGTGTCAATGTCGGTCTCCCCTTGCAAGCATCCATGCAGCGCCATTGTGTCTACATGCTTCTGCGCATAAAGGTTTGAAAACATCAACAATACAAATCATTACCTTTCCCAAGAAGCAGTGCTGCGGTGGCCACAGAATGGAAATTCCATGAAAGTTGCATCCGGAAGCACTGAAAGAGGCACGTATGATCAAAACTGATGGGGCAGGATATCTCATGGGCGCAGCGACAACACGAGAGGACTTGTTTAGGGTGTAAACTAGGTTTCAAGCCTGAAGGCTATATACGATAAACCGGAAGAAATGTCTGGTTTTCGGCCGAAGCTGCCGAGATGGTGCGATTCGAAGATCCAGCCGATGTGCTCATCGGAGTGGCAGTTGACCCCGGTCAGGATCGTCAGCTGGTCCTGCTGATGCGGCTTCCAAGCTCGGGTTGAAAGTGAGCGGAATATGCCATGATAGTACTTACAGGTTTCGCTTACAGCGGTAGCGACGATAATGGTGGTGATGATGACGGCGGTAATGGTGGTGACTTTTCGATCATGTTGACGTCGGTGATGGCTGTGGTGGTGGTGAAGATGGTAATGATTCTCATTTTCTCACTATTCTTAATCATAACTTTTGCTTTTTGATCTGTCCGGAAGCTGAAACGAATCAAACCTCCAAGGCCTTGCTTGCGAGAGGTTCAGTTGCTTTAGTTCCCGTGGAGGGATGCTGCATTCATCCAGAGCCTTGCATGTGTGCCACAGTACGATGAGTTAGAAGCCCTTTTTGGAAGTAGCGGAACTTGGTCCCTGGTTCATGCAAGCACACATTGACGAGCGACATGAAGGAAACGAGAGAACTTGGTATCACTGAAACATGGCTTGAACAGCAGCATGCTCTCGAATGCATCAAGTATGATCTCAATGCATGACGTAGCCAGAAGCCTGACCCATCGGCGGCTACACCGCCACCATGGGTATTAGCAAGGTTCAACTCTTTCATTTGAGAGAAAGGAACCAAACCGGCTCGGCACGAATTCCAAGCATGTTTCACCACCCTGCTTCTCAAGCAAAGATATTTAACGTTACATACCCCAACAGGCGTCCGTTGCTTCAAAGTCAAGCCTACGACGACTGCCAACACCAGAACCATCCTTGATCTGGTTCAGCTCAACTTCCATGTAGGCCTTGGCTGGTTTGGGCCACTTAGACTTCTGTTGGAGGCTTGCTGCTATTCAGGCTGCTGAGCAAGCTTCGAGGTGGGGCCACAGAATTCCAGCGTCGCTACAGAACTCTTATCATAGTCAAAACCTCAAAATCCTGAGCCGGCACCTCCGAAGACTTTGGTACGTCTGGTCATCCAGTCTGCTTCGGGCTTGGGGCTGCAATCGTGGAAGAGCGGGACTTTACGACCTCATCATGTTTCCTCTGTTCATTTCCAAGGCCTGAAACCTCTAAAAATCGTATGTGCCCGACACATAACTACATATGTACCTGCAAAGAAAGATCTCCGACCTTGAAGCTCGCAACCTAACCCGCACACTGCAAGCCCAGGAGGGATCGATTCTGTGGCCCAGGCTTGACAAACATCAACTTGTCAAAGCCTTTCAAGCCAAAACTCGACACATTACGTGTGCAGTTCGGAGGGGAGTCTGCAATATATCCGTTCAGTGAAAGACAGACTGTAAGAAGCTGACACTGTATGATCGCACCGCTTTTCATATTTTGCAGAACTGTTGAGACCACCTGGCAGCTCTGAACCATCCTCAACTCCTAGCGCCGCTGGGGAACTGAGACATGGTACGGAAGTTTCGGGGTGCTAAACCCGCTACCCAAACCCACACACCCTAATCTCCAGTGGGTTAACACCTTTGTATCGTTGTTGAAGCCATGAACATGCCCGTGTAAATATCATAATCCTGAGTAGCAACACTTTGCATTATCGCTTTGTTGTCGCTGAACTTCAATCTTAAAGTGCGTTTGTCAAGCGCGTAAGCAACGGCAAGAGGCATTGAACTTGCCCTGCGTCTTCATAAGCCACTGTTGGTCATTGATAATCCTTGGGCTTTGAGAGGCTCACACAATGGGGAGAACGCTGCGACCCCTGCGCATCTCAAGATTCCAGTGCGACCCGTCCACACGAGGCGCTTTGCACCACCGGACAGCGGAAAACAGTAGTTCATTCTGGGGCCCCCAAGTTTTTAAACCATTTAATGCTGCAGCTGCACGTACACAGCTCGAATTGCACTCAGCTGCATGACGTTCTTTCTTTTATTGCTCCTCTGAACAGAAACGGTTGGCACCCGGCAGGGCACTCCATCACTTTTACGGTGTATGCAAACATCTCGACCCATGTCGAACTTGAAACTCAGACTCCCTACGGCTATTGACAACGCTTCGTGGCCGTCCTACATGTGCCAATTACCAAACAAGCATCTTGCCGACATCCATTGCTGTGGCTTGACCTCGCAGCCGCAAGCAACCCATGAGGAACCTCGGTTGACTGTGCCGTGCTGGTGCAGCTCAGACAACTGGAGTTTCCTGCGAAGCAAGAGAGGCAAACATGTAGCGGTCTCTCCAAGTGACTCTTCAATTTCGACAGCGCCGCCGGAATCCTTGTCCAGGAGCCTCACTTTGGAATCAATCAGCACAGCAAGGCCGTCTTAAAATACGAACATACACCCTGTCTAACACAAGACCCTGTCCTCCAGTCTTGCAAAAGAGCCTCTGTAACAAGACCCTGCGAGACAAAAAATGTATCTAAGTCGAAACTGTGTGTATGTATCATGTAGATACAGATATACATATGAAGAAAGATATAGATGCAGATGTAAGTAATTTCGGTACAGAGCTCTGAAAAGTGGAAGCATCTGCATGTCTACACATGTATGGGTCCTAGACATGTGTGCACACGATTGCACACACACATGCGCATGAACACGAAACTAAGCCTAAGCGGGAAAACATAGATAAACGCAGAACAAACAAGTATTGTAGATACAGACATAGAGAGAAAGCTCGACATTCAAATCGCCAGCGCTGATCGATCAAAAGTTGTCGCTTTGCTCTATCTGCTGCAAGTTGTGACTTTGAGGGCTGCGAGCTTAAGGGTTTAGGGTTCTTTGAGAGAGGGTTCCGGCTCAGGGGCATTGCAGGCAGAGGCGCTTGAAAAAAGACCATGCATCCCAGACGTCGAGCCCCAAGGTCTGGAAGTACTCACCTGAGCAATCTCTGTTAAGAATTCCTCATGCCCTGTAGTGGAACAACCGTATACAGATGATACATGCAGAATCTCATACCACTCTACTCATTCTCATGTATGGCGCAGTCTTTCCAACACCTCTTTCGGAAAAGGCTGGAGGCAAGCCGGCTTTCTGAGCCAGCAAGCGGCTTTCTCTCGATGACTGCCTGCCCTGCAGCCCTCAAGCGGAATGAACAACAGGTGGGACTTCTGCAACCCTTTGGGCTTTTAGGTTGCTTGCCAGCTGTTCCACGACTCTACGATAGGTTGCATTCAGGGCTGTGGCTGTAAGGGAATAAACCCAACAGAAGCAATTAGGCAAAGACTGCCACATGAAACCCTACAGCAGCCCACAAGCAGTCACGGCCGACCTTAAGCAGGCTGCAAGGAGTAGGACTGCTACTCAACATGTGCGAAAATCGGTGCACGATTTCGCTCATCCGCAAGACGTCATGAAACCCTCCGGTGGCCAGCTTCAGACGAAGGGAGATTTGTTCTCCATTTCAGGAACAACGGACTCCGATTTACCCGAAGGATTGAACCCGCAGGGATAGTGGCCTTCTCTCTACAAGCCACGGAGTCTTGCGAGGCAACTCCCGGAACAGAGCTTAGAGAACCTAGAGAGCTTTAGGGGTTTTGGGGCTGCTCAGCCAGAAGCACGCACTTCCACCGAGTTGATCTTGTCCTGGAACATCTTGAAAGTGATGACACCTTGGGGTTGTGCAACTCTTACGTTCCCTCCCCTTCAGGACTGCAAGACACTACAAAGTGGACCATAACAGAGAACAGCCCGAGTCTCCACTGCATTGGGCCCTCGAGCAAAACCGATGTGAACTGTTAAGCAATGAATCTCTGGCCCCGAATGTAACTTCCTTCGCTGCACAACTCTGCAAAGCTGCCCAGGCAGGCTCGGAAGGTCTAGAAGCTTACCCCGAGAATCCTCTGCCTCCTAGTCCTTTCCTTGATTGCCTTAACTGACGACCAACCGCAGAACCTGCAACCCCAATGAAGAACTTCTCAAAGTGGCCTTGTGGGTGGTAGTGTCTCGGAAAAGTAGGCTTGAAACTCCGGACCAGTGGAGCTCGAGCTACAAAACAGACTGGTAGCGCGATATCCGATATTGCAATGGAAACATAACCACAGCTAGCGAGTTCTGACCAACGAGGCACCATCTTCAGCACCGAACTTGCTGAACAAGGTGTTGATCTTGCCAAGGTGCGCCTCAAAAAAAGCTACACAACCGCAGGCTGACCGCAGGGGACTACTGGAACTATAGAAGTTACAGCAGTCCATAATCACCTGATCGGAGAAGCCTCGCTCTTCGATTTCCACCAGCAATGCTGCAGCACAGCGGCAACAGCTAAAAGATACTAGCATTCATCAGTCAATGCCGATGCTGTGTGTATGGTGGTGCAGGTGGGGATTACGCTCTCGCCAGAGGAACTGGGTGAATAGGATGTATCCGCTGGCTGCGCTTTCGAGGCATCGACCCGCCTCCTTGTTGGCCAGGATCGCATGCACTTTGGAAGCGTGGTCGTTCTGAGCACCATCAATGGCACTCTGGCAGAAAACTGCCGTAACCTGCGTTCGAACTAACTAACTTTGTTCTGGTGCCGGCTAACCTGCGTTCGAACTAACTAACTAACTTTGTTCTGGTGCCGGCAGCCCCCGAATGGACAGGACACCACTGTGAGCCCCTTCAAATAAATGAGGGGCAACCATATGACATGAGTGCGAAAGTCGTTCTCGTGCTTGTGTGTGTCGTTCACGTGCTGGTTACTTTGTTCCAGTGCCAGCAGGCCCCGTTCGAGACTGCTAACTAATTTTATTCAGATGCCTACAGCCCCTAAATGGACAGGAAACATGTACACGCCTTTTACAGTAGGAAGCGCAACCATCTGGCGGGCTACAAGCAGTCGGGGGAAGAAGCAAAGACTGGAGTCGACATGCAGACACAAGCAAACCTTGGGCATGCATGGGGCAGAAAACGACAGGTGCCCCTCTGCGCATGACCAACTTGCGAGCATCCCCCAAACTTCGTAAGGTGCAGCGCACGAAGGGGCATGCTGCTGGATGCCAAGAGATGTGCATCTCGCAATAGTCTGAGCGATACATGTAGCACAGCAATGGGAACCACCCGACACAACCCAATAGACCGACAAGACAGCAAAACTCATCAGCACCCCCAAAGCGAAATATCGTCCATCGGCAAGGGCCCTTTGCCCTGACTTGACTGCTGCCAAGTCACCACATTCAACCTGAGCTATCGAGCACTTAGGAGTTATCCTGCGTACATGAATCTTCGAGCTGAGGGTGGTGCCTCTGTCGGACCACCTAGAGGCTGCTTATTAGAGCCTTTCGGCTTCTGACTTTGGTTCATGCAGCTTGCGAAATCCGAAAGACCCAACCGCGACTCAGATGTGGAGACGCCAGGCCCTTGGACCAAGCAAACTGTAGCTCACCCCACATCTGCCGGAAGCGCATTCCTTCCGCGGGACTTCCCTGTACACTTCGCCTGTGAGGCTTTACCATTCAGCGGCACAGATTTAATGTAGGGGCCTTAATAATTAGAATAGGGTTCGGGGGTACGTTGTACTGAAGCATACGGGAACTTTTTTGCATCCGGTCTGCAGCGCCTCTACCGGGTCCGCCTCAAGCATACTGGAACTATAAGAAGGAACCTCCAAGACCTTATTCATTTATTAAGGCCCCTACGTTATCTGCCTTCAAGAGAGCAAGCTAGGGTCACGAAGCATTCGGTGCTGAGGCTTCAAAACAGAGTGATGACTCAGTGAAGCTCGCTGCATCGCTTTATGCTGCGAGTCGCACGGCAAAGTAGGTGAACGATATGTAGAACAGAAAGATCCAAATCCAGGTTTCGGACATCGCCTTGGGCAAGCATGCTGTTGCGACCGCTGCTGGTACAACTAAAAACAGTGACCATACTAAGGAATGTAGTCAATGTAGTCGTAACAGCAGGTACAAGTACTTCTCCACCTGCCGACAATCATCATCACCAGCGCCATCCCAATTGTCAAGCGACCATCTATGACTTGTGTCGGGAGTTCCACTTGAAGGCCGTGAATCTGAATCTTTACAAGAGCATTCAAAAACACAGCCAGCACAGGTTAGTCAAGGGTTTCAATACGCTTCACAGCTCGTGAGACAGTTCGGCCAAAATGACAACGCAGTCCATCAAGATATGCAGTCCGATCACCATAAACTCAAGCTTCGAGCTCAAGCAAATATCAAGCTCCCACGAATAGGCGCTGAACGGCGAAAGCAAACGTGTAGATTTTGGATCCAACCCTCGCCCTTAAGGCTCCACTATACAGGAGTTGCTTCACAAAGGATGCAAACTGTATCACTCGCTGTCTTTGGTCGTGTGGCACTGAGCGGTGCCAACACCTGTTCCCAGCTCACGCCGCCGGCGATGCTCATGAAAAGGCCTGGTCCAGGCGCATGTATTGGCTTGGGTATTTGGTTGAAGATGTGGGGGCTCACGCAATTTGCAGCAATGGCAGCAACACAAGAGACGCACTGCTGCAACCTGCTTCGGCATCGGGCGCTGCAACGTGAGCGCAGCACATGTTGTGCGTGGAACTTGTACGACTGTATCGGTAAGACGTGGCCTTGTGAGGTCAGAACCCTATGCTGGACATTCGAAAAGCACGGTCTCCAAAAACCAGGTGTGAAATAATACTCCTCACACAAGTACCCGGCTTTTGCGTGAATGTATATACAGTTGCCAGATCTTAAACTGCTACACTCAACGAAAATCTTCAAGTAAGGTGGATAACTTGCACCGTAGTCCTTAGTTAGTTTAAGAGCATCAACCCCATATATCGTGGGCATAAACGTCCTAGCAGGAGACTATTACGACAAGCAGGCTGCAGTGCGAGATGTACAGAGTTGTTCGATTGGACTGTGTGTTCAAGGGACCCGGTGCGAACACAAAGTGCGTTCAGTAATGCCTGGCTACGGAAAATACTTCCGTCATGCATGTCGCCGGAGCTGTTCTGGAAGTAAGTCGACAACAACATCCATTCCGGTCCAAGTCGCTCAGCATCGTCAGCGCCAGGGATCCGAAATAGCGATCACTCGCATCGTCGTCCTAAGCTGTCGAACATGTCAGAACCAAGAATTGTGGGGTACCTTAGCAATGCCTAATGGGTGTGCCGTGAAAGCATTTCGAGGGGCTGTTTGGATCCCACACTATCGGTGTTCCGCAGGATTCTCTGATTATGATTCTGCTCCGCTGGAGGCTTGGCCTTCTTTTGTTGATTTACGCGTAGTACTGGACACAGACAGGTCTGCGAAGGGACCGCAGAATATATAAAACTGCTTCGGACGAGAGGCCGCTGGTGATAGAGGAACCTCAGTCTCGCTACAGTACTTGGCGAATAATCTATTGAATAGAAGCAGCCTCAATTGGAGCATGCTGCTGGAAACGTGGTTCAACTGAAGGGAGGTAGTCTTGTTGGCGCTGGTGCCCGCGAGTAGTGGTGGTGGTGGTGGTGGTGGTGGTGGTGGTGGTGGTGGTGGTGGTGGTGGTGGTGGTGGTGGTGGTGGTGGTGGTGGTGGTGGTGGTGGTGGTGGTGGTGGTGGTGGTGGTGGTGGTGGTGGTCCTCTGGCTTTTCTTTGACCTGCTGCTGCACTTGTATGCCTCTGGTCGGACATGGCAGCTGGCAGAGGTGACTGAGCCAGTTTTGATCAAAGAACCGCTAGCCGCTAGACCATCTGCTTCTAGCTATTGACACCAACGGTTGCCTCTTCTTAGGGATGAAGGTGAGGAGTGCGGCAGACGGTTCCATCTTGCCGAAATGTGATGGTTCACCATGATGACTGGCAGCGGCGACTAAATCACCACTCGAAGCAATGAACGTTCTGATTCCCAAAACTGAACCACTAGACCGAGCGCCAAGAGCAAGTTCAGACATCAAGTAAAGCAGCAAGAGCAGAACAGAAGCAGATCAACGGACCAAAAACTCGGCCTCAGCGACAGCCATGCACAGGGCAAGACATGAGATTCAGGATCAGCATCTCTTGAAACTACTTCGATGCCAAGAACAACACGATCAACAACCCGTAACGAGCTCAACGCCACTAGTTGCCCATGATTTCCCGACCTCACAAGCACCTACCGGCAGCTTCGGCACATTGTCAGTGTCAGCCTTATAGCTGTGCACCGCCTGCGTCAACCTCGCCATGAAGCCAGTGCATGTAATGTGTGCGTTGCTTAAGCAATCATAGTTTCCGATTCTGGGACTATTTCCGGACATGCCAATGCGTTGTCAGGTTGATATGGGATCTCCCAAACGAACAACAGGTTCCCTTCGCGATCTTGAAGCTCTCCCAGCCTTCGAAGATCCTTACCTTCCGATTTCGGCGCTCTCACTCGGACAATCCAGGCGAGGCATATGGTTCGGAGTCTGCTGAGTGAGACAGCTCTAAGGGAGCCTTTTGAAAAACAACTCATATCCACACGGCTACAACAGTAAAGTAAGTGTGCATCCCGATTTAAGAGTCTAAGACTGCAGGCTTCCAAGACTACTCTTCTCAATTGGGTACTGGCTCAGTATTCTCGCCGCAGATACAGAAGGGGTCATGTACTTTCAGTGCGGAGGGCCCATTGAGGCCCATGACTGTTAACGGCTGTAGAGCGCTTGAGGATTTGTGCTCCTCCGCAAGAAACCCTAGTCGCCCCAAGCTCGACGCCGCCTATATACCAAAACCCTGTAGATTTACCCCTTTCGCTCTCGCTAGATTTACCCCTTAAGGTATGGTAACCATGAAGAATGCAGAACACAAAGGCTTCCACATCTTCGATTCGCAGACAAAGCGGCAGGATGGCGAAGACATAAATGATCAACGCGAGAAGCATGAGCGCCCAAAGCAGCGACTTCAAAGTGGCAATGATCCTCGGTCCGTCACTAGCTTTCGTTCTCCAATCTGTACCTCGTTGTACTCTTCTTAGTTATCTGTTATTGATATCGTCGGGTGAGTTGAGTGTTAGGCAACTGCCTATACCTTGGATTCGGAAGCAATGCCTCGGGATTCGGATTGACAGGAAGTCATGCAGTGCATTCGGCGTGCTGCGTCGAGATGGTGAAAATTTGGCCAGCTTACACACACTCAACCATCCACTTGCTTGGATCCAGCAACGAGAGGGTGTGTCATGTTCAGGTCCATGCTTACCACTGGCCATATATGGAATCCCAGTCCAACCCATTCCGTTTCTGCTGAGCAGACGAGGTGCGAGGCAATCAGCAGCCGAAATGCCATCACAAATCGGAAGATTCGGATCAGCCGAGCGGCCTGATTGAAAACGTCAACGCGCGCGCTCGCGCGGCTTTGCTTAGAAGGCTGTCTTCCGACGGGTTGTAGCTCACGAGGCGCTATCTCACAAAGTGGAATGACTGAATGTTTCGACAGCGCCTTTCTTTCTCACCTACTCATAAAATCTCTTGAAGGACTGTCATAGCTGAAACTTCATGCTGAATCTGCCGGGAACACACGTCAAAGCAAACGGATGGCACATCGTGGCAGGGGCTCTCTACTGCGATGACCTCCCTGCCATGTGTGTGCCCTAGTTTCTGCGTCGGCACTGCATGGGCTCTTGCGCAGCCGTCGGAATTTAGGTACGAAAGTTCTAGCAGATCTTTAGCATGATGTGAGAAGTGAATTAAAAGACGATGAAAACTGATCCCACCGCCGATGAAGTCAAGCTGAAGCCCTAACCCCCTGACCCCAACTTGTGATAGAGACTTGAAATGTTGACTCCGATCTCTAGCATAAGCTGACAGATGCGACAGCCTGAGCTCACTTTGAAGCTCGAAGTTGAGCATAGTAAGCCAGAATTGCATCAGGACTCCAAATATGAAGCCAAAAGTTGCCCCCGAACGCCGAACACCCTGTCAGATCAAAAATCAACACCCGAAGCGCAAAGCCCAAGCTCAGACCCGCAAACCTGAAACCCTCAACTCCAGACCAGGAAACGCGCCTTCACGATGCGGGTTATGCGTACAATCCGCAGTATCTTCAGACTTGTCAGACTTTTCAGGCCGCCTCCATCGCCTTCGGTTCCTCTCCACTTTGAGGCATTTCTGTGGTGTGCTCAAGAGATCTTTCTGGATTTAAGGGGTTCTCAAACGTGGCCCTGGAAGTCAACCGTGCGGCCCAGGAGCGTTCGACATGGGGTTCAGGATGGTTCAGGGCTCTGAGCTCTTCCAGCCGGACTTTGCATATGCCAAAAGGTGGCAAGAGATAAAGGGGTTCAGGATGCGAGCCCCCGAGCTCCCGAGGTTGAAGCAGAAGCCGTCGCGATTGACGAGCCGAAAGAAAGCAATACAAGATGCCCGCCTGAATTCACAGTCCATTTAACATCCCCGGAGTTGAACCCTTCAATGTCTGTTCTGCAGGGCCAGAGGTCTCCACCGATTCAGCCAACTAAGCCCAACCCTAGATCCGCCAGCTCAACTTTCACCCATGCCTGCTACAGGTGATCAGCTGCCAAGGTCCTACGGCAAAAGGCCGCCTGTTTGCCGAAGGCCGGTCCCCCAACGACCGGCAACCACCACTCGTGGCAACAAAAGCGTGTGATCAGGTGTGATCCGACCCCTCGCCGAAGCGACCGTCCTTGTGCAAAGAAGGCATACGCCTCAAAGCCAACCTCCCAAAGCGAGGTCAGCACAATCATCCTTAGTCCGGCTGCGCGTGCCAGGTCTTTTCTGCGGCGGCAGTGCTAGCATGCAAACCTACATGTTCATCACCATGTTCGCCGATCGAAAGTTCGTCGACACCTGCATGCGGTGATTGTTCCTACTGCGATCGAAGCCGTGCCGAAGGTTTGCGATGTCCGCATGAAGTGAGTGGGTGGGAAGCAAATGGAAGCAGTCGAAGATTTCGCCAAGAAGGCAATCATCTCATCACAAAACCGATGTGACGAAAACTCCATGCAAGTCGACAATAACGAAACACTTTTTGTCGTCAGGTTGAACGAGGGTGTTGGAGGAGCTTCGGGGGCTGCTGATGCGAGCGGAACGGAAGGAGTTAGACTTATAGGAATTCGGCAGCACTCGACACTGGACCAGACCTAGAAATCCAAGACCGTAACTGTGTTGCCGCCAAAAGACAGGTCCAGCCAGCCCCACATCCAGTCCTGGGCAATCAAGAGTCGGACTCAGAGTTCAGACGACTTCCCGAACCAGGGCTCAGGGCTCAAAGGCTTGTCACTGCATGGCTGGCTATTCCTCTTGTTCTTCTGAACTTCCAAGGCCAAGAGTTTTCTAGTCCTCTGGGTCAGGAGCTGCTGGCTGCAGAGACTGCTGCAGGGTGTTGGGCTAAGGTTACGGCAAGGCGACATCTCAGCCATGTCATGACACTGCAACCAGACACTTCTAGCAGCCCCTTCTCAGTCAAGCTCGAATCAACATCGAATTCTGAAGACCACTCCACGCCCAGGGTGTCCTCACCACAGAAGAATTTCGTCCCACCAGCCGCCCATCTCAGAAGAAGCTCAGCCAGAAACCTCCGACTTTCTCCCGCAATCTTCGTGTTGAAGTGACTTGAGGCCTTGAGGGAAAACCTAGCAGCTAGCAGAGTCTAGATGTCGTGAGCCGAATCTAGGACGAAGGCCTACTAGACATTCGCCTTAGCGAGCACGCAGCCCCGAGCCACATTGACCATGTCCGCTGGAATGCATCTGAGCCAAGACAGCCCTAAAACCTTGCATTGGAAACCTTATTAAAATACTAGACTATATACTATAATAGTACAGTATAGTACTCCAACCTCACCCCCGACTAGAAAACTGAAAACCCAAGATCTGAAAGCCTGAAACGTCACGAGACCGACATTGGCAGATGTTTCTCGTGAAGCACTATACTATAATACATTATAGTATGGCATATTATGGTATTTTTTCGTGCAGCACGACCCCGACCTGGGCCTCCAAAAGCAACAAAGCCACGGACACGCAAGACAACGCACATGGAAAGGGCATGGTGGTATACCCTGTGTGTCGGTTTAAGTTGAAAGATCTACGGGTACGTTAACGGGGAAAGTGCAATGCGGATCACCCGACAGTTGCTCTGGAGATGCTCCAACTCCTTTCGTGTAGGTTTTGAAATTTGTGGAACGTCGACGGACATTCTTACAGCCATGATTTCAACATGCTTCAACCCTTGAACTTAGCTGAATGGAGACTCTCGGTCTATGAGGTTCTTACTCTTTCGACTTGGCTGCCGTTCCAGGTGCTCCAAAACTCTTTGGGGTCGTTTCGGAGGTCTTTGCACCCAGGGCGCAAGAAGGTAAATGTGTACTGGATGACGGCAATGGGAACCTCAGATGCTTGAGGCTTTTGGGGTGGCGCCCTTCTTGGCAGTTCTGGCTTGAACCCGTCTAGAATCCAGAGCGAGATCGGCATGCGCCGTCTGAAAGCTCTGGCCAATAGTTTCAGAGTCAAGCGCAACGATGCAGCGACCACGGGTTTGATTTGCGCTGAGAGGGATTATCTCTGTTCACGCTCTCGCAACTCGGACAAGCCAGACGAGGTCTCTCGGTGCATAGTGCTTTGACTGGTTCTGCACCACAGAGGAGCACTGTTTAGGGTTCGCTTGTCTCCGGGATGGGCATGAGAAACAAAGAGTGATTGAGTTTGCGTGGAGCTGACAGTTGCTCCATCCATATGCTCTGAACATATTGCCACGCTCCATCCCGAGCCTTCGCTTTGAACTTGACACCCTTCACTGCTTGCCTATGCAGGTCCCTTTGTCGATAGGTTCTGCCTGGGGATCTTCAGAAGACGCTGGATGCCTTGCTTGACGTTGTGCATGCAACTTACTGATGTGGTGCTCAGTGACGGAGTGCCTACGAAAACCTCACAAGCGAAAGGTTCAGCAAAGGCTGCGGGGAGCAGCGTTTGCGGCTTCGGTGATGAACTCCCCATCACAACCACAACCCTGGTTCCATCGCCACTTGCCCTGAAACATTAATCAAGACACCAACATACACACACAGAGACACATGTCGTTTTTTAGGTTCGAATACGAAGAACTTGATTAAAGTGTTTAGGTGCAGTTCGAAATGCATGAAGGTTCCATCCCGAAGCACTTGTTGCAAACAGACTGACGTACGTGCCCTCACACTCAGAACGGGCTTCGAATCCCGAGGCGCTGCTTCGTAACGAACACCATACGGTAAACTTGGCCATCACCATCACCACATCATTGCAGTTCTAAGCGTACTTTTATGGAGCTCTATGTTAGGCCTGAATCACGGCCTGCAGCGAAGGGCGGAACTAAACAGCACCCAACATGTTTTCAGCAAGAATCTCAAGCAGAGAAGCAAAAACACGACATTTTAGCCGAGAATCACAGATTGTGCAACACAAGCGGTCGGCCAATCTTCAAAACACAACATGTACTCTCTCAACACTCTTCGGTCAGGGAAACCGGAGTGCCATCGGGGTTCGACAGCGAGACTTGCAGCTCCACTCCTAGGCAATATGCCGTCAGAGCATACGACATCGGGCTGGGGTTTTCTTGTGCCACTACACCGCCATCGAGTGTTCGGAGCCTCCAATGTGGACATTTCCAATGCTGCATACAGAGGTCATGTCTGCTGCCGTCGTTGGCAGCGTTTACGATGTAGGCTGAGCTTCAATGCATGCTTCGCGGCCTGTTTACATGAGGTTATCCAACTACACGGGTCTGCAACATGAGCTAAGCAAACCGAAACCGTCCTGCGGGGCAACATTTATCCGAAGCCTCCGGCGTGACTCAAAACCGCCCGAACCTCACAAAGCCTGAACCTCAATCCCGAACCTTGCACTCCTTAGAACTGGTAATGTGCCCTTGGTCCGTCGTCAACCCTCAGTGCAAAACCAAAGCCGACAACCCGAGACTCTAAACGGCCCTTCATCCGGTCCTACAGTGCTACAGGCCCTAAACCCGCAGCCCGAAGCAGTTGTCCGTAAGCTGAACCACTGAAGGACTTCCCCTGCAGAATCCATGCGTCCAATGAAGATCGAGTTGGAGAGGACCTCCGATGAACCGAGTAAATTAAGGTCCAGGACTCGGGTCTAAACATTTCGGAACTTGAATCATTAGATCAAGGTTTTGAGGTGTAGTATATTATCACGAGAACTATAAAGGAAAGCGGAAAATGCTTGCCTATACCTCCGTAATACATATACCTGAGGCGTGTTGGCTCGCATTGGTGCATGCCATGTTGGTTCCAAGAATCACAACAGGCTGTCCGAGTCAGTTTTGTGCACTGTTGCGATCCCGAGCAAGTGCAAGTCCTGCCAGGCTCTGATACTGACATATTTTATACATACATTTTTGCAAAAACCAAGCACGCGCACACACTTAGTGCACAGAAACAGACATACTATTATTACGCACTACATAGTCGAACACACCCGCCTTGCTGCAACAACGTACACCCATACTCACACTCACTACTACACCACTCCGCTAGACATTGCATAACCCGGCAGGCTGATGCTAAAATCGAACAGCATCATCTTGTTGCCGATGGCTAACCTAATGCTTCTTGAAGGTCGTCACGAAAGTTCGGTTCGACAAATGTCCCCAGACTTCCCAAGCCCCAAACAGCCTTAAACCCTGGCCCTAAACCCCTAAACCCTAAACCCGAAAGATCCAAGAGGGGCCGAAGGACTACAGCCGTGAAGAAGACGTCGAAGGCCGGCGCCTTCACACACCTCACCAAGCGGCCTGGGACTTGCATTCAGAAGATGAGTAGGGAATGGAAGAATGGTAGTAATAGTGGTTATATGGTAGTAATATGATAGTAATATGATAGTAGTATGATAGTAGTATGATAGTAGTATGGTAGTCATAGGAGTTCTGACTGACTCACTCGCACGAGGCACACTGGGAGTTTCGGCGCTCAAACTCGGACCAGCCAGGCGAGGTTGTTGCTTCGAGGTCTGTTGACATGAGACACTTCCAAGACTGTGCTGATCCATTAACTGCGGTATACTGCGGTATGGACGACAAGTTAACGGTAAAGCTATTAAGAAAATCGAAGATCGGATGTGGGAGGTTTCCGAAAATAGGGGACCCTGATATAGCACCATAAATAGTAGGATCCTCTTTGTAAGTACAATTAATTTTCGGAAACCCCCATGTCTTGAAAGACAAGACTTCAGAGGAGCCTTTGTCGGGGCTGGGGTGACAAGAATGCTACTGACTACGGAGGGTGGGCTTAAAGGCCAGGTGTTGCGAAGTTCTACGTGAAACCTATGGTTGATTAGCCAGAGTTTACAGTAGGGCTGAGGAGAGACTACAGTAAAGAGAGGATTCTGGGCACACCCTCTTCACTTTTCAGGGTCTAGCGTTCGGAGATTGCCTCTTGGCCTTCCATGACAGCATATGCGAGCCCTTGCAGGTCGTAAGCTGTATACAGCGCTTTTCTGAACTATACCGTCGCGGAATTCACAGGAACTCGTCCAGCAGTCCCACAAAGCCTTTCCTTGCGCATCGAAAGACTTACTCATACTTGCTTGGAAGACATTACGGCGAGCCGCCAAACCCCTTTTGTGCCGCGCGGCTCTCAAGCGGCTCAGTGGGCATGCTCTCTGACCTTCTCTGGCCATGGCTGTTGCTGGGTCAAGCCGCATGGTTTTGTACGACGCTGGGGTTTGGGAACGCGGCTTGAAAATTAGATCAATCCTTGACTTGACATGCTTCTTTCAACATCGCACGGAGCTCTTCGAAGAACAACAGAGCATCTTAACTTGTGGGCTCAAAAAAAACGATTACGATGCAGATGCTCAGCACGCTGGGCACTAAACTGTTTAGGCGAGGATGCATTTCGCACACGAACCTGATCCTAGATATTCGTCTGTACCATTCTGCAGTCTGCACCCCGAGGCACAGCCTTTGAACAAGAGGTTTCGAATCAAGAGTTCAGGCGCACTTTGCCGCTGCGCCACTTTACGTCAAGCTCATTGCATCCAAATACCTACTGTACTGTACTCGCTCCACCACTTGAGGCCCAGATAGTAGAATATACCCCCAAACCCTATTCTAGTTATTAAGGCCCCTATACTAAACCCTTATAGTAGCCCTTATAGGTATCTCAGGAAAGGCGACCTGCCTCGTCTGCATCGAGTGTCGCTTTGACTCCTTCTGCGCATCGCGACGCAGCTTCAGCTCCGTCTGCGAAAAGGTCCTTGCATTGGTGTAGGCCTGTTTCCTTTCTCGAGTCCAGACCACCAAGGGCGAATATGCATCTTTTGCATGCCCTGATTGACATGCATGCCGCACGGTGCCAGGATCTGCCGGCATGAGCACAGACTGGTCTGTCTGATGTAGACATGATGGTATGTTTTGCTTACGCGCCTTTGTCTGCACTTGGTGCCACGTGGCACAACCATTCTGTTACGTATCATGCTTTTAGAAGGAGCGTCTGGCATCGAGATTTTTACATCGAAATGGCAGTAATTAATTGCATTGTGCGTGTCTGGTTGTGTGTGAGATAGGCACGGCGTGCGTGAAACGGAAGAAGCGAAGTATCGAGCAAGCACGCCTGAACATACGCATGCACGATAATCCTTGCATGTGACATGTGCACACATACGTGCGTGCACAGCATATGCATCTGCGGGCATGCTGGGTGTTGTCGTTGCACATATCTAGACGAGGCAACCCATTTATGGTGATCGCATCAGGCTGAAACTATGCCAACTTAAATGACAATGCAGGCATAAAGATGTGATCGACACTGCCCCCAGAACACACCCAAATTGGGACAGGGTAACTACAAAGTACACTTGCCGGTGCCTTGTGGCACAGTCCCTCGCTGTGATAAAGCACGTTCTGTATCAAGCGCCTATTCAGGCGACTGTTTCTATGATGCCTGAAATGTTCTGAGCCAACCGTTCAATAGACTATGTGTATGTCTGTGTGTCTGTCTGTGAAACTGCCTGTCTCTGCACGTATGTGCGTACGGGTGTACGTGCAGCTGAGAAAGTTTTGACTCAGATAAGCACAACCTGGAACCCCGGAACAGACTGCGTTGTCTTAACAATCAGTGGCCGAATTTTGTCTGAGGGAACAACAGCTACCTGAAACATTCTGGCATCGTGCCACTTCCAGGCCGACTTGTGAGACCATGCTGTCCAGTTGCTTGAACAATTGCGGTGTGAATGTCGGCCGAGCTGGCTTCATCGGGACCTGAGAGAAAAGCATGGCGGATAGCAATATCCTTGGCCCATCGTTGCTCTCCTTCCTGCTCCTCCAACACGAGAGTGGGGCACCTTTTGCGAACTGAAACTTTAGAATTGATTTGGGGTCCAACGGCGGCTCCAGGCTAGACGTGTGCCTGGCAGCTCGGCAGTTAAGTCTCGCCCACAAGGGGCTTTAGAGCACATCGCCATCGCCACTGATGAGCCGTAGTAGTGTGTGGCAGTCGTCGTCCTAGTAAAAGAAGTAGCAGCGAAGGCAGCAGGAGTTGCGGGAGCACTGGCCTCATCATGTGTAGACTTGCTAGTTAGTAGGCCTCATGTGAAGCAAATGCGTTTAACTATGCTGAATCACCTGTAATATGTGAGTTGCAAGTCCCAAAACGTCCCACGAAAAGGCAAGCCGCATTCCGCCCACTGATTGTGCGAACTTTTTTGGTTGCTGGCAGCTCCTTTGGCATCACGACGCTGTCCTGCCAGCGAGGCCCACAACGTGGCTGAGGCATTCAAAGCTGATGGCTTCTAGTTTGAAGCTCCTCGATGGTTGGGGGATGTTGGGGGTGTCGGAATAAATTCTGCGGTTAAGTTTGATTTTGCAAATTTGTGGGTTCAGCATCCGGGGCTTACATGCGGTGCAGTCGGGCATTGAAGATTCTGAAATTCAAGCGTTATGTTTGGGGTTTATGGAACATTTAGGGCATGAAAACGGGCAATCGAAGCAAAGTTGAACCTCTGCCTTCATTAAAAAGTTACACGGTCCGGCACCTCGTCATCTGGCTTTACCTCCGTGACCTCTGTGATGGCCCTGAGCGGTTGGGGTTCTAAACACTCTTCTGCTTGAATCCAAGCCGTTATCGGTCGGTCGTGACGCCATGCACGGGATAACTGCGACTGATGCGAAATGTTGGGATGATGGGTTTGACGCTCACACACTCGGCCCAATCAGATGAGGTTGTTGGTGTGTAATGGTCTTTCTCCGACTGCACTCAAATCGAGGGTAGATTTCGAATCTCACGCTCGCACCAGTATCAGGACAAGTCAGGCCACAATACAGCACCATATAGTTTAATGATATGTGTATATATATATATATATACATATTAAAGCCACGGTATACAGAGTATGATGAGACAAGATTATATGAGAGAAGATTGAAAACAAAGAGGCGTGGACCCTTTGCTGAGTGTGTTCAAATTCGCCGGGCTGCTGTTTAGCATATGCGATCACAGAGCACACTGACTCGGGGCAGGAGTGGAACAACAAACGAAAACATGCAGGACGGGAGGTTTGCCGACATGACTGCACTGCTGCATGTTCGGCAATCCATGGAAGGAGTCATGGCACCCGGGCCACAAATCGAGATGCAAAAGGGCATGCATGCCCGTGACCACCCACCGCTGCTTTGACTCAGGCAGGGCTGGCGGGAAAATTGAAACACACCTGAGGTGGACGATGACTGCGACGGGATTGATCAATGAATTTTAGATATTTACTTTTCTCTGCGTATCACTGGCTTTGTCATGGCTGCTTGGGGGTGATCGAAACAAATTACGTAGTGTACTGGGAGCTGGGGGACTCTGTTGCACCTGCCTTTTCGAGGCCCTCTTTCATGTAATCCGTAGCCCGGAATTTACGTGAACCCGCACTCCGGAACCACTGCCAGGAATGGCACACTTGCCTTCTCAACGTCATGCTTCCCTCAAGCCGCTCGATCTGCCAAGATTCTTCAAAGGCACCACGTCCCCCGTACTCGACACCTCGCTGCAGGATGTTCTGTTTAGAACAACAACAAAAAACCGTCTTCCTTCAACCCAAGAAGCCCTCAAGTTAAGGCTTCTTGACAGCCAACTTAATGGGCTGCTGATAGTGCAACATTGGGCGCATGTGTTAAATGCGAGCAGCCTCGTGCAGATCCGGGATGAGGCGGCATCTCATCTGGAAGTCGTTTTTCGTTCTGCAAGCTTCTTGCTGCGAATTAGGCCGAGAATGGCACATGCATGGCGGGAGGACTACAGGGAAGAGTCCTCGGTGTTTCGGGATTCTCGGTCTTGCCAGGGCTATGGTGTCGGGGTTTTACCCCGGTCTCTTCTTCAGCTCGGCCAGAGGGGCGGTCGCACGAGCTCCGGATTCGCGCACCGGGGTCTCTCTCTCTCTCTCTCTCTGTCTCTCTGCCGTGCCATCACCAAAAATCTCGCAATGCAAGGGCACGAACCTAGGCGGGATTCAGGCTCCAGAAAATCGGCAACCCTTGCACACAACGTATGTTTGTAGACTCTAGACAGTGGTGGCGGTGGTGGTGATGGGCGGCGGCGAGGTGACAGCGGGCGAAAGCATCACCATCAGCGTGGAGTCGACTGGAGAATCAACATCACCTGCCGTCTTCGCAATCATCTTCCTCATCACCATCCTCATCAGGTGCGATCAATGACCGTCATGACGATGATGCAAGACTTCAGGGTTTTATCACTCTTGCTCATAAACCCGGATCCGCCACGGCTCGTGTAGGTGGCATCGCGGCACCACAAAAAACTACCGAGACCCAACCCGGGCAGGCCTGTGGGAAGCCGTCGGAGTCGGTTCCAGCGCCGATACTCCCCGAGGTGCTTCGAAGCCTTCGGTCCGAAAAGTACTGAAATCGTCGGCTACTGCCGGCTCCAAGGTCAAGGAAGAAGCTGGAACGTTGGAAAGCCAAATCTATGAATCTACCCTGCCCCGGACCCAAACTGCCTCGTCTCTTCGGACCCTACTCGGCTGAGACGAGACCAAGATCGCACGGCTCTAAAGCACACTATGCTGCCGCGGGCTGTGTTGCTGTGCAAAGGCTCTCTCTCTTTCGCCAGCTCTCTCTCTCTGTCTCTCTCTGTCTCTCTCCCTCCCTCCCGTAGCGATAGAAAGATAGATCGATTGACAGACAGATACATAGACACTTAGAAAGACAGACATATATAAAGACAGAATAAGACAGACAGACCGATAGGCAACAGAAGAGTAGATAGATAGACAGATAGGCAGATAGAGGGACAGAGAGGGAGAGAGCAAGACGCAGACATACATCGATAGACGCAAAGAGACAGGCAGATAGGTAGATAGACAGATAGATAGGCAGGTAGCTAGATAGACACAGAGGGAGGGAGAGAGAGAGAGAGAGCTCTGGATAGATAGATAGATAGATAGATAAACAGATGGATAATTAGATGGATAGGCAGGTAGTTAGACTATAGGTGGATAACAGATGGAGAACACATAAATGTATGTGTAGATATAGATATAGACGGAACATACATAGATATAGATAGCTAGATCGATAGATGGATAGGTTGATAAATAGATAGATAGGTACCGGTAGCTAGACGGACAGATAGACAGATAGATGGATATATAAGCAGATGGACGGACGGAGGGAGGGATGGACATATTCATAGCTGCCAAATCTGCCTTTTGTGTGGGATCTGTGCAACGATTGACTCAGTCTCCAAAGCCCCTAGAGCCAACATCTCACAGCACGAGTAGGCAAGGATCTTGTAGTTGACCATTGTGGCCACGTCCTCACTCGACACGATCACCTCCAAGCGAGATACAGGTTGAAAGGCAAGTTTCAAGCAGCCTGCAAACCCTTGAACCCCAACCCTGAACCCATTGTCATTCTGTCGTGCCACTTCGGTAGCTTACGGAGAGCCAAACCTACCAGAAGCTCCAAAGGCCCCGGCGACTGCTGAGGGCTCAGCTCGCACACTTCCCTCGTGCCTACGACGAGGGCGCAAACTTCAAGGGCGTGCGCGTCAACATCTTGTCAAAACACGAAGGAGCCCTTGGCAGCCTGCCTGCGGAGAGCCAGAGCGACATGCGGAAGTTCCACTCGATTTTTCTGAGTCCTTGCGGCGCCTCAGCTTCTGTGGGCAGGTCAAGCCTTGTCGCTTTACCCGGTGCTGAAGGGATCTGACGGATGGGACGGGCCATCAGGCAGCCTAAAGGTCTGAACTGAGGATCTGAAAGCTCCTTTCCGGGTTTGCGATCTCGGCCGAAGAGCTTCACAAGTAGACTACACAAACTTAAACCGCCTTCAGGCTACAGACCTCAACTTCTGTCAAGACACAGTGGAATACGGACTTTCTTCTGCGTCTGCATACGAGCCAGCGTGTCGCTCTGAGCGCTGAATGCTCGCATGACCTTGCAAACAATCGGGGCATACGAAGGTACTCGGCAAAGCAACATGACATCACGCAACGACGGTCCGCAAGGGGCGACAATTAAAAGCAAGAGGGCAAGCACATACGTGTATAATATATATATATATATATATATATATATATATATACACACACTTGCGCTCACGCAAGCTCGCTCCACTCCACGCCGACTCCACCTCTCGCTCACTCACTCACTCACTCGCTCATCCTCTTATTCACTCGCTCGCCCACTCGTCTGCATTCTACCCAAAGCACTTGAGCATATCCGTACTCAGCGTTCCGCTTTCTCTGCGTTCTCTTGCAGGAGTGGACTCTGATGACAAGCCGCCGTGCCCAAGTTGCAATTCTTTAGCCCTACACTCCAGCATCCAAGCCGAGATTCCTCTTCGTGACGTTGCCGCATCAGCTCGCAGGTCTGTATATGCTGCTGCGCGAGCATCTCACCCAGTCGGCCGGCCAAATCTGCAACAAAATCGCACTCAGCCGTCTGGATCTCCTGCAATGTCGCAACAACCCAAACCGCGCAACAGTACTAGTAGCTTGTAGCACCCAGAATAGCCAAACCACTTCGAGTGGCCACATGCCGTGGAGCTTCTTCTGTGTATACGTACGTACGAGCATACAAAAGTCCCGAGATGGGCATGTCCGTTTTCTCCCTGCAGGTTCACATCCGCTGAGGCTCTGGGCGGTGTCCTGCTCTGCGCACATCCTTAGACATCACGACTTTCGAACCCCTGACGCGGGACTCAAGGCATTGAAGGGACACCTGCAAGCCAGCACCATGCATCGGCTTTCGAGCGAGACGGCTTCAAGGGTAATTATGGGCGAAACGGGCACCAAAGATATCCAAAACTTCGCGCCATCCTGGGCTTGGAAGTCCAAGCTCGCAGCAACCCCCCGGCCCCTCACCTTTCCGTTTGCAACCGGCCCCTGCATTCTCGCCTAAACGCCAACCCCTTCACCGTATACCGGCTTTCGGCCCAGCAGCGCTTCATGCTCTTCGCAGGACAGCAGATGGCCAGGCTGGATGAGCGGACTCACGTAAGGCGACCTGACGACGACTCGCAGAAGAGTCTTGTAAGGACATGATAAGCAACCAGGTAGGACGGACTTGCATTGCTTACACTACCTAAAGTACAATGCAAGAATAACCGAACATAACCTCACAGACTTTTCCATCAGTGTCTCGGAGCTCGAAGTCCCCCTCGGCGGCGAAGCTGACCGATGACGACATGGCTCTCGCCCAAGCGGAATGGATGGTTGGTTTGTTGGCAAAGGCTCCGGGGTTTCGCGTCTGGCTACTGGCTGAATTTAGTGGCTTGATTGCGGCGTTCAGGGGACGGACAATGGCCTGCTTTGCTCAGCTGCCTGGGCATGGCCACAACTGCCCAAAGTGTTCTTCGCCAGGTATCTTGATCAGGGCTCTTCTTTCCGTTCTCAGCTAACTAGACGTCTCGTCCGCCAACCCAGTCACATATACCGACATGTGTGGAACTGCAGCGGGCGGCAGCAAATACCAATGATGGAAGGCATGCAATCAAGAAATGCAGACTCTCTCTCTCTCTCTCTCTCTCTCTCTCTCTCTCTCTCTCGCTATGTACTGAAAGACTAACTCTACGAATGTATGTACCTACGTATGCATGTACATATGTGTGTAAGTATATGTACATGTTTCTGTACAAGTTGATCTGCTTCGTTAGCCTATGTGGTAATTAGTTTATACCTAGTTTGTTGATTGTCCTTCTGTGTATGTACCACAAGGCACAGTAAACTGTCATCGCATTAACATATACATGCAAAATCTACGATGCTACAAACTTGATATGACAAGCATCGCCCCGTGGATGCAACTATGTGTCTACGATATACAGCCTCACAGGAGCGTATATGGATGTACGAATTGAGTCGTCAAGATCCGGAATGCACTCTCGTGGCCGAATGCCCATCACCAAGAGCATGCTCTCCAGCTCTCCTGGGCAAGCCGTTCCCGAGCTGCATCGCCATCTCCTGAAGACTGCATGACCGGAGCACCGTACTGGCGGAGGCAAGAACAGCTTTCTCAGTCACACCCAATAAACACCGCACAACACACACACACACAGAAACAAAGAAAACAAACAAACAATGTGGCTGTACAGCCTTCCCAAGGCGAGTTGCAGCAACCTTAGAAGCAAAAGTGCTCAACCCTCTGCGAGAGCAATTTTCCATCTGCATTCCGGCGGGCCCGCGCCCTTGCGCCACTTGTTAGCGACGCGGAGTTTCTCAGTGATAGCAGGTTGCCTTCTCGGAGAAACCAACTTAAACTAGAAAGCAGAACTCTGCCACAACTCGCCATCCGACTACATTCCCACCTTTCATTGCGCAGATTCTCTCCAGAATCTCCGCAGTAGTGCAATTAGCTCAGGGTTGGCTGAAGAATCTGGAGCCATCACTCAGAACTTAACACGAAGTGGTGTCAGGCACCCCCCATGTCCAGAGAGGAAACGGCCAAGAAGGACCTGATCTAGGTCAATGGCCAGTAGCAGTGGACATGTAGATGCCACCCAGGCAAGAAACGGGAAAGAAGGGCCGGCTGGTATGAATCCTGGAGGAATCAGTCGGATGTTGACTTTGATGTCGCAAGAAGCCGTGCAAGACACCGATTTTTTGCATATACTGCGGGCACCAGGGCAGCATCAGCACTGAGGCAATTCCATTATGAGGGATGCGACTTCTTCTGTGCGGTGCTCCATGGTTTGCCGCATGTTCACTCGACACCCAGGTGATCATTGCTCCAGACGGCTCGATGCAAACACTCTCTCATTTTGCAGCGGTTTTGGGGCGCTGGTATAGCAATTAAGGGTAACATGGGCTTCTGCAGAGAAATGAGGAATGATAGAGGTATGGCGAAGCTTTGGAACCAGAATTGTTCGGCAACCTCCCGTGACGTTTCTTGCCTGCGGCCACATCAAAAGCGCCAAGCCACTGGCACATCATATCGCCTATCGCCATTGCACGAGCTTCGCAGTTCCAATCGCTACATCCACGACCCATGGAGGATCCTGGTGCTAGTCCAGTCCGAACTGAGGAACTGAACTTGCCCATTGGCCGGACGACAGGTGTCCAGGCAGTCGCTTAACGATGCCCGTCGGCGCACTTCAAAACAGCCTCGTGCATGGACGAGCGTCGGGGCAAGCCTCGGGCTTCAGATTTCAGACTGAGGATTTCGTCGCCCATGCAAGAGGATGGCTTTCGTGTGCTGAATGAGATGAGGAGGTGCTATCTGCAGAGTGACCACGTCTTTCCTGAACTTTCTGGTAACATCAGCATCTCAAGGAGTGAAACGGAGAATGAGGTGCACGATGCTCATGTGAGAGGGAGTGTAGAGCTGCCGCTGTGGGTTTTGCACTTGACGCACTTTCTGCACAGCATTTGCGCATCCGTTTGTGATGCCAAGCTTTTGACATTATGCCGTACGAGCAGGATCCTTCAAAAGCTGGCAGCCGGCACTGCTCGGCGCTCCCTCCCAAAGCCACTTCAGAGGTGCAACTCCCCCTGCCGCCTCAGAAGCTCATGGAATAGTGCCTTGAGGTTCCCGATGTCGGTTCCCACACGGAGGATCTCCTCGGCGGTAAGGACTTACGCAAACAGATGCATGATGCATGTGGCGCAATGTAGCGCATAGCCCGTGGACTGGTGGCTATTGAAATCGCAAGCTCCAAGCAAAACTCCCAGACGACCCCTCCACAAGGATTTTGCGCTTGGTAGCATAAGCCGCCCCTGTCTAGGAGTCAGACACAAACCTGCTCACCAGGGTTGCAATGAGCAGGTCAATTGACCTGAAATCTGCACCACGACGCTGCGATATCATATCATCGTGGCCATCACCACCACCGCCAGACCGCCGCCATCATCATGAAGAAACACTGAAACCACTGACACGAACAAGAGTTCCAAATACTCTGAATCACGAACATGATCATGTCGGTGGAAACCTTGATGTATTGAGGAAACAGCCGTGGCCGGCTTAAAGCCCACCCTGTCGCCCAACCCTGCAAGGCTGGACTAGCCATGAGTCATGGCACCTTCTACCAATTTCCATGTCACTATATTCTGCCACTCCTTTGTGCAACCGGTCGTGGAGGCTTAACGATTGCTAGTGAAGAGGACACCAGATTCCGGCTGCACCCTCAATTCAGACCAGGCTGCGCCGCGAGTCTTGAGATTTTCGTGCCTCATCCGCGCCAGTTGGATGCTCTGGGCCGGGCCCTGTGCCAGATTCGAATTTCGATGGCTTTCGCAAAGGCACACAACGGTCGTGCTCGTACGAATTAAGGACGTCGTTTCTGTCAGCCGGATACACGTGTATTCTGTGTATGTAACATGTTTATCTATAGTTATACGACTATGTAATCATACAACATATAACTATGCATACAATATGCTGAGCAAAAACATATACATGCAACATGTATGATGTGTAATGGTGCTGGGTATCTAAAACCTATACTGTACTATAAACGCATATCATCTGTGTCGTGTACAATGTACAAAGCAATCTAACCCAAAGCTATTTTACGTAGAGTGCAACAACAGGCGTGCACAAGCCGGTGCGCTTGCCAGTGCAACGGACATGCGAGTGCCACCAAGTACGAAAAGGCGAACTCGTCTTCGCCCAGAAGAAACAATGAATCTCGTCCCAAACAGCTTCCAATCATCTCCAACAGTTGCACAAAGTCTACAGCCATCACGGCGAGATGCTTGAAATATCTTGACATGACAAGCAACACACACAGTGCTATTGCCGAGAACAGCACGCCGAAAACATGGAGAAAACGTTGTCGTCATCCTCGCCGTCTTCGTTGGAGTTGCACAACGTGGCAGTTGCGCTGGCAAGAGTGATTTTTCTAACAACGCTATCGAGACTGTAGCACAGTAGCAGCAGCACGTCCCAGCCTGCAATTGCATGCAGCCCGTCACAAATTCTTCCAGCGTAACATCGCCGCTTCCGTCAGAATCCATGACCCTCAGTGAATCGCAGACACTCTGGCTTTGGGGCTTTGGGATATCAGCTTGTTTCCAGGAGACTCGGGTTTGGGGATCTAGGTCTTCATCTCCAGAACTACCGAACCGAAGCGCATAGCTTCACTCTGCCTTGCACAGTTCTCGACCACCACGCCTGATAAGTCGTTGCTTTGAGGGACTCTCCAGTACCACTAACGGAGCTAGCCAAGCCAAAAACCGTCTGATGGGTAGGGTATGCAATGCTTACCCAGAGTACGCAACAGAGGGGCAAAAACATGCACAAGGGATCATGGACCGCAGCTTTACCAGCAACAGCAACAAGACGTACGTGCACAGTGCACACATGGGAATCACAGATGTCACGAAGGCAACAAACCATGTTAACGCCGCCGAAACAGCAATGGCAGCGTTCCGAATCGAGATTTTCGGAACTTCCTCAATGTTTCTTCCAAGGGGCATAAACAGCGTCCAGATATCCTGGTGAAGCCAGCCGACGTATGCACTCAACGCATCAGCAGTCAGTAAGAGCAGCAACTGCAGGAGAATGTTCGCCAGGAGAGACAACTAAACCAACGCTTTCCGACCTCAGTGAAAGATCACTCGCGACGCAGCCTAGTGTGATTTTCAACCGCGAACTGCGCCAAATGCGCTGGCTCCTGTGTAGAGATGTCCATCGACTCCAAGAAGCTCGCGAGCTTCTTCGATTTCAACGCGTCCTCGAAAGCAGAACGCCGAGGGTTAAAAGGACAAAAAACCAGACAATCATGAAAGGAAAGCTTTCTGAAGGCGAAACCAGACGTATTAGCGGGGTAAAGCCAACACAAAAACAAAAGTTTGCTTTGGAAAAGTTTGCAAATGGCTACTAGTGCTGCTTCTGCTACTACTACACGCAGGCGCACGGTTCAGAATGAACGCAAGTCTTAGTTTCCGTACTGAACTTGTCAACAAGATGCCTTCAGCTCTTGAAGGCTCACGAGGTTCGATTGGTCGTTGTCGATCTCCTTGGTTCAAGCAGGGTCATGCATGCGCAAAGCCATCAGCAGGATCAGCAGAAGTGCCCGCCGATGAATGAAACTCCACCATGCCGCATGCAACAACGGAAAAAATGAACCCTTTCGGCGTGGAGATAAAGAATTAACTAACGCAATCGAAGAGTCTTTAAACACGCCACGAAGTGATTTGAGCTGCTTGGCATGCTTCTGCATTTGCTTCATGATGGCAATGTCCTTCCGAGAACACCACTGACCAGTTTTGCCCAAAGCACGTCTGCAGAATAACAGGACAGACACCAACTCATGCCAGTCCCGTCTGTCTGTTCCGTCCACTCACATGCCTTGTCCGCGCGGGCACTCTCGATGGCGTTGTTACAGAACACCCCAGTTACCTTGCTTGCGCGTGTGAACTAACAAACTTTGTTCTGGTGCCGACAGCCCCCAAAAGGAACCCCTCATAGCATAAGAGGAGGCAACCATCTAACATGATCTAACATGAGATAAATGTACAGCCAACAGCAGAAGCCTACGGCAACACTTGGCCACTCATGTACGCAACCACTCAAAGAAACATCCAAGCAAAGAGTCCCAACTTTCCCACACCAGATATGGAAGAACCTAGTTGAGCAGAGAAGGGGCCTCACCTAACATGAGCCAGCTTGCACAATCAACGAACAAACACAACCAAGACTACCATACTAGGAGCCCCATCTATCTCGCTACAGGCACGTTTGAACCTGTGCGAGATAAGGAAGGCCTCCATCCGACTCACCTTGCGGCCTCAACCCCAGCGCCGGAGAAGCCCGCAGCTTGGAGTCGGCGGGCGAGAGCACAACAACGTACTTTCACTACACTTCCAAAACATGCGATGCCAGGGGCCTAAAGCATCGCACCACACACAACGGATAACATGCATCTCATGAAACCCAGCGGGACGGATGACAAACATTCGTTCGAACCTGTTCGTGGTGTTGTTGCTTAGCAAAGGTTCGCCCATCCGGGAAACGTCGCCGTGGGAGCCCTTCTGCACACGGCTCTGCCGTGAGTAGGCTTGATCAGAAGTTGGAGTTGCACATGCATCACATGCAAGTCGGATAGGGAAAAATTCCAGTGGATCCACCAAACTTCTGTGGCACGTGAATACTAAGGTTGACATATTGCATGCCCACTGAGCTGTCACCTTGACTGGTGCGGCTCCTATTGGCATACAGGGCACTCACGTGACTAAGAGTCTTCATCACCATGTTGCAGTTCTACTTTCCAATTGCTTGCTTTGAACATACCCACATACACATGCATGCACATAATGTGGTATAGTACTTCCGGCGGTTCCAAGAGAACTCAACGTGCCTCCAAATGCGGTACATATGCATTGATGGATGCTGCTCTGGCCAACGTTTGGGCGCGTGTGCGGAACGGAATTGAACGTAGGAAGTCTGGCTTGGAGATCCTGAAGCACTACTCACTCCGCAGGGATGCGCCTACAGCTCGCTTCGCCGTGCATCATGAGAAACATGTTTATCTGGTCTTCTTGGAACATTGACTCCTGTCATGCTCGTTCCGAGGTCGTGTCCGGAGATGTGTCCGCAAGAGACCGTTAAAACAGAAAGCGGCAGAGGCACGAGCGAAGTCCTTCCTTAAGCTCAAGTACTTGGCCTTCCGCCAATGTGAGGGGCCGTCTTGAGCTGCGGAGCCGTAGACGTTAATCTTTTGGCTCCAGACTAATAAAACAAACTGGTCTGCAAAATTACATCAATTCGGTACTATGCTGGCCCGCAAAGAACGAGACAGAGTACTGATGCACATCTGAAGCACTGGCACACAAACTTCTGCCGTGTTACGACATTCAAAATTGCTAGGACTGTGAGCACGATGTACACCACCATGCACAGGAAGGCGATCTCAGAGACCTGAGATGACGATGCGTGGAAGCTCGAATCAAGGATCTACGCAAACTACGGGTCTACCACCTTTCTGTCTTTGAGCACAATGCCCCTGCCCTCAACCGGGGTTCAAAGTCAACTCCGTGGATTCTTGTCCGTACCGCTGCTTTACTGACATAGAACTGCCATGCATGCTACGTAGGCCCGTGATTTGCTCTTCTAAGGATCACTCCAAATGCACTATCCGCAGCAAGCATGCGCTAGCTCAACTTCGTACCGTACTGAGTGCAATGCTCCGAAAGCCCGCGTTAAATTTCCGTTGGTGGAGTTGCCTTGAATCTGTCATGCAGAAAAATGTAAGCGAAACACGTGGCCGACTGCGATGGATGCTGTCGTTTGCTCCAGTCGTTTGCTCCCCTGATGCGATGGGAGTGAGGCTGGTGAACCACTAGCTTAGTTGCTTACACCCTCTGCACGCATGCTTACAGATTCTGGCAATTGGGTCGGATTCAACTAACAGCGAAACTCTTGCAGGGGGGTGGGGGGTGGGGGTTAGAATGGGCAGTGAGTTGGAAACACAAGTCCGGAAAAACTGGAATATGCTCCATGGAAGGCGTGGGGAGGGCAAGCAAACGCAGCACTTCCTGCCCACATACGAAGCAAAGCCTCCGAATCTCGGCGTAAGATAGGCAGAAGTATGCCGCAGGAAAGTCTTTGCTATCAAGGTCCTTCTAACCACTACTATTGTCAATGTGCACCTGTGGAGACACAGAATCGTTTGCGGAAGATGTGTCGATATGTGTACGTATGTATGCATGCTTGCAGATATGTCAGTGTGCAGGTGTCTCCGAACACATACATACATATACGTACATTACGTATGTACATTTGTATACATATGTAATTATACGTAAATGCATACATACCGGCTCATACCGGCATATCTATGCACCTCTTTATGAGCAACTTTCGGCACATGGATGATGGATGGAAAACCTAACCAGGCAAGGCAAGGTGCATGAGTAGAAAAAGATGCGTATGTATGCATATTTGCATAGCCGTATGTATGTGTATATGTATATATATATATATATGTTTGTGTGTATATAGTTGTGTATACATATATATATATATATATATACCGATCGAGATCGCGGTTGACACAGATGGTTCTGGTACAGCGAAGGCACCTCGCGCAATGGATGAAGCGCTTCAGACCAGCTAAGGCCGCCGGAGATCGAGACGAACAAAGTGAGCCTGGGCAGTGGACATGTCCGGCTCTACAAATTGAGATCCTGTGTGTGCTGCACTCCTGTGGGACACTGTGTTCACGCACTCCTGCTCGTTCAAATTGACCCTTCCGTTCCTGAACAACATGTAATGTAAGGTCTTGACAGCTGTGCAACCCAGGACGTGCTTCCGAACATGTCTACTGTAGGCGGAATGGAAAACAAGCACTTCGTCCAGGCGCATACTCTCCGCCACGCTCTTCCAGAACCTGTTCAGGATGCTAATTTTCCGATATACCCAGACATGTACTGTAGCAATGGCAGTTGGACTCACATAGATACAAGTATAGCAGGAATAAAGGATGTTGGGAAGGCTGCATGGACTCCTCCTTGGGATGCTTTGCAAAACAGTGGGACCGAGAGGTTCAGCTGGGGAGGCTACAACAGGCTACGTTTGATCTGACTGTAGGCGGTGGCACTCCTATCATAGCCACGTGGGCACTTCTCGAAAATGCACCAGTAGACCTGAAACCCTGCTTGTCGAAACCCTCGGCCCCATTTCTGAAACCCTAACTGGACCCAACCGCAATCATTTAGCCCTAACATGGCCAAACGAACATCTCCTTCGAGATGTTTGGCTTGCAAGCCTGTGTTTTAAGTACCGAACCACCATCATCAGCAGCATTATCTTCGTCACTGTCGTTCTCATTCTGACACTGTCCCTGGGTGCGGAGGCTAAGTTTCAAAAGACATCATTGGGAACCGCGTGCGGCGATAGCCTTAAAGGGAAGCAAGAGCAGTAGCCATTGCTGTGACAGTCTGCACGGTGACTTAATCGTTTCTCGTCTTGAAGCAAGTGCAAAACGCAGGCCGAGAAGTCCTCAAACTTCCTGTCCCGATTCTTCCGTCTCTCTTCTTGTCCCGGGTGTTCCGGTGTGGCATAGGATCCGGGATTGGGATATTGGCATCCAGGGCCTCATGAGGTCGGGAGAACAGTTCACAACGCCGCCCTCGTTGTAGCGACCTGGGAGGCTTTAATTGTAGGGCCTGAAAAATTAGAATAGGGTTTTGGGCTATATTATACTGTCATTGGAAGAAGGAAACCCCAAAACCCAGTTCTGAATATTAAGGTCCAGGTTTAGCGATGAGGCACTTGGGGCTTAGTATCTTAGTGTGCCGGGTGCAACATGATGCACATACGGATTTGCGGCTTTGTGTCTGCACGCACGAACACACCCACCCACACACACACACACACAAACACACGCGCATGTATGTGTATACATATATATATATGTGATATATGTGTCACATATACTATCCTGCAACCCTACACATCTGTAAATGGTGCGTGTGTGTGTGTGTGTGTGTGTGTGTCTATGTGTGTGTGCGTGTGTGTGTGTGTGTGTCTATGTGTGTGTGTGTGTGTGTGTGTGTGTCTATGTGTGTGTGCGGTGGCTTGGATTTGCAAATGTATACGCATTTTTTTGTATGCAAACATTCCTACACGTGCATCGGCACCTATGTTTGTGTCCGCGCTTGCCTGGGTGAATTTTCACGACAATAGGAAGAGAATACAACGGCAAGGGCAGCTCGGTTTCGGATCACTGTCGGATGCTAAGCGTGGGGATCAAAGATTGAAGCCCAAGCTGCTAGACCCAAGTGGCCTAGCCGAAGTCATGTACTCCCCACTACCTTGCCACCGACACCCTATCGACGATTACTTCATGAACAGGTTGAACATCGTCCGCCCGATGAGACACGAAGTCACCAACAGGTGCAGCGTTCACCATCCACACCGGCATTACAGGGTACGCAGGTTCTGGATCCCAGGTTTGAACTATAGGATTCGCGGCGTGTGGTTTCCAGTGGAGGGGGCAGGATGTGATTCTTTTGTTGGTTCCATGGTATCCTTGACTTCTTGTTCTCAGCACTTAAGGCTCCTTGAAACTACGAAAATTCCGCCTGGATTCCACAACCTGCGCGAATGTCGAAGTGCAACGTACTCTGAACCCTCGCAGCTTAAACCCTCAAACACAGCGCTGCAGCTCGTATCCTCACATTCAAACCACGGGAAATTTCAGCCTACAGCCTAACTTCCTCATCTTCCTTTGCACCGTCTTCAGCCAGCTCAGCTCACTAGGAGTTGAGGCCGTGCACGCTACGGTGTCGGATTTGGGGATTTGGGTCCGCGGAGCTGTCGAGCCCGAAGCCAAGCCCGCCAGACTCTGGCGAGTTGCAGTGATCCGTGACCAGCTGTGTCAAAATCACAGCGAAACCTTAGCATGCTTCCATGTGCGACCCTACATCTCGCCTTCAAGTTCCATTGTAGCATATAAGCCTAAACCACAGAAAGGTACCACCGATGATAAGGATGCAGATGGGCACTGATGCTCTGGCAGCGATTCTTGCGCGAATGCTTGTAACAGAGCGTGGCGATTGCCACACTGATGGTGAAAGAACTTACAGAAGCTTCAACCATATTAGCACATGACCGTCTTGCAAAAGCGAGTGAACTGGCGACCGAGACATCATGACAGCTGCTAACAGCTCCATGAACTGCGTGCTTAGCGTAGAGAACATCAGAAAGCGAGGTTCCGGAAACACACAGGTCTGGTCGGCTGGTCCTGTAATGGCGAATATACACTAATATACACCTGTGCACGGGTACTATGGGAGCGGCACAAAGGGCACTCCGACTTTCAACTTGTGCTGAGGACCTTGATGCAGACATCAGAGTTGACATGAATGGCGTCCGAACGTTTAGAAACAAATCTCGGCTATATGTAGCAGTTCTGGAACCCAAGCAGCAGTAGAAAAGAAGGATAAGCAGCACCAACGTCCAAATCAGGGACCACATGGTACTCAGGATTGAGAACCTGAGTAGCGGCATGAGGGTTAGCAGACACCCAGCTGGAGCCACATCGTGCAGCATGAACTAATCGCACATGTTTGAAGAGGCACAACTCCAAATCTTTGGGAACAAACGGTAAAACTTAGGTACTGCCACGTTACAGTAAGAGTCTATAATAGGGCTACTACTAAGCTCTTAATATATCTGTATTATGAATATTCTTCAACTATTGCTGAGTGGGGGCCGTACCCAAGGTAAAACGATCTCGGAAGCTTCTCGCTTCGGCTCTTGCTTCTGTACCTCCAATAAGAGCCGATGCTTCTGCCGACCACGCACGCTTTGGTTTTCACGATCTCGGCCACACACCAAAAGAGTGCCAAACAAACATGATCTCTCGGATTTGCCCACACCAAGTCTGAAGCAAGCCCAGCCTGCACGTATCCGAAGCAACTCGTGCCCCAAAAAAGGAGCCTGGAACCCCTTACTCACTTCCTGCGTCAGTAGTGAACCTTACTCCCGAAACCTTTTCTTGACTCATGCGCTTTGCGCCTCCAAAGCTCTGGCACAACTTGGAAAGTACTGTACTGATTGAACGTTTAGCATGCTGTGTCGACTTGAGAAAACACAACATCCTCGAGCATGAACTGGAATGACAACCAGGAACCAATCATCATCAATGTTGTCAAGCCAAAGACCCTAAACTCTGAATTCTATGATCCTCACTATAAACCTATGATCGGCAAAGTCACACCAGAGTCCGCAGTGCGCTGACCTCAGCTGTCCCGGGTTCGTTTTCTTATTTAAGTTTGCAAGGTGCAAGTGTAGGGCCACGTGGCTTAACTGCCGAGAACTATTGCCAGCAGTTTGGCAGGTCTCGACTATTCTGCGCTTGCGCACACTGAGGTTTCCGTAGGGAGCGTTGATAGCTGGAAACGCAGCAATTGAGGCTACAGATCAACAAAGCGCGTGTCAGTACTGTTGCTGTTATGCACAAACAATGGTACTTCTCCTGTTGGTCGTATCTCTCTTGCTAGATCTTGCCGCTTACCTCTGAATCCTGAAGCTGCTAAGTGGCGAATCTGAGGAAGCGCACTGCGCGCACACCACGCAGTGCCCTCGCAATTCGTGCAAAGCGCATAACGCGCAGGTGGCCTCAGCCGTGACGGAGGTGATGTTTGGGGTAGGATTGACGCATGATAGGCCATTCCTGTGTGCAGAAGAGAGCTTAGAAGAGTATTCATTCTCGGGATTGGCCCGGCGAGGCCAACAAAGGAACGGTTCGGGAGGCGTCAAAAAATAAACATTCATCGGATGGTAGAGATCCCACGATCGTCGGGAAGGGCACGACATGGCAAAGCGTCGATATATGTCAGGGGCTGCAAAGTCTTCGACTCGCACACTCGCACAAGAGCAGGTCTAGGGTCACGATGCGCCAGACCCGTGGCTTGACGTCCTGACACCCAGCTGTATGGGGTCATGCTGGAAAGCACAAACCGCTTGTTGATAGGGCCGTCGCCGTTCCTCGAGCAACCAACAAGCAATGCGAAACCCTAGAACCTAATTGTGTGGGGTCATGATGGAAAAGGACCAGCCTGTTCACAAAACGGTCAGCCTGCTTCACTGCTCTTCAACCGTCGTGGCAATGTCGTTGCAGCTACCACGTTGCTAACTCGGGAGTTGCATTTTGCTTGTTCCGAATGCCCTAGAGTCTGACGATTATGGACTTCTGGATTGCGGCCATTTTCCGATTTCTGCTTGCTGTCAGTGTTCCGATAATCAATGTTCAACTTGCACGCTAGCGGCTGGAATCCATCTGCATTGCCGACAGCCAGATTGTCACGAACTCCTTGGCGCGACTACAACTCAATCTTGGAGCCTGGACTCCCGTACCTGTACTCTTGAAGCACTATGGGTTGAAAGTTCGGACTTCGGGGCCTGGGGTGGATAATCAATCTTTTGGCAATAATTTTTGCCGTCAAACAAACACTCTCCAGAGAATGCTTCGGCAGGGTTATCGCTGCTGGCTCCACCCATCCCAATACGATCTCTTGATGCTGTTATGGTTTTATCGCCGCATGTGGCTGTTGCTGGTAGTTCTGCCTATCGCCCAATCACCACCACCATTATCATCAACAACATGACGACGGTTAGTGCTGGTGCTCATGGATGACGAAGACCATAAGCACGGTCTCTAGGTACCTGCTGTGTTGCAACTGCTACGTCTGGTTAACAAGTGCTTCTGCCGCGGTGCTGCTGCAGCTCCTGCCACTGCTTCGGCTGTCTTCAATATGGGGTTCTTCCCATTGCAGCAAAGGCACCATAATGGTCTCCATCACAGATGTTCCAATGATGACGACGTCGAAAAGGTTCCTAAGTTGTTCGTGATACTGCGTCGTCTGCTTGCTACCGAGCCAAATAGTTTCGTGCACGACACGGGCTGTCCGCCTGGCCCCCCACTACCCCCCCTTACAGGCAAAGTCGGAAGGAGCAAGAACCGGTCTTCTGTTGATTGGCTCCTAAGAATTGAAAAAGCCTGCGACTAAAACTATGGCTGCGAAAGGCGCCCGGCTACAGCAATTCTTCTCACGAGGATCCAAGAAGGGTGCGGGCCTAAACAAACGGCTTGCAACATCTAGGCCCTAAGTCCAGGGGGCCACCAACGCTCCGGCCCGTGAATGAAGCCCCGGCAGCCATAGGCCACGAACCTCCAGACGCATCAACTTAAGATCTCTGAGGTTTCGGAGCTCAGAGGGTTCAGGGAGCTTCAGAAGTTGAGGTTTCCCCAGCAGAATGTTGCGCTTCTATCTTGGAATATATCATGGGTGCAAGATTGCAAGCAGGAAAATCGATTGCATGCCCGGCTGGATGCGCAGGAATATGCTAGAAGCACTTGGGGCACAGCTGCTTAGCTGTGGCTGTGACCTTGCTGCAACAGCCTATTGCGGCCGGTATTTCGCAACAGCCCCGACTCCGGCTGCGAACAACCACCCTCAACAGCCCAAAACGACTGAAGACTGCACAAATCTCTGGAGCGCAGTCCAAAGCACTTCAGGACGAGCTCAGCGACAAAAATGACAACCTCAACAGCCCAGGTGGAAGGTTATCACATCTTCGACGGTTGGATTTGTACGTTGGCTTGCTGGGTGGCTTCTGAGAAATTCCTAAGTTCTCCAGACAGGGCTTCCAACAAACGCACGCATAGCATGGGCGGTGGGGGCGGGATCGTCATATTTCCTGGAACGGCTGGCTTAAGTCACAATGGCTTTCAGGCCAGCCGCGATGGTGAGATTTATGAGGCCAAACCATCTCGGCTCCTGGCGCGATGTGCAACAAACCATCCTAATATTCGGAATCAGCCTCACCGCTCCAAATCCCCCAAGACCTAAACTGACTTCAACTTTCAACTCAGCACCTCCCACCTGCGACCTTCGGAAGCCTCGGAAGATGTCGAAGGCCCGGGCCCCAGCCCAAATCTGGACGCACAAGACCCCAAGCCCCAAGATATCAAACCCTGAAGCCCCTTCGTCTTCAGCTCGCGGCCCTCGGACTTGGGCGCTTTAATGCGCTCCTGGTAGGGCGGAAGCGTCGAGGCGACGTCCACTTCGATTCCCAGGATGACCATATTCACCTGAGGTGTCGGGCTTCATAGGGGACCCTTATCTCGCACCCTAAACAGTAGGATCCTTATTATGAGGACCCCAAAATAGGGTACCCCTTAATTTCTCCGTAGGATGTAGGAGGTAGGGTTGTCTACGATCTCGCATGGCTGGGCCCAATGCCCCAGCCGCGAGATTACTTAGGGTGAGCAAGATAAGGACACGAACCGAAACCTGCAGTTTTTTTGACCCTCCTACTTAGCAAGGACGGAAACTTGCAGTTCAAACACAAAGGGCTTGGGGTTTCAGCACTCAGACTCGGACAAGCCTGTTCCTGGTAGACGGGGTTTGGGGTTTTAGGGGTCGTGTTCTGAGATTCGTGACCTGGCAAGAGATTCTTTCGAGCGGCTTCCACCATGTGCTGAGGCCCCTGCCAAGATTAGAAAGGTGATGGCGTAGGTGAAGGAGGCCGAATGCACGATGGTCAGAGCCACAGCTTGAACTTTGCTCTGTGGCTCTGGATGCTCATCATCGTGCTGCCAAGTACCTGGGCGGGATATCACATTCAGCCACCTGTACTCGACTGCTCTCGTCAGGAGCCTTGAAAGTGTCTCAAAAGAAATTCTCTGGCGCTGAGGGCTCAAACAACTCTGTCTAGTGAGTCTAGTACTGCCAAGTGTTAATTACAAAGTAAACTAAACACTGCGTCCTGACGCATGAAGCCGCTGCAACCTGGAACCTGAAAGCGGCATAAACCTAGACCTAAATGCCGAGAACAGCTCTTTCGCTGGAGCACCTTCCAAAAGAGTTCACTGCAGATTCGCGGCTGTTCCAGCTGTGCAGAGCAGGCCTGTTGTCGCGAGCATGCTCCGGTGAACCTGGCTTCGGGTCTCAGGGCTCGCTGCTGTCATTATATATGCATGCATCTGACCATCCATGCATCCAAACATACGTACATACACACAGTTTACATACATGTTTGTGTACGCGGGCATGCATACATACATCCATGCATCGGACACAGGACAGGGAGAGGCACAGGAACAGGACAGAAAAAGGACAGGACAGGACAGCCAAACATGCAGCCAGCCACCTAGACACACACGAATACCAGATCCATGCATGTATGTATGTGCATATGTATGCAAGCACAGCACATGCGTCCAATGTACGCATGCATGCATGCAGGCAGGAAAGCCAGACACAGCGCACACCATATGCATGCATGTGTGCACGAGCATCTGCACGCTTCTTCGCATGAGTGTGAATGCGCGTGCGCATGTATGCAGGGATGTGTGTCTGAATGTGCTTGCGTGAATGTGTGTAAATGCATAATAGTGTGTATATATATATATATACATATATATATATATATACGTATATGTATGTACATATGTACATGTACATGTACGCATATATGTGTTTCTGTATGTACACTGTAATTATGCATGCATGCATGCATTTTGATATGTATAAACCTATGCACATATGTATAGGTGTCTTCCCACATCTCTGTCGCCACATACGGGCGCTCGTTGCTTTAAAGTAGGGGTAAAGAGGATCGGGGTATGTTCCTGCCTGAGATAACCGGCACATTTCGCTAACAGCTGATCGCCAGCGAAAATCGCCGCACCCGCGTCGACAACCCGACAACTTCAAGCCAACACACCTTGTGCAACCTCAGCGCCGTACTTTCGATTTTCTAAGGTGGTAAAATGTCGAACATGGGACGACACCGTCCATTCTAACTGATCCATGATCTTCAGCAGTGTCTCCCACACCTTACTTACATCCCACCAGAAGAAGGCACGCGAAGGCACCATCGCGGCCACCCCGGCCTTCTTGTGCAGGCTCTGCGCCTTCTTCGCCAGCCTCCAAGCAAAGCTACAAGTATTGCTGCTAGAAGTGACGTCAGGCGAGCGTTTTCGGAGAAATTTCGATCTGAGGAGACCCTCGGCTCCTGCGTCGTCTTCAGCTCCGCCTGCAGGCTGGGGGGAAACTGAATGTAGGGCCTTTGTCAAGTCTCCACCCAACACCACGGGAGAAGCCGACACAATAGTCGAGGTTCAGTGTGCATGGTTTAGGCCGTCAAGCTGGGGAAATTGCAGAGAGAACACCACTCCAACATCCGTCAAAAACCGCATCAGCAGTCGTCGTCGTGGTAGTACTCATCGGTGCCGCAAATTCAGCTAGAATAGCAACCTACTTCTTTCAATATGCCAATATGCAAGACAAGCAAGAGGACAAACACACGAAAAAGGGAATCAGTGCGAAAAGTAGAGAGCCCCGCAGTAAGGCGGAGTGAGGCACCGGCCTGCTCATCCGCAATAAGAGCGATCTCGCCAGGCCTGTGGACAGGCTGACAAGCTTAGCTGCGCGAACACCATGTTTAGGGGTTTAGGGGAACACCAGACCTCATTTCCCTGAACCATCCGGGAAACCACAAAAAAGGAACGTGTCGTGTGGGCTTGGCGGCTTAGCATTGAGAGGCCGTTGGAACTTGTCAGGGTGCGTGAAAACCCCCACCCATTTGCTTGACCCTTCATTCGGTTATCGTTTTGTCTTACTCTTATATATCGTTTTACGGGACTTTGGATGACTTTGGGACTGCAGGATGTCGCACATCTTCGTTATCGTTCTTTTTGCTCTCGTCGTTTTTACAAGGAAATCGATTGCTCTCAACTTACGCACGCATCTACTACTTAAAACCTGCTCTCGGAGGTTTTATCATCCCTCTTGTGGCCCTGCCGAAGCGCAAGAAACTTCGGGCCTCCAGGCTCTGAAGAACCCAAACTGAAAGAACCTTTTGTGCTACTGGACTCGAGTCTCTGGATCTTGACCGAGGCCGACACGCAGCACCGATACCCAAGCCGCTGCAACCCATGTTTGCTACTGGACGCAAGTCTAGCAAGACTACGACCTGACCGGATTCAGCACCGATACCCAAGCCGCCCTCAACCCCGAACCCCCAATCACCTTGCCGAAGGCCAGGGAGGCGCCACCTGCAGGCCTGGCTCTGCAGTCTCTGTCGAAGGGTTTTCGCATCTGATTCTTGGGGAAAGCTAGAGTAGTTCCTGCACGGCTAGGGCGGCTAGGGCGTTGAGCTTTCGGATCGTTTGGGGTTTGGGGTAGTCCTTCTCCATTTTTGACTGAGTTCTTGGGCCGTTGGAGGTCCTCCTGTCCCTCAAACGAGCTCGCCCTGGAGGTTGGTTTGGGTTCGGGGTATAATAACCATACAATAACTATACAATAACTATAACTATACTATAACTATAACTATACTAGAACTATACTATGACTATAATGTGCATTCGCAGCTCACACTCGGAGAATCCAGGCGAGGCGGTTTTCCGGCGCTCGCAGTCGCTCGGACTCGGACAGTCCGGCCACGGAGTCCTTGTGCTTTCGGCTTTGAACTCGGCTCGTGCAGTACAGTTAGATGCGCAATACCAGGGCTGAACAATCAGATCTGGACAATTTTGACCGCAAATCGCGGAACCCTATGAATAGTTTGACGCCGGCGAGCGACGCTGAGAAAAGCATCGTATGCCCACTCTACTGAGTCCATACTGCTATTGCCGCTGCTACCGCTAGTGGTCGTCCCTTCGCCGGCTTACCCAGCGCAAAAACCCAGAACATGCCAGTCCACTTCAGCACAACCACACCATCCCGAAGAACATAAGCCTGTTTGGCATGAGGGACTTGAGTCCGGATCCGCGATTCCTACAAGTCTACGCCAAAGCCAACCAAGCCGAACCTCCGGATTCTTCTACAGCCCTTCAGAGCTCAAAAGCCTACAGCCTAACCCGCAAAATTGAGCCGTAAACTCTGCAGGAGATCGTGTGATCCTGTGCCACTCTCACGATGGGCGGCCCCATCCCATAGGGCCGCATTCACCTCGTTTGGCTATTGTCGCCAACTTGGGCTCTAGGATCACTAAAGACTTAGCTTAGCCTGTCATATGATATATAAACATATTATATATATATATATATATATCTGAGTATTTACAGAGAGAGAGAGAGGGAGACGTACGGTATACTATATTATGTGTATATATATATATATATATAGATATATATATATATATATGTACGGTACAGCAAATACAGTACACGGTTCCTAGATGTCGGAAACGTTGGCCAAGAGGGCGGAACTGAGCATGTAAGGAAGCCTTAGAAGATGCGGACTGCAAACCATTCCAAGCCCTTTTTTGCATCAGGACTTCTGCAATCCCTAAAACCGTCAACCCTACAGATCCCTTGTTGGAACCCCTACAGGAACCCTTATAGATCCCTTTACGGCCCTCAACCCTAAACCCTCAACCAGTCCCTGCCACAAAAAGAAGTAGAAGCTGCACGAAACCGCTTTATGGGTTTTTGCGAAGAAATCAAAAGAAAGACAAAACGAAGAAAAAGATTGACAATGAGAAGTCTTTCTTCTCAAAGAGGGATTTCAATAGAGTCTCCTACGAGAATGCTAAAGCCGCAAACAAATGAACCGGGTTCCAGTAATAGTGACTATAAGGATTATATTAGGGCCCTATTATATTCCTACTATACCAGTACTACAGGGCGGGGGCCTCTTCTAACCTATAGATCCCTCAACCCTACAGTGCAGCTTGCGCTGGGGGCTCCTCAGGCTTGAGACCAACTAATGGCTCGGAGCTTTAGGATACTAATACTAATACTAATCGTAGTATTAATAGTAATATTAACACTCATAGTAATATTAATACTGATAGTAATATTATGCTCCTTCCGTCATCTTTTCGCTGGCGCCGTCCCTGGGCCTAACAACTCCTCAAAGAGGCCAAGCGGCCCCACTGCAAGTCGACCTTGACCTTCGCAGGCTCTTGGTCTGTGCTAATGGGAGGTCAAATTGGATGTGGGACAGTTTTGGTCAGTCTCCCCTTGTAAAATTCGGATAATTGGGTCGGACAACACACCTTTCAGCCCTGACCTGGGCGTGAGCCCGCTTGCTAAGCGTGGAAGTGCGAATGGCTTGAGACGAGGAGCCGCCATCTTGAAGGCCCCTCTGGCCAGTTCCTGCAAGGAGCACCTCAACACTGCCAAGTAGAAGCTAGATGTCAGAATCTCGCATCAACGAACACGATTCATGCTGCTGACGATTGCAGGGATGGTGCTACTTCTAGCTCGCGTCTGTACTGAACCGTCCAGCAGAACATAAACGAAGTGGCAGTACAACCACTGACGATGACTATAACTATACTACTGCTACTTCCACAACGACTACGGCTTTACTGCCACTACCACTACTGGGACAAGCGGACGTAGGGTCTTGGGTGGGCGGTGGGGTTTTGGTGTGGTAATTACTCAGATTCCGCGCAGGATCCAGCTTAATCGTGCTTTGGCCGGGGCGCTTGTCAATGTCCTCCCTCACGAAGACTTTCTCCATGCGTGGGAGTTTGATATTCAAGCTGTCACGATGTCCGACGAAGAGGCTCGAAGGAAGGTGGGTGGAGTAGCGGTAGTATTTCGCGTCGTACTGCCACATCCTTATATCTGTGGCATCGGCACCCAAAGCTTCCGCTGCTTCTTCGTCGAACAGTGGTAAGAACAGCTGCTCGTTTCTGCGCGGCTCTGGCTCTCTTGAAAGGCAGGAAAACTGCATAATACTCCCACCATCAAGCACTGAATGCTTTCTATCTCCCTTCACCCTACTTCCCCTCAGCCCGAAGCCAAAGCACAACAAAGCCTAGTAGCTGGGTGTTGATTTTCCGAGACAATCCGAAGTCCGCCAGGACCACCCCAGACGGGCAATACTCTGAGTCCAGCTCCTCAGATTCTCGGACACCAGAAACCACAAGGAAGTTTGCCAAGCCAGAAGCCACAATGTCATCTGAACTCTGAATCTGTCTCGCATAGATCTCAACCCAGGCATGAACTATCCTAACCCTTGGCCGAACACCAAAAAACACACGCCATTGTCGTCGGAGATATCTTCCCTTCTCTCCTTGTAGAAGATGTTGTCAGCCTTCAAGTCTCCGTGGATGTACCCTGCCTTCCAGAGGTGCACACTGCGGGGTTGATGGGGGATTAACATCTCATGGAAAAAGACAGTGCTGAAGTGCTTGTTGGATTAGAACCCCTTTGTTCCTGCGCCGGGACGCCACATGTCGTACTTGGCAGGATTACTCATTGTACGTTCCGTCTCGTCGCCGTCCGACACACCCCATTTGGAGGCGGCGTGCAGCTTGCACAATTAGCTTTTGCCACGTGGTTTGATTTCCCTTGTTCTTTTGTGCAAAACCTTCTGCCAGTCATTTGCTCTTCATGTCGGCCGAGACCTGCGCCTGCTGCCCGGTCTCGGTAGTTTTCCAATGTGTCGGAGTCGCAGCGAGACTGAGGCTGCTCAACGGAACCCTACGGGCCGAGTCCCCTTACAAAATCGCCGGTTCCGAGTTGACCGCCTGCACAACGGACGACGGACAAGCCACCTCCCTTCGTTTTGCAAACGCCGCAAAAACAAGAAAACGAGCAGATGCCACATCTGCAGGCGTAACCGCGGCACCTCCGCCGCTTGCCAGTAGCATTTCGCCAAAGAAGTTGCTAGGAACGGCAACCCTAAACCTGAGTCCTGAATTTCCCTACAGCAGCAGCCTTGTGCAAGCATTCCATGCCATCTGTCACCTGCTTGATGATTCTCGCGGCACAAAGCTGCCTGAGCTTGATTGCTCGCGGATCGGGGCGAGGCGGGAGCTTCAGGCTAAGAGCCAGATAGGAGTTTCCGAAAAAAGTGGTACCTTATTTTCGGGTCCTTAAAATAAGGATCCTACTATTTAGGGTAGCATAATTAATAGGGTCCCCCATTTTCGGAATCTACCAGATTGCCGCAGATTTTCATACGTTCAGCGTCAGCTCCTACCGGGGTTACCGCAGGCTACCAGCAATCTTGCCTGCGGCCTGGACAAATGCACCAGTCAAACACATTTCCTGAAAGAAGGATCAGCCAAACTAAAGGCCCTACGAGGCAAGGATGCCAGAATTGTGAAGTTGAACAGAACCCTGCCACTGCCAAATCACTTAGCCTGAAAACCTTCTGGCCAAACAACCGAACCTCCGTACTGCTTCATGCAGGCAAGGCACCTTCCTGCCAGGGACGCTTTTTTGACCCAACCATCCCTGGACCGTTTCATTCCAAGTTCAAGCTTTATGATTTTTGTACGGCACGGGCACATGAGATCTGGGCACACATCAGTCAACAAACACCTCAAACATCCTCAAAAGCTGTCGTGGGCTGTTGAGGTTGCAGATGAACCCGCTTCTTGCATCTCTTTTCGAGAACAAGTGAGCGCATCGAGAGCAGTTATTGCATGGTCGGCGTTACAGGATACAATTCACTGGGACGGCGAGTCAACAGTGGCTAAGACCAAGGAAAATGAAGAAGGCAGCATGGCATGTTATCTTACGTTCTCTTTAGGCCGATGCGCCACAGGCAGCGAGTTTTGCGACCGTAAAAGCAGCGAGTCGAAATAAGCACCACAACGTCCAGCACAAGCACGTCCCACCCCCCCGCATGGCACGGATTGAGCACCGTCTGGGGACCTTCAAATAACAGGAAAAAAAGCCGAAAGCCCTGGCCTGTCTCACTGACCAGGAGAGTTTCGGGGGCAGGTGTCAACTAAGAAAGCCAAGAAGCAAGTCCCCAGCCATCTCCGGCGCGACATAGGCTTTGCTGTTCACTTTCTTCTTCGAACTGCCTGCATACAGCAGGGTGGTCTGGAAGGGCCAAGTTGGGGTGTAAGTGTCCCAACCGTACGCACGAAAAGACTGCAAGCGGCCAAACCGTCAACCTTTAGGCTCGACCTCCCACCTCCCTTAAGTCTTGTCTATTCGGTCGCCTTGTACGCAGGGCTTCTCCGCCGTCAGATGCATGACGTTCGTGCCTGGGTGTGGGCAAAGACCATTGCATGATCAGAGTGCATGATCAGAGTTAGTGGTCGCACCATGTCCCAGCCATAGATGCTACTACATAGTTGCTGTTGCTGTCGGCTTCAGAGAGCTGCCAGGACTCAGCTCTCCCAATGCTTGTAGAGTAGATTCGAGCTGCCAGGCTGCTTCTTAGCAGTCTAAAGGACAAGAGAGAATGCGGGCATATCTATGCGCGGATAGATTATGGCTCAATGTCTAACAGGCTGTCCAGACACAAGTCCCTCACGAGGACTCTGAATTCCTCAATGCTGCCCAACTCTTCCATTGCTCCAGCAACATCTAACCCTTCAGCCGTGGCGCAGCGCTGGCTCGATGCAGAATTCATTACCGCGATCTCGGCTCGGCTGTTGCTCGTTTCCAGAAGCAGACTTCCGGTTGAATGGAAATTCGATACTTTTCACTTGCAATATCATCTGCTGATGTCTACGGAACTTGCAAAATGTTGACCAATGCTCCTTGAAGGCTTACCATTGATTCGCTACGACATCAGAATTCCCCCTACTGCAGGTGCCCCATGAAGCTGTCGAGTGTTCGTGTGGCGTCTTCAACCTGAGAGTCTCCATTTCCAAATTGTGCACCGTTTCGTCTGCCCGAGAAACCCTACAAACGGCAAACCCAGGAAAAAAAAAAAAAATTGAAAATGATCAGGAAATGGTGTGCCACTGGGCTGGTTGGAGAAGTTCCGGCGTACTGGCTTCCGAGCGAAGCCCCGAATACAAGAACCTGGACACTTCTCGCCATGAGGGAGGCCTTACAAAAAGAAAAATGGAAGGCGCACAAACATCGAAGTCCCAGTCTTGGACATCCGAAACGCGAGGGTCACAAACAGTTCTGACGTCGCGTCCTAATTTTTTTGGTAGCAATAAGAAGAAGAGCAGGAAGAACAATACAACAAGCCCAGAACCCCAAGCTCCCGTTCGCATTGCTTTGCCTCCAGCTCTGCATCTTCTTCGGCTTCCGGGGCGATCGGCACCTTGAGGGCATAGGGGCCGGTGTGGCCTGCGCATCCAGGGTTCACGTTCTGGCTTCGGCCGTCACGGCGAAAACCTGCTTGAACGCATGATGACCTGTGTTGATCTGATGACTTCTTGACTCCTGTGGCTAGATTGTTGCGACTTTTTCCGTGTCTTATCACGTCCAAATTGCTGTGCACACTGTGAAAAGCGAAGGCTCTGATCGAAATCACGACGCACTAACTGTGGCGACCGATTCCCAGCGGAGACGCCCACCTTGGTGTGGATTTGGCGCAAGTCCCCACCCTCTGACACTATTTCACTAAACCTTTTCAACTTTTCAACATCGTCAAAGACACTGAAGCTTTGGATCCGAGCTGAGGTTTGGGAACTGTAGAATACTACGGGGGCCCTAATGATTAGAATAGGGTTTTGGGGCCCATTAAGCTACACTTACAATAAGGAACCCCCCAAAATAGTATTGGCAACTATTCAGGCTCCTGTAGTCCTCACCGAGCCTGAAAATACAGAAATCCACAGAAGGCCGGCCTGAGCCAGTGACCTCCAGAACCTTCCCATTTTGACCTTGGCCCAACGTCTTGCCCGTGAGCGACCAGACCTGCAGGGAGGGGGCGAAGCGAAGAACACGAAATCTCTGATGCAGGAGAATAGGAAGTAGAAATCCCCTAACTTTGAAAGGCCTCACTTCTGCGGGGGCAGGCGTCCGGGTCGTGCCCAAAGGGCCATTCCCCCTGCAGCTCCATCCTTGCGGGTTTAGGATTGCTACGTTGCTTTGCAAAAAACTGTATAGCCTTTGAAGCTCTGAGTATTGTGCAAGTTCCCAAGTCAAGAGATGAGAAAGCGAAATGAAGTTTGAAAGCCCAGCACAGAGGCTGTTCGACCGATACATCAATAGGTCTGTGCCCGTCTGGCACTGGCTTCGGAACCGGAGGTTCGAATGTCATGGAAACGACTCTGCGAACACCCTGTCGCCCCGATTTACGGGAGTGGCATGCCTGCTCTGTACACACCTATGGATAAGTTGTACTCTAGCAGAAAATACAGTGATCACGACTCCCACGGCTAGATATTAAGACTGTCTAGGATCCAGCATGGCGGGTGCAACGGGGCGTACCGTCAAAAGCTTCCAGGGCGACTCCTGCAGTTATGAAGGGGGTGCTCGCATAAAGGGTTGTTCAGTCAGTGCTGGGTAGGAGCTGAGGCTGAGAATCGCACGATCATAACAGCTTGCGAAAGCCGGGAGTTCAGGACTTTGCAATCGAAGTCTCTTCAAGGTGATTCGAAGGGTATGCTCCGGATATCCGACTGATGAAACACGAATGGTTGTTGACACAAAACCCTCAGCTAAAACCGGACTATGAGGCCTTGGGACTAAATCGGTTGTGCAATCTTTGTAGAGCTGAGGGAGTCACAAGATGCTCTGTGATTGGAGGTAGAGGATACAACCCACCGTCGAATACGCAGAGTTGTGCCGGAATTGTCGGCCATGGTCCTAGAGCTTTGACCAGCATCCCCATATCCGGCAAGCTATCCGGCAAGCCTTTCATACCCTTCTGAAGCCCAGGCATATGCCCTGAACTTCAAAGTCCGGGTGGGCCACTAGAACTGCCAAGCATCAAGTTCTCTGCTCGCGCTTCGCGGCGTGGGCGAGGCTTCATCGGAAGAACATACTCGCCCTCGACGACATCTCCGATCTGGCAAAGACTCTAAAGGTGTTGTTGCTCAAGGTGCAAGCGCACGACAGCGACAAGAAGGGCCTAGTATCCCCAGTAGCAATTGGTATCTTCGTTTGCCGTTTTTCCCCGTTTCTTTGCATCCGCATTTCGAGACTAAGCCATCTACGTGGCACAACGAGGAGCTCGAGAAACCCAATCGCGACCCAAGACGACCACCACCCCCCAACTTAAACCCAAATCACACTCACAAAAACGATGGCACCAAACTCGAGTTGACAACTCCCGCCCGATTGTTGCTGTCATCATTGCAAGCATGACCCAGCTCATCATCGCTGCAACTTGTGATGCGCTCACTGCTCACTTAAACTCATCTTCCCCTTGCCTTCTCCATGCGGATCGTCTCGTGTTGGGCTTCACGTACTGCCATATCTGGCTCGTCGCGACCGCCCTGGCGAACCTGGGCTGCGGCATTTGCTGAGCATCGGGACTCTAACCTATAGGGTAATTTCAATGAGACTCGACGATAAAGTCTAGTATAGGCTCTTGTTTGTAGTGTGCCGTGGTAGTCTATTGTAGTCTAGTATGGGGCTGCTAGACAATGTGGAAACAAAATTTACAGCTGCATGCGGATCTAATTTAATACTGGTAACGGCTTGCAGCAGAAACGCCAATAACATTCTGACCAGGAACACCATCGTCATCAGCTTGTTCCAAATGTTGCATGTGAGTTAACAATTAAAACATGCAGCTGCACTTCGGGATCATACTTCGCTACCTTGGAACGAGCTGCTCTCGGCCGAGATTCTGCACCCCGAGATACACAATTATTCAACCCAAAACTAGCACCGACATTGTCAAGTGAATAGAACTACAATTGGCAACCCTGTAATACCCACAAACGTGTCGCTCATTGTTCTGCTATCTACTGCCGGTTCGCAGCTCCAGCTAAAATGCGCGTTCATGCACCAGATCCTTCTGATTTGCCAAGCGGAGCTGCAGAATGGGGTTTCATATCAACGATGGCTGAGAAGAAAAATTGCACCTGGTGTTTGAGGCTAGCAGAATTCAGGCCCACGGACTTGAGGCTTCCTGCGAGGGAGCCCGGAAGACCACCCCCGGCTGCTGCTCTTCGAGTGCATCCCGGCCCAAGTTTCGTCTTCTCAGAGCCATTGAGGGCAAGAAAGCTGCTAGCCCTGCGGATGCGTTTCCATCACCCGCCTGGAATGAAGCATCGATGGTCCGGTCTACATACACCTTGGAGCCAAGGAGCCGCGAGGCAGGGCCCGGCAAGGAGCACAAAGAACACGGCACGGATGCTCATCATGGCTTGTCAAACGACACGGAAGGCTGAAAGCAGGCGAAGTCTTTGATCAGAAATGCTACGTCCCGAGAACCAATTACCGGTGAGCCACATGCCGAGGACGTACAAAAATATGCACAATCACCATGTTCACCAGCACATGAGCCTGGTAGGAACCCCAGAACCGGGTGAAAAGCCGCAGGGCTGCAAGGCCTTGTAGAAGCTTCGCCTGCTTGGCAAACTGCTCCTGCACAGCTTGCGAAAGCCTGAGCTGTGTCAAGGAGGGTTGCTGCTTGCCCCGACCTCCTGAGTTGTTGAACTGTGCCGCGCTGCGAGGACATGCATCACAATGTGGGGCTGCTTTGGGAGCCTTCATTCAAAATAAGGCGTTTGGGTAAAGGCAATTGTTGTGCCACAAGTATAATCATAGCCAAGGGACTAAGATTGGGAATAAGGAGCCGGCATCTTACGTGGAGTTTGGGTTTACAGGATTAGGCAAAACGGCCAAGGTTTCGTTTCAATGCGCTTCTGTGCAGTATCACTAAAGTCCGCTCAGTCGTCCCCACCGAGATTCTCAGATACTACTAACCTGCGATACATAACCTATAACAGCTTCTTCTCATGGCTACGGATATTGTGATCATGCTTGCCATACCTACTGTAGCTTCTTGACACCACTGGTCAAGGCAGCCCTAGTCAGAGAACTGCAAAAACACTGCGACAAGGGATGACTTCACCGATAATGAATATACGAGTACAGGAACACGAACGGCAGCAGCATCAAGACACGACGACCGCCAGCATGCACGCAACTCCAAGCAACACGAACGATAATCATAAGAAGACATATATTAATATACCACCCAGTACTCGATAATAGTCCTCTTATGCCCCGTGACAACACCTGTATTACTCTTGGCGGTCTCACAACTATGACGTTTCATCGTTACAGAGCACGGACCTTAGCGCGGTCATAGGTCATATGCCCCTCCGCCTCTATAGTAGATTACTATGGTATGTTACCGCATACTGTGCCGCATACTGTATAACATCACGGTGTGTCATAGTATGTTGTGTTAGTGGCATATCTCTTTTGCAGGCAGCTTCTTGTTCTCCAACTTGATACCAGCCTGGGTCTCCTCTCGGAGGTGCAGGGTGAGCCTGGCGACCCAGGTATCTTCAGCTCATGTTGTTGAATGATGCGCTGCTGTACCTGAATTGGTTACGTTGCTTTATACTGTAGGTTTGGAGAGATCGGGTCTGGGGCCTAGGATTTTGGGAAGAGAACGGCTGAGAGAGGGTATGGAGAAATTTGGGGTTTTTTAGCTTGGGCTTCAACCCTCACAACTTGGCGAACTGCGTGATTGTAGCTTCGGGTCTATGGTTTGGGACCTGAAGATTTCAGCACTCACACTCCGACTTGCCTAGGCCAGGGTCCTGGCACGACCACGACGACATTTTAAGATGTAGGGTCCTCCAGGTGTGGAGGCTTGATCTTGCATACGGATAAGCATATAGTGCTGGCATTTTAGTGTCAACGCAAAGTACAGTAGGACGCAACGTTGACACTTGGTATTCGATTCCAGGATGTAGAGCCAGCAGGGTCTATGTGAGTTCAGGCCGTGGGACTAGAAGGGCACGGGACCTTGCGCAGTTTAGGGTCTCTGTACTCGCACTGGATTGGCTAGGACTAAGCCTGCTTTGCTCCGAGATCCGCATAGCGATCAGGGCATGGGCTTGACTCGTCTCTCGACTCTCTTGGAATTCTAAACCTCAAGCCCTTCTTCGGCTCCCAATTCCCCGAGGCCCTCATTTATGGCCCAGCGGCTGCTGCAACAGTGCGGCTTGCTTGGAGAACTGCTGCTGCAGAAAGCCCTTCCATTCCTTGTCTCGCGATGCTCTCATGTTAGAAGTGAGTGGTGGTTTCCGAGTGTCAGGACTCAGAAGAGCAGCACCAGCATTCTGTGGCTGACTTCGAACCAGCTCCAGGGCAGCACTTCATACAGGTCGCACAGATCTAGCTTTGCTTCATGCCAAACACAAATTGCCAAGTTCAAAGCACCAGCACACGACCTTATTGCAGTCCGGATGCTGGGTGCGTCCCATCGATGGGCCAGTCTTCGAGCTCCGTCTCCACGACATCTTGAACCTCAACTGCGGTTGTGCCCAGGAAGGTGGGCAAGCTGAGGAACAGAAGCCTCGGAGGCGCAAGCGAGTGGCTCGAGGGGACATCACCGCATCTTGGAAGGTCGCCATGGCAAATGGCAGCACTCCTTCAGTGATACCTGCTGGACCTCTGCAAAGTTCATGTTGATTTGCGGCTGAAGCGTGCTTCAAGAACCACCCTGGCACTCACCTAAGACCCATAGACGAGCCCTTGGTCTGGAGATGGAACTGGCGTAGGGTTCTACGATACTTGGGAGCCAAGAATCACAGGCCGAATGGACACTGGACACGACCCGTGAAGATTCTCTCTCGCGAGCAGCGTCACAAGCCATCCCTGACGAGGACTATTCCAACTGTCGGCCGGCATGCGCTCCTTGATGCCGATGCAGCTGGTGCCATCGACCGCCGAAAGAAGCCGCAGATCCAAAGGGCCGGAACATGCGGACAACACAGCTACTTGTCTAGTTCTATTCCTGGAGAAAGGGATCTGGGATGTGTCTATGGGATCGCAGGCTCGCAGCACATGAAACCGAACCCATGCTCGGACGGAGAGCTGTGGGGCCCAAGCTTCTTTGTAAGTTCTTCAGGAGGCCCTTGCCCTTGAGGATCCGTTGACGATTTGTCAGCGACACTTCTGTGGGACACTGCATGCTGCTTGTCTTCCTTGGGCCCCACATAATGTGCGGAATCCCCTAATACTAAGCTACTAAACCTCCAGACCGCTCATTCACCCTGAATGCCAGCCTCACCCTACGACCCGAAGTGCTTTCGCATCGGAGCTCAACAGTTCATCAGATTCCCAGACTATGAAGCCACAGTCCCACTAAACGCAGCATTCGCAGCCTACAGATACCACTTCTTCTAGTGTGTCGAGTCCCACTCCGAACACCTTCGAGGTGCAAAGCCGCCATAAGCCCCTTCCATGGCGCCTTAGGCTGTGACCGGGCCAGCCACCTCTGGCTTGCAGCAGGCCTTCCGTCGCAATCTGGGATGTAGGGGTGGTGCACGCTTTCGGAGAAAACACGCACATGTCTGGCATCTATACCATCTGTATCACTAGGACCCTGTAGGACCTGGTTCTCTTCTCACATCAAGATCATCTTGACTCTCTCGGAAACGAAAGCCCCCATGCACCTAACCCCTAAACCCTAAACCCCTAAACCTAACCCCTAAACCTAACTCTCCTAACCCCTAACCCCTAAACCCCATGCCTTTTTGAAATCCCCTGCCAAGCCTCGTAGGAGACGAAGGCCCGGAAACCTCCGCTCTCTTTCTCTAATGTAGAGGGTCTATAAGGACTATACTGGATTAGATTAGGGTTTTGGTGGCTCCTTACTATACATATAATATAATAAACCCCCAGTAATCTAGGGGACTTCAATTTTTGGAATAGGCTTCCTTTTAAAGGGGTCTATAAGGGCTACTGGCAGCTACTATCAGGGATCCAGAAGGGTACACCATGTACTTGCATGTCGGGGCCTTAAAAATTTAGAATAGGGTTTTGGTGGTTCCTTACTACAAATATATTATAATAAACCCCCCAACCCAAGCATGTAGTGTTTGTGGATTTGGGGGCTCTGGCTCTGGATCTGGGTTCTGGCATTGGTGATACCGGCGTGAACACCACCACTACCACCACCAGCTGCAGCAACATCACGACCCCCTGCAGGGATCATCACCAGCACCAGCACATGCATACGGTCACGGCCGTCACGATCGTCATTAGGCAGGAGCCGGCGGCAATGCGAGAAAGAACTTGACAGGAATCACAATCCTCGCTGTTGTGTCTGGTTCATGCATCTGTGTTGCTTTCCTGAATACCAGTACATTCACCATGATTGCTCTTCGGTGACTGGTCGCTTCGATTCCCGCTGGTCTTCAAGAGACACCTACGAACTCTTCAAGATTCGGGTCGTGTCAGCTTCAGTTCCTGATTTTACTATTTGGGCCACCCTTGGATTTTGGAGTCCTGAATCGGCCCCTGAGGTTTTCTAAGATCATGCAGACTTCTACATCAGTCGACACCCGAAACCCCTGGAAGCCACATCCGATGACTAGGTCATTTATGGCTCCACCCCTCCGAATCCGATGCCCTTGCGTGCATGTGCCGGAAGAGCTCGACACAGGATACACCCCCAGCGCTCCCTCGAGGATCCTGCTAAAACGCCAGGCCCAGCACCCTCAAGCGAATGACAAGTGGCAAGGTCTAGAGCCCAGTGGTAGTGGGAGGCAGCAGTCCACTGGATCGTAAGCCTTCGACCGGGTGCAGGCTCGCTGGCTTGTTGAAGTTATGTTGCGCTGCCAATGAAATGCGTAGAACGACCAAGTCACATCAGCAGTTGACCTCGTATTTCGGCCCTAAGAGTTGCCTCACCCGAACCATCCCTCCTGCCTTGCTTCTGAGTTGTGCCGTTGTCTCTGCCGTTCACATTCAAGCAGGTACGCAAGCTCTGCTTCTACCAGACATGCAACAAAAAAAGGTGGCTGCCGATTAGTGACTAGTGCATCTTTGCCGCCAAGGCTCACTCTTCCATCCATTCAACCCCGCACTCTTCTTCTTCCCCCAGCATAGGAGTGCGAGCTGCTCGTTGGTGAAATCCAAGCCTCAAAAACACCACGCAACAGGATCTCACAGGCTCGGCAGAGGGTTTGCTGCCGAGGGGGTGTCCCGTCTTGTTCTGCAAACACTTGCCAAACCACCATCCGGCTTGGCTAAAGCTCAAAATGGTGCTGCTACAGGTTGAACGTCTTTCCGCCGAACCCGTTCAGGTCTGCCGGGCCTGAGCGGCACGCGACATACTCGTGCATGCAATCATAGACTTGTCAATGATGTCTGCACAGCAGCTGACCCAGAACCCAAGACCTTGAAGCCAGGGCACGATAAACACAAAGAACAGTTTGACATACACGTTGTTAAAAACTACGGTTCCTTTCCAGCAAACAAAACAGAAAGCCAACACTCAGATCACCTGAATTTCAATCGCCTTCCAACACAGCCACACAGACCGTTTTGCAGCTGAAACTCCTCGATGCCAGGCAGAACAGAGCCAACAACCCCGAAGCACAACCCGTCCTTCTCTGTCCACCGGACTTAATTAAACCTTCCAGTATCAGCTGTGCGGCAGCCTAACGCTGAGCTGTGAACCGTCAAGTGCCGCCGTGCTGCGCAGCCGGGGCGTGGTGGTGACGGTGGTGTCAGTATCGTGGCCGAGTTTCTGGAGTGCCACCCCTGGCAGTCTTCCGTGGCCACTAAGCAGAGAACCAGAAGCCCGAACGTCACAATCAGAACATCAAAACATCTGGAAACAATACAGCCCCTCAGAAATTATTGCAACACTACTCACTGATATCACACTGCTACTGCGTTTCTCATTTGGTTGAAGCAGCCACAAAAGCAAAGTCCATCTGGCTCTAACGTCTGAGCCGGGAGCTCCGTAGCTCCCAAGCTCTTAAAGCATAAAGCGGTGCAATCCAGATTGAATTTGTTTTATGTAATGATACCAGGATTATAAGGGCCAAGAAACGGCCGTAAGTCATAGTCCGACCGATCCCAACACATCACTGATCGACTAGCGCTCCCTGACACTGCAACGGCGACTGAGCCCGGTACGCTGGAAGCTGTGCACAGCAGGCACAAACTCCTAGGTGGCATGGGATCGCGCGGGGTGTCGCTAGGACGAGAAGCCCCAAAGATACCGGCCCAAGGGAGACAGAACAACGCGAAGAAGGCATGCAGTCGTAGCTAGCATCTTGTACAACCCACAGCAAAACAACGGCTGCTGATCGTCCCTGACTGCGCAACACAACCCTGAACCAGTGATCGAAATCTCTTCTGTCGAGTCTTAAGCCTTCAACCTTACAAGATTAAGCACCGATGACGGGCAGGGCTCCACGGAAATCGCATGAAGCACGTGATGGAACTCGGTAAACTCGAAGTGCTGCCCAGGCAACCTGAGGTTTAGGTCCAGGGTTTAAACAGGGAATCGAATCTCAAGCACTCTAACCGGTAGGCCGCCTAAACCTGACAGCAACTATGGTCCGGGTTCGGGGAGATGTCGATGCTCACGCACGCCCGAGTCTTCGCAGTTGCACATGCAGTACTTCACGCTTGCAACCTGAACGCAGTCAGCGATATGATGGCGTCGTGCCTGCTACTGGCTACCAAATGAACTGTGGTCAACCCCACAAGGCAAATCCTTAAGACCGTCTGGCACGACGACCAAAAAACTATCATCTTAAACAGCACACAGGAATAAAACTACATGACTTGCTCATGTACATGTCCGGCCGTACTACGCTCATCAGATGCGAAGCTGGAGATCGTGCAGTGGTTCCATTCCGGCCAGCATGGACATGATCAGCTGCATCCCATGCAGTAGATGTATCGCGCAGCCCCCCAGTTCTCAGGTCGCGATCGGGGGAAAACTGTGACTGCTCGTGTATCCGTAGAAGCACTGAAATGCACACTGCGAGGTGGAAATTGTAGTCATCCTGAAGCGTAGACTACAAGTGTTCATCCGAGCCGCGGTTCCTCCTTGCACGACGCTCCTGGCCACGTGCGTCGGTTCTGCAAGAGTGCGCCTTGAAATCGCTTCTTTTGTATCACAGGCCAGTTGGCAAACTACTCTAGGCAAGGGTTTCTGCCTGCAGCCACCACCCGTGAGGACCGAAGACCCGGACCAAGATGCAATTGGAAGTTTATCAAAACTCAACCCGAGAGTCAAAGCGGCATGCTTGAACCTGGAAGCCCAAATCCGGAAACCGCGGCATCAGTCCTGCAGCTACAGCGTTGGCGGCCTACATGGGACGGCCGAATTCACGGTCTCTACCTACGCTTGCAGTTTGTGCCTTAGGCTCAGCGAGACTACGAGAGGTCTTCATGGTCTTAGAAGCTTGCAAGATACACTGAGCATGGAGTTGGGGTGAGAGTAGTTCTGAGCTTCCACCTACAGGACCAGATGGCTCTAACCGAGGCACATCGGGGGTTCTCCATTCTGACTGCACCTGCCGGTTGTGACAAATCACTGAAAAAGCAGGTATCGGACTTCACCCGTGGCATGTGAAGAACTTGTTTATAGCACTTAGAACTGGGGTTTGAGGTCAGTTCTGCTATCATGCCTCCTCTGATGGTCCTGAGGTTATGGGCGCCATGATTTTCAGGCCCAAGCAGCAGAAGACCCAGAAGCCCTTCGGATGCCATCACCGGGTTCCTTTAAAGGGGTCTATAAGGGCTACTATAAGGGATCTATAAGGCACTATATTATAGAGCCTTAATAATTAGAACAGGGTTTAGGGGGCACCCCAATGAATTCACAGGCCCCGAACAGCGTAATTTAAATTTAAACCTGTACAGTTTGGCCACTGTAGTCTTGCTAGTCATGTCATGTAGGGCCCTCAATCATTCGAATAGGGTTTTGGGGGCTCCTCTTTAAAATTCTTGTATAATATATACCCCAAGCCCTATTCTAATTTTTACGGCCCCAATATTATAGTACCTTGTAGATCCCTGATAGTAGCCCCTAAAGACCCCCTCAAAGGAACCCTATTCTAATTATTGAGGCCCCTATATTATAGTAAGAGAGCCCTTGTAGTAGCCCTTTTCAAACCCCTTAAAGGAACCCTATTCTAATTATTGAGGCCCCTATATTATAGTAAGAGAGCCCTTGTAGTAGCCCTTTTCAAACCCCTTAAAGGAACCCTATTCTAATTATTGAGGCCCCTATATTATAGTAAGAGAGCCCTTGTAGTAGCCCTTTTCAAACCCCTTAAAGGAACCCTATTCTAATTATTGAGGCCCCTATATTATAGTAAGAGAGCCCTTGTAGTAGCCCTTTTCAAACCCCTCAAAGGAACCCTATTCTAATTATTGAGGCCCCTATATGGGAGTTTCCGAAAATAGGGGACCCTAATGTAGTACCCTTTATAGTAGGATCCTTATTATAAGGACCCCCAAATAAGGTACCCCTAACTTTCTAAGGCACCTATATGAGTCCTGCAAGTCATGTCGGATGAAGGGCCTGACTAGACAGCGGAGGCGGCCAGCCGGGCCTGGGACCAAAAGCTGCTTTCAGGAGTTTTTTGGATGGGGGGCTTCTAGGCATTGAAGTTACCGTAATTACGGATCTAGAGTAAAAAAAAAGTATGGTTTCCCCGATTGTGATCCGTTTAAGCATTCTGAACTCTGAACTGCCCCTTTCCCGTCTCTGAATATCTTGGTGCCCAGCTTATCTATGTTTCTGTCTCTCCCTCTCTCTGCCTCCGTCTGTGCATCGCAGTGTCTGGGAGTATGTCAACAGCCAAGTCGTGAGTCTGCTTCTGCTGGGCGCAGTCTCGAAACATGGACTCTGGGAAATACGGGCTTCACGAAGTGTTCGTTGGATGAAGCGGAACCATTCCGCAATCACAACAGGCGAGGGTAGTTTACAAAGGAACAGCTCAACACACCCCAAAGCGTAGGCGCAGAGATGCTCTTGTCAAACAGAAGCCATGCGATTGCACATTTTTCTGCCATGCACTCCAGGACGTCGGACTTCTGCCAGGTGGGCGCGCCCGCGATGTGTAGGCTGCCTTGCAAGGGTGGCCTAGACACCGAATTTCAAACTCCTGCACCCCAGAGTTGAAAACTCGAAGGCCGCAGACTTTAGGGCTCCAAACTCCTTTCATGACTTGTGGTGGTACATCTCGCTACTGATGCTTTCAGTACTGCGATGAATCTACTTGGCTGTCTTACTCTGCTACTCTTCCCGCCACTGTCAATACCATTATTCGCCTCGTGCCTGGTGCAGAGGTTGTTCCACAACCGCACGTTCTTACTATGTGGAAAGACCGCAACACTCCACTCAAAAGTGACGCAGGTGGAGCGCACAAGTATGACCATCCTGGCATCAGGGCCTGCTGGTCGGTACCAGCCCAAACAATCCCCCGGCAGCCTGCCAGGAGCTTGGACTTGAGAGTTCGGGACAAAGGGACCTTGGGTCTGGAGTTTGAGGGCTGCCCGGCATCTGAGAAAAGGCCTTACTGGGGGAGGCTGGCTGCGGAGAAACAAATGCTCATGTTGAAGCTGGCAAAACACACATGATGATAAAAGTGCAAGGACAATCGTGGTGGCAGGGGCTTCAAACGAACAAGTCCACCAATTCCAGCACCACTGCCAATCTACATCATCATGTGGTTATCGTCGTCGTCCCCCCTTTCCATCTCATCAGCAGTGTCTTCACCGTCACTGTCACTACCTTCACAACCCATCATCATTGTCGTCGTCATCGTTGTCGTCGGTCATCTTGCCAGCTTTACGGGCTGCCGATTACCAGTCTACCTCCTTGATCTCGGTGACACTGGTCACAAGAGTTGCCACATTGCCGATGCTGATGTTGCGAATGTTGCTGCCTGGAGCACCATGTGTGTATGTGTGCATGTATGTATGTCTGTCTGCCTGTCTGTCCGTATGTATATATGCCCGCGTATGAATAGACATATGCGTGCATGTGTATGGTTATACCCATATGGATATAGACATAGTTACAGATATAGACTTATTCTTCTATACACATCTAGAGCTCACAAAAACATATATGTATGGGTGTACATACACACATACACATCATATGAACATTTGCATAAAGTGTGTGTGTGTGTACACATATATATATATATAAGTATATAAGTATATAAGTATATATGTATATAAGTATGAATATGCATAGTATATATACATATATATATATAGAGAGAGAGAGACGTATTCATATGTATGTACATATGATGCACATACATGAGGGCCTCCCCCAAAATAAATACAAAGCGGGAGAGAAGAAGCTGCGATACCAGGGCCCAGGCAGCTCCAGCGGCTGTCGGAGGCGCAGCCGCACAGGGGCCCAGGAGGAGTCCTCCGCCACCTTGCTAATATAGGGGACTCAATGATGAGAATAGGGATTTGGTGCCCAGTAACGGTACTATAAATACAAAAGGTTTCGGGGGTGACAGGGGCCCTGATGGTCCTGCATCCCATCATTCTTAGCATGAAGAAAGTGATGTGCGAGGCGCAGAGTCAAGTTAGAAGCCAATCTTCGAACAACAGCATGCAGCAGCATCTTTCTTGTGCTTCCTGCTTTTCTTCCGTCGGGGTTTCCGAGGGTGGCAATGACACCCGCTCAAGCACAAGTGCACCCTGTTTGCAGATCCGTGCCTTGTCGGTGTGAAGTGCGCCGAGTGATAACCAATGTCACCTCTCTCTGAATCAACACCCCTGCGGATTGCCACAGTCCTTGCCTGCACCAGCTGCTGGACACTCCACGTCGCGGCAGTGACCTCAAAGCGACTACTACACGAAAAGCGGAAGAAACATCGTAAGCTACGACGAAGCTGCGATGAAGATCAAGTGTCTCCCTGGCCGAAGATGTCCTCGGGAGCGCCCCCAACAGCAAAGTTTCTTTCGCAACCCTCAGCTCTTCTCCCTCGTCTTTCGGCTCAGAACCTTGTGGGCTGGGCGCAGCCTCGCATCCTTCCCCAGGCCTTATCTCCCGTCATTTATCGCATCGAAGCGGCATGTCTCAGCGCGACAAATGCAGGCCAAAGCCTCCGCAACTGTGGCTGATAGTGTTCAGGACTGGTCCAAGCAGTTTGAAACTGGACGTTAAAAACTCGCAACTCGCCGAACAGATTCCAGAGCCTGATGATTTGTAATTGTGAGAAGCTGTAATGCAAAATGCATCTGACGGATTTGCATATCCTTGGCGTACGGTGCCAATTAGTTTCTGAACTCACATGCAGCAGATTTTAGACACCACCTCCTCAAGCGATGACTCCTACAACTGTCCCAACCGGAACATGCAACACCATTGTTTCATCATCCCATCTGCACTGCCATGCCAGTCACGCAGCTTGACAGTTGTATCAGACTGGAGATGGGTCAGACTGGGAAAGCGCTACTTCCATCGCACATGCAGATGCTGCAAGGTGCACTCTAAGGCAAAGCTATGCCAATCTCTTCAGTGCTCGTTTACAGTCGGAAGTACGACGCTACGCCAATCCAAACGAAGTCGCTGGAGTTCCGGCAATATTGCACTTTACTATACGATGTATATGTATGTACGCATGTACATTTGCCTGTTTGTTTGTATGCGTGTGTGTGTATATATATATATATACATATACAACATCGTATTGCATAGTATGTTCTGTTTTAACCCAATCTAGGAAATACAGACGGCTGTGCTATATTGAACCGATTTACACACACAAGCAAGAGGTCCGAAGCCTGCCACCCTGAATGTGCCCGAAGCCCTGAAGCTCGAACCTCTCAGGCCCCTTCCCCGCCCCCCTCGGGACCCTGTGCGATGTAGCTCACCGAAATTGGCCCACACAGCCTGCTTGCTTCTTCGGATGAAGCTCAGCAGAGCAAAACTGCTTTGCGTTGAGAACCCCTGTGCCACGATGGCATCATACACTCCCAGACAATATTGAAGAATGATGGCTTGTATTGTCTTCTCTTCTCATCCCTGCAGCGAGTTCTGAAAGGCAAAGTTCGAAACATCTTCGCAGCAGTTTACGCCTACGCGCTGATGAAGCTGATGTTCAGATGATGGTCGCTGTTCTAGGTGAGAAAAGGGTGATACTCAGGATTGCGACTAGGTCAAGGAATTTGAAGATCAGGCTGCTGCTGCACCACGGTATCAGTCGTACAAGTCACAAGATCGAGAACAAAGCCGACGTGTGTATTTTCTGTCGGCTCCGCTTCTCCTTGCCATGCCCCGGAGTACCTCTTAGGTGGAACCAGCCTGAGCTTCAACATCAGGCTGCCGGCTGGACTGGGGAAGCTGCGGTTTCGGGGCTCGCTCTCGGATACGGTTTTGATACACACACACACACACTCACTCACTCACTCACTCACTCACACTCGATCCAAGAACATATGTCTTCCGAGCATCTCTCAGGTATTCCTCCACTCCAACTATTCTATGCTTGCCCTCCGGAGGTTCACAACTGTTTGGCTTGAACCCAGTTGTGGCTGGCGGCATCGCCTGTGATTGCATCAGCCAACTGGTGCAGTTTCGCAACGGCAAGCCGCGACGGGCACCGGCGAACCGGAGGAGGAAAAAAGCCGTCTCTGGCTCCGTCGCCTCTTCTCTCCCACCCCTTTTCTAGTGATCAAAGTAGCCAGACTAAAGCGACTTCAACCTAACTCTCTCTCGACGGTCCTTCTCTCTTTACGCTCTCACAACTCACACTGGCCAGGCGAGAGCTTAGGGTTGTCCTTCTCTCTTTAAGTCTTCCGGTCTCGTATGGTCCAGCGACACGCCTCCACACTACCACCGGCAGTGAAGCAAACGCTGGAGTCCTGAGCTCCGTTGACAGCAAGCAGAAAAGACACTTTCTAGGCGTAAGCCCTGAACCGAGCCTTCCAAGTCCTGTCAGCCACATCTAGAATCCAGACTCCAGATACGGGAGTTTCCGAAAATCAGGGGGACCCCAGTATAGTACCTTAAATAGTAGGATCCTATAATATTATAATACTTACTATAAGGACTCCAAAATAAGGTACCCCTAACTTTCGGACACTCCCATATATTCCGACCAAAAGGGTCGCTGAGCTAAAGCGCAAGGAAAAACCCCTCAGATCCGAGCATGCTGAGGTCGCGGCCAAGACCAGCCTCGGAAGAAGCTTCTGAGTTCCGGAAGCCGTCAGAATTTGAATATACTGTAGGGTTTGGGGGTACATGATTCTATTTTCAGGACAGGGAACAAACAAAACGAGTAACTTCTTTGCGAGAGCTTTGGGGTAGCTTAGCGGGGTTCGACATGCGATTGGGGCGCTTTGAAGTGCCTGATGACTCCAGCATGCATACGGTTGACATACAAATCACACGGCGAGCATCACACTGTCTCGATGCCTTGGTGAAATGATTTTCAGCCACAAGCTGCTTAGGCGTTTGTCCTTGGGCCCTTCTTGGGCCAGACTTTGCAGGTGGAACTTACGTGCTTGCCTGTTTCCTGGTAATTGCATTTGCCCGCAGATCTTGCAGCTCACTGATCCAGCTGCGTTGACATTCAAACGGCCACGAAGCTGACTCCAGGCGTGGGTGTGCGTGGGTGTTCAATTGCTTGCTTGTTTGATGTGTTGAATTGCATGTAGCAAGTAACGGTGTGTCTCTGGGTGCACGTGCTATTCCTGAGCAGATCTGCTTGCGTGCATGTCGGATTGGCTACGGCGGCATCCATTTACCTTTGAGCATGCTGCAACGCAGGGGTCTTGACTCGTGCATACAAGCAGCGCACTCTGCACAAATTCCTCGGAATTCTGAAGGTCTTCTCCAAAAAGGTTCCAAGGGCGGAGAGGATTGCCGACCTTTCTGCGCGGCCGTTCTGTGGGACAACGCAAAAAAAATCAACACGCGTGGCCACGGGTCATGTTCGTGTTGGACTCTGCAGTGGACAGCTACCGTGTAGGAGAAGCCTTGTGAGGGCCACGCCAAGCAAAGCCCCAATCGTAAAAGAAGTGGCGCATGCAGCGGTAACCTTTGGCAACCTCATTAGAAAAAGACGGACCTGACCTCGGCTTGTAGTACCTCCGGTCCTCGAGCCGCTCAGACAACCCAGCACTGATTATCATGGAAAACGACTCAGGACGAAAGCACACAGATACTGCCGTCTGAAATAAGATGTGTGTAGCTACCCGAATGCCAACCCACACACAAAGACAAGCCACTCGAAACATGAGATCTTCGGAGGCAAGGAAGCGAACTTGGAGCAGGACTGCGACCTGTGCAAGAGGCATTGAGAGATGCATCGGGGCTTGGGGGGCTTGGCAAAGCTGTGCTTCGTTTGGGTTGCAAGCCTGGCTGTATGACTCCAGAATACTCCAGACGAATCCACATTTGGAGGTACCAGCAGCGGATGGGAATTTCAGGGAGCCCGACCATTGACAGCGCGCTGATATGTTTCAGTCCGTGAACTGGCCACGGTCGTGGAGCCGTGCGGATGAAGTTCGGACACTCGCAGGACCAAACGGGTTCAAGCAGTCGCAAGACTGACCTTACGACAGCACACGCCCGTCTCCTCCCTCTTCTTCACCGACAATCGGGACACAAAGAGGCCTCACTTTTTCCCCTCCTGCTTGGCAAGGACGAAGCCCGCATTGTAGGGTACTTGGTGAGGCCTCTTGGGATTCGCGGTTTGTGGCAATGCCCGATGCACTACCCGTAAACCTGAAGCCTGAAGCCAGAATGTGTTGAACCCTGGGCAGCCAGAGCTGGGCAGCACGCTGTCCACAATGCTCCGCCGATGAGCCTAACCGACAGGCAGTTAGATGGCTTTAGGACAAGTTTAAAGACTTGTACAGAACTTGCATACAGAGCTTTCGGGACGGAGATGGTGTGTCTATTTGGTCCGACTGCTGCGAGAAAGTACTTACCAGGCACTTAGAAGAAGATCCGGCGATTCTCAGAACTGCTATCGCTGGCAATGCTTGACAATCACTTGATCATAGTCCGGACTGCGGGACTACGAACTGTTCTAGTACTTGTGTTCAGTCGTATATCATCAGCACGACAGCAAAAACGCCAATACGAGCGGCAATTCAGGATAGACCTGCCGAAAAGCTACAGTAGACACCGAAACCTGAGATCTGTGTTTCGGTGGTCTAACATCGCCACAGGCGACCATCATTTTCAGAGCCATGGTGGGTTGGAATCTCTTTTCTGCGATGTAAGCTGCAGCATTTTTGGAATTGCGTTCTGGAAACTTGGCTTGTCAGGCCTTTAGACTGTCACTGCGTGGAGATCTCGACATGGTGCGCAGTTTTGATGGCAGGGCGACTTTTGCAGTTTCTCCTACCGCACACGCCCTCTTCTGTCGTGTTAAAGTTCACCGGACCATGGTTCACCAAAAAACTGAATAGGAGTCGTCCTGGTATTTGTGGACCTTGCACTTGCAAGGCAAACGCCGTAGTTATAGTGAGAACAGTAATCGCTGTCACAGTGGTAGTGGCAGCGGGAGCGGTTGGTGGCCAAAGAAGTGGCAGTGGTAGCAGCAGTAGCAGTAGAAGTCGTCGTCGTAGTGGAAATGGAAGTGGCAGCGGTGTTACCGATAGTGGTAGTGGTCGCAACGGCAGATTGGCTGCAGCAGCAAGAATCGCAGGAGCAGGCAGGCGCCAAATTGGTCTTCATAGCATTCACACAGCCAGGAGGGCAGCCCTTCGCGATGACTTTGCCTCACCATGAGCGCGCCAAGAGTTTGCGGTCCGCCAGCGCATGGCGAAGGCGCGGCAAGGGCTCCTATTTGTTATGTATGAAAACTTGCAGCTATGCAGGTATCAGGACTCATCAGGGCTGGGTCAGGACTCATCAGGGCTGGGGGTCCTGGAGGTATATGCGGTTGGGGCCAGCGTTCATGAGGCGAATGGCATGACGGGCGTTAGCACTTGCAGTATAAAAACTCCTGGGAGAAGCTGCGCATTATAGGGAACTTAGGGACTCAACTGAGAGTCGCGGGTGGAAGTCTCGCGAGGCAATTCAAGTTCAAACGTTAAGCTTACCGAACACGGTGAAATACAATGGCGCCTCATGACATGTCCAGTGGGGCAGGTTCAGCTAGGCTCATGGAGGCGCTACAGCTTTTCACGCAAGACAGCTGGAGCCAGGCCAGGAACGCGTTCTAGATTCTAGACCACTAAAGTACTCTTGCACAGCAAAGCTCGCGGCCACACACGAGCAGACAAATGGAACATAAGCATCTCAGCTCGGAGGCTTTGCAAAGTGAACCACATGCCAACAGCATGGCAGCCGTCATCAAAGAGCCAGCAAAAAAAATCCAAGTGCGATAAGGTTGGTGGCATGCCTGCAAGACAGCTTTAGCATCCTCTACGAAGCATTGCCAAAGCTGCGAGCTGTTTGCAACCATTCGGGGCTCCGGGAGACACAGCTTCAGGCTTTTGGGTTTTGGGCTGTTGCTGCCATTGCTGACTGCAGAACCTTAAGATTTCACAGGCATCGTCGAGCTTTGGCTTCGCAAGGGCCTCTGAGCTTCGAGTTTGATGTGGCTCATAGTGACGCAGAGGGTTTTCTGCTACCGAAACGCTCGAGGACCTTAACAGGAATTCCACACCATGTAGAAAAGGTTCACAGTGCATGAAGGATTTCCATCCCTTAACCATGACTTCTATTTGACCTAGACATCTTCGGAGTCATCATCTGAAAGCAGCCCCTAGCACGATGTAAAACCATGCTACACGTAAGCATGGGTTCCAATGTTCCAATGCATCGGAAGGCCACTGTCACAACCCCGAAGCCACGCGTAGTCCCAAACCCCCAGACTCAGACCCAGAACTCCAAAACCCCAAAGCCTTGGTGCTGATGCCCTCAAACCATAAAGCACTGCACCAAAAACATCGAATGCCCGAGCACACGTCGCGCTGCAAAGAGTTTTCCATCACGAGAACAAACGGGGCTCCTCTGGAAGGCCTTCTCTCCAGCAGTCTTTTCAGATGTCAGGCTCACGTGAGGCTTGGTGCGAAGCTGAGGGATGAGTTGTCTCCTGGTTTCAAAGTCTCGGCGATGTTCGGCAGGCTGTTGGGCTTGTCATGTCTTGACACTGTCGAGGCCTTCCCACTCCCCTCATGGAACAGGTGACGCTGAACGCTAAATCTTCACAGTGCCGTGAAGCTTGTGCCCCAGCACGGACCAGCGATTGCTGTGCAAGGACGAGAGTGTACGCGTGCGAAAGATGTGAAGGCTGCCTGCCGCACACAGGCACTGGCTGAACCTGTACAGGACACCCAAAAAAATCGGAGGAGGACTCAACTCAACCCCTCAACCGATAGCTAAAGCCCTGCAATCTGCCTCCACTCTGCTTTGCCAGATAACCGCGAAAAAAACCGTCGATCACTGATTCTCAGATCTTACGTCATAATGCCCTCTTGGGGCTTCACAGAACAGCAGGACGGGTACCAGAGTGCGGCAGAAAAGGGCGCAACCCTGCCAATGGACTTCCAGGAAACCCGACAAGCTTCAAGGAGCCAAGGAGTGCGCAGGGTTTGAGATCAAGCGTTCAGGATTCACTGCTCTTTAAGGTTCTTTCGTTCATGGGGCCTCGAATTCGAGCCCTAAGGTTTGGAAGCTATTGTTCTGACTCCATGATGCGGGACTGAACCGACTTGACGGGGGAATCCAGAGAGAGAGAGAGAGAGAGAGTGAGTCTTCAATTAGTAGAATCTTAGCTTAGTAGAGGCCAGACAAATGGACCGTCCAGAATCGGCATGCCATTGAATTAACGAAAACACTCAACTAAATCATGTAACGGTCCTCTGCTCATCCTTCATCTACAATCTATATTTCAAGCTTCTGAAATGGCTCGCAGGGGGTTTCAAGCAGCGTTGAAGCTTCCGGATCCATCAGTGGCCAACATTGAGATGTCATGCAGTCTCTGGGAGGCAGTGCCAGCTTTGCCAGAGTCATGTATCCAAGAAGTCAGCTGCAGGAAGTATTCGGGAGGGTTTGGGACATGCTCGCCTGGCTGCCTAACGCTTTGCAGCGTTGGGGTCTTCTTGCGCAAGCCCACTGGATCCTCTCCTCTGCAGCTGTCTGTCGCAAATAACGAAACTCAGAAACAGGCTCAGATGCCTTGACGAAATCGCTTGGGGCGTCGACTCCTGCATCAGACAACAGGCTAATGCACTCTCAGCCCAACTCGAACCGAGCTCTGTAAGATCTTCTCAAGCATTCGGAGTTCAGGCCGCTTGGCAGACCTTTACTGGGGTTCAGTGCGCGTACAGCCAAAGGCACAGGTTTCTAGTCTACACAGACGGTGGGGGCCTGTGCTTCGGGAAATCCCATATGCCACCACCACCTTCTCTTCACCTCCCGCTGCAGACAAGAAAAGTGTACCACGAAAGACGTCCTGTTTTCCGCAATGGCGGTGTAGATGCCACGCAGTTGGGACACCAGCTTCTCGTAGAACATGAACCTTTTGGCTGAGGCAGGCCATTGATACTGAGGCGCACAGGTGGGCAGTCAAAATCCAAATCACTGAAAGGTTAACATCTATCGGCAACGGTACTCACAGGTGCTCCCGGGGCCCATTCGTAACCCTCAGCTGGGGTCAAACTTTGTCAATCCCTATACTCCCTGCTCATGACAGCGACATAACTCCACCTGCCTTCGCCCCCAAGCCATGTGCCTGAAAACCTAAAGTCACTGTGAAGCCACACCCCAAGCCAAGCCCTGCAAGTGCAGGCGCAGGGGCATCAGTGCCGAGTTGAGCACGGTCCTGGCTGCGCACACAGAAGGCTTGCTTGGCTCAAGCCCACAGGCGTTGACAGTGGAGCAGTGGTCGCTCTTTGAAAACAGGTCTGATCTGATCAGCTCTGGCAGGTCTGAAAGTCCAAAACCCTCAGCGACTATCCAGGCCAAGAGTCTGCAGTAGTTTCGCCTCGATGCCAGCATACAGGGCTGCGAAGCCTCAAGGTGAGGCTTATTATTATTATTGTGATTATTATTAATAATATTACTACTATTATTACTATTAGTATTACTATTATTAACACTGTGATTATTATTATTCTTGATACAGAGGACTTGAAGTTCGGAGTCAGTCCACGGTCGAAGCTGCCAGGATCTCTCCAGAACTGCAAGCGCTCGACAAACAACATCGTAGCCAAGAGTGTCGAAGTTCTGCTGGTGCCATAAAACACCGAACATTCTGCAACCAGTTGCTAATGCTTCAACCAAACTCCAAAGTCTGCTTGTTTCCCACACGACGCCCGAAGTCGCTCTGTTGAGCTCAAGGACACGTACAACTTTAAACAAGTACATATTATATCCTGTATCCCGCTGTGTGTTATACTGTAGGCTCCACTGTAAACTCCAACGTATATTGTACCGTCCTGTACTAAATCTTAGGAGCATGTGCCTCAATTGAAGGCTCACAGAAGACTTCTTCCGAAGAGGCTCATCCCTAGAATTCATTCAAAAACCCTCCAAGGACTACACGTCTGCCGGCCCCAGTCTTTCTACGAGGCAAAGAAGCCGCTCATGACCACCACTTCGATGAGGCAGTCGAAGATGCCTGTCTCCTTGGGCCGTGGCTGATTCTTCTTTCGGCTGCAAACTGGGCCAGGCCTGCTCCAGGTGCGAGATCTTGGATTTCCAGTTAGGCAGTTAGGTTGCTTGAGTTTGGGGACTGGGGCGAGGGGGAGGTATGGGGGAAGTGCATTCCAGGTGGTTGCAAATCTGTAAGTATACTATGTATGTACGAATGTATGTCTGTAGGACTCCCTTCACACCTAATTCGATGTCAAATATCATTTAGATTTAGAGAAAGGATGAGTTTGGTACGAGAATTTTTGAGAAATCGCGAAATGGAGCCCAGCGACAGCGACCCCCGGTGTTCGTCGATGCACTCGCTGTCGTGTCCTCAGCTGGGAGTTGCAGAACTACTCCCCGGCCTCAACTCCCCTGCCCCCCGGATTCTCCAGAATCCGATGTCAAGCTAGTCCGAAAGAGCACACGGCGTCGCGCTATCACTGTTACAGTTCTAGTTCCACTCAAGCAATGATCTCTTACAGACGCAGGCATGACGTCGGATCAGAATGCCAAGTGTCTGAGCAACTTGGAACGGGTAAGTTGCGCAGGTAGCCACGGACTTCGCAATTGCGCCGGCAATGAAGGCGTTGGACGCGGAAATCTCTGCCTCTCTTTGGAAGAAGTTCCGCTTCAACACATCGTAGATGACAAACCTGGTAGCTCCAGTTCAACAGAGTTATATTATGCCGGCAGGGGAAGTTCAAGAGCACACCTTGTCTGTTCCAGGCCTGTGTGGAAAAGCATGAAGCACTATGACCACTGCGACTGCTGTGCGGCTGCTCGACTTTTGCTAGCAGCAGCAGCAGCAGCAGCAGCAGCAACATCAACATCAACAGCAGCAGCTGCAGCAGCAGCAGCAGAAGCAGAAGCAGAAGCAGAAGCACAAATGTAAGTACAAGTTGCAGCAGTACTAGTAGTAGTAGTAGTAGTAGTAGTAGTAGTAGTAGTAGTAGTAGTAGTAGTAGTAGTAGTAGTAGTAGCAGGAGTAGTAGTAGTAGTAGTAATAGTAGCAGTAGTAGTTGTAGTAGTAGTAGTAGCAGTAGCAGTAGTAGTAGTAGTAGCAGCAGTAGTAGTAGTAGTAGTAGTAGTAGTAGTAGTAGTAGTGGTAGTAGCAGTAGTAGTAATACTAGTACTAGTACTAGTACTGTGTGTGTGGAAAAGAAGTACGATATCCGACCAAGAATGTGCAGTCAATCTTGCTAGTCTTGGTCTGCAAGATCTTTTGGAGATTCTTGGGAAGGAGGGCAAAATTGCAGCAAGCTTGCTTGGCCCGGAACGGGGTGGCAAGATTTCACGGCACAATCTTGCAATCTTGCTGTAGTATTACCGGGGGGGCGGGGACCGCAATCTTGAAATCTTGCACCGATCGGACCACTTGTACCGCTTGTGCCAAATGAGCTACTTGGGCCAACGGCACCATTTCTTTTCGTGAGATGATGCAAACGGCCAAAGTGGTTCAAGCGCCGCAAGTGGTTCAAGTGGTGCAAGGATGCAAGAGTTCAAGATTCGCGCCTCCCACCCTCCTGCACACCAGCAAGATTGCAGGATTGCAACATGAGCAAACTGACCTGCAATTTTCCCACCAAGCCGGCAAGCAAGATAAAAAGATTAGCAAAATCTTGGCCCATTGGCGACCCTTCCGGGATTGGCAAGATTTGCAAAATAAGAAAAATGTGGCTCCAAACAGCGCGCTGCGTTTCCCAGCAGAAGTTAGCAGTAGCAGCAGTAGTAGTAGTAGCAGCAGTAGGAGTAGGAGTATGAGTAGGAGTAGGAGTAGTAGAAGGAGTAGGAGTAGGAGCAGGAGTAGTAGCAGTAGTAGGAGGAGGAGCAGCAGCAGAAACAGCATCGCCGTCGCCGTCGTCGTCGTTCTACCCAGTGGCATTCGTAGTGTTTTCTGGCCCTCCTGCATGGCTGAGTACACGAAGCAAGGAGATAGGTACAATGGTTCGGTGAATTAGACCTTCAATACGTGACAGAACCAGTTCTACTAGTGCTGCTTGTACTACTATAACACGACGAGTACCACCGGTTCTAGGTACGAGCGCTACTACTAGTGCAAGTGCGACGAATGTCACCGCTACTACTACTACTACTACTACTACTGCTACTACTACTACTACTACTACTACTACTACTACTACTACTACTACTACTACTACTACTGCTACTGCCACTGCCACTGCCACTGCTACTGCTACTGCTACTGCTACTGCTACTGCTACTGCTACTCCTACTACTCCTCTTGCTGCTGCTGTATGGCATACTGTTTTTTCCACAGCCCCGCTATTATTGACCTTGAAACATCTTGACAGGTTGCTGAATGGCAGGGTTGGCGACCTCAGCTCTCAAGGCAAATGCAAGTTGCATTTTCTGGGAGGCAGGGCCAGGCCAGAGTACATTTTCTTGGCGGGGAGGGTTTGAGTGGAGTTCCCGATCGCGGGCACGGCTCAGTACTCTTTGCTAGGGTTCTAGGAGGTGAGTAGCTGGTGCAAACGGTGCTGTTCTCTTTTGGCTTACATAGAGACAAGCCCCCGAAAGCCCCGGCCAGGTAAAACTCGGAGCTGCGTTGTGCCACTTGCTACTGACTCGGGACAGGTTGGAGTTTCCGAAAATAGGGGCACCTGTTTTTGGGGTCCTTACAATAAGGATCCTACTATTAGGGCATTCGGGGTACTATATTAGGGTCCCCTATTTTCGGAAACTCCCAGGTGCTGGCGGCAGAGGACGTTCATGATTCTGCGAGCGGCCAGAAGCATCGACGAGGCCACGCCGCTCCAGAGAGCCCCGAAGCCCTCTTGGACGAGGATAAAGCCCACCCTCAGCTCGGGCGCTTGAAATCTAAGCTTTAGGCTTTGTGGCTTCAGGGCTTGCGCAGTGCCAGAGTTGGTATATGGTGTCTTGAAACGTGGAAACGGATCTCAGGGTGTCTCGGCTTGGGGCCACTGCAGCCTCACTGGAAATTCGACGGTTGAGCGCTTTTGAAGTCACGAGACCTGCGAAGCCGCGTGATTCTCCCCAGTTCAATTGCTGGCTTTCTCCGGCTTATAGACTAAGAGTAAATGGTGTCTTGCAAACGACATCATCGGACCAAGAACTGGCACACCCGACAACTTGAGCCGGCGACATCGACTACCGGTGTAACTTCGATATGCTGTCAAACGCAATGAAGCCTTTTTGGCCTCAAGGCCGAGGTGCTCTTGCCAGAGGCCATCGCCAGTGGCACGCCCGATCTTCAGCCGGGTGGTGGCCTTCATGAATAGGTCTTAAGTTCTCAGACTTCCTTAACGAGGAGTTAAAGGCTTGCAGGCGTTAACTACCTAGTGGTCATGGCGGGCTGATTTTTGGGTGCAAGAGCTAGCTCAGTGTGTCACAGTTTGACATGCCAAGCGTTGTCGGCGCGATGTTGCTATGCATCCTCCTTTGAGAGGTTCAATCGGGCCACCAACAAAACGTGACAAGACTCCTTTTAGTGAGAACCCCAAAGAAACAGGATGAGTTATAAACACTACATGGCGGTTACAAACATGAATGTGGCCATAGTCACCGTGATCATCAATACAATCACGACCATGATCCGAAATCACATGCATCTTCCACTCTTGTTGGTGTCGAAGCGCCACCGGGTCATTTCACGCAAAGCTTCAATGGTCGCACCGGGTACTGGATCAAGTGTTAACTGTACCGTGACCCATGAGACTTCCTTTGGAATGTTGAGGCCCTGACCACCCAAAGGGGAGTGCTCAGCGCCACCTGCATCACAGCCGTGACGGCTCCAAGGTGGACCCCCGAGACAATGCAGGAGTCGGGCATCTACTACTGCCGCAGCAGGAGCTGCACTAGCAACCACCAAGATTTGGCTAGACGACGAAGCCTAGCGTGATAACACAACCGACATTACTACTGCAGGTGCTACGACGGCCTCGCGACTTAGCCAAAAGTTGACCAGTTCCGTCGACGAGACAGATCTGAAGGCCGAGACACTCCCAGCATGCCTGCCAGGCTTGCAGACACCAAGTCCTCTCTCACATCGATCTGTTTAGGGCATCCGATCCGTTTTGGCAATAGATCAACGACTCCCAGACGGTGATTTGCCCGAGAGCTCAAGGATATCGTTTCCGGTCGTCCAACTCAGTCCAAACTGACGCCTGGCAAACCAAACCGTACTGGTCTATCTAGGTCCGCGCTTATTCCTTTTCCCCCAATCTCTCAATACACGGTAATTTCTTCCTCTGGCCCACCCATACAGTCCGCCACGCTCGGCGGCAGCTGCCGCGACCGGAAGCGGGGCTTCATGTAGGTGTACGCGCCTCTTCGATGCCACCAACTGCTAGGATTCGTTCCAGACAAGACGTTCTACATACGCGTATGCACACATACATACGTGCATACCTACCTACCTATCGCACCGACCGGCTGTCCGACCGACCTACATACGGAATATGTACACTCGCACGTACATCAGGACATGCATACATGCATGCATTCCTTACATACTTTGACATGCATACATACATGCATACATGCGTGCATGCATACCGACAGACCTAGAAACCTGCCTACGTACCATACATTGACATACATTGAGATACGCTGCCATACACTGACACCCCAACGTACAGCGACCAACCAACCTACCTACCTACCTACACAGACATAAATACAGAGTAGTACATACAGTACATACTTTACAAACAACACATGCATGAAATGCATGAACCATGTAGTTGACCCACGCGTTATGCATATCTGACACATTCTGCAGACAGACAGTACGACACATTCAACAGTATACATACACTGCTTTCATATACGCAGAGTCTGCATAGATTAAACACACGATACTATTATACATACCTTCAGATTCAGCATTCTTCAGCATGTAAGTATTCTACTGCATTCCACTCCGTGCCATAGCATACCCAACCGCGCATGCTTGCAAGCAATATCGCACACATACACATTTACAAGCATGCTTCCGACAACTTACGTCTCCCAAACCTGCGAAGCCTGCAGCCGAGCTCCTTGAAGCGGCATCTAGTCTCTCATACATGACTGTCGCATGGTTAGGTGGGCTTGCCCGTGCGACTTGATCCGCCGCCCTTGCGTGCACTTACCACTCAAACTACCAGAGCAAGAAGCCAAACAACGATGTGAGGCTGTAGCTCTCAGGGTGGTCCTTCCGGAGGTCCCCTGATAAGGACAGATTGGTTAAGGTACCGTCTTTAAGGGATGCCTACGAAAGGAGGTATGGGGCCCTGTCTGTTCTCTTAAAACGCCAACCCTCAAGCTGAGGGGCTAAAGTACACGAAGTAGGAGAGGCCGGTGGCTTGAAGCTGGCTGCCCAAGCCTCCTCGGACGCCGGCTTCGGATTCCGGGGCGGCCACCCTAAACCTACACTGTGGCACACGATCTCTGTTGCGAGTGACAGTGTGATACGAAGCCTACTGTTGCTCTTGGTATTGCCACTCTGCGTTGAAGTCTGGTGAACCTTGTTAGTGTCTCTGCTGAATCTAGTTACGGGCTGAACAGCTTGTTGAGGCCAGCCCACAGAACTGGGCCATCAGCTGAAAGCCCACTAAGCATCTTGCAGCTGGCTCTCAGTAGGGTTCCGGTGCGTCGGGAGCCCACGGTAAAAAACCAAGCTTCGGAAGCAGTCGTCCTCCGAAAGCAGCATGTTGAGCAGGCCTTCGAGCGAAAGGGTGTCCATCACTGCATTCATGCATGGTCGGCACCCTGAAGCCTCAGCCTCATCATCCTCGTCATCTTGATGAACCTATCATAGCCACCGCCACCACCGTTACGACCATCGGCCGCGTCATGTTGATGATGATGTGATCATCATCATCATAATCGATTTCATCGCCGTTGGGCTGCCGTTGAGATCAGAATCTGCATCGGCCACAAAGGTCGTCGTCACCACCCCTGCTGCATCTTCTAGCAACATAAGATATCACAACAGCACTAGTGCGAGATTTGGGGATTTCGGACGACGTCGCGAGAGTTCCGTCTTGCGAAGGCAGTCTGCCTTGCTTACACAGCTGACTTAAGCTGGTCTTGCGGGCATTGCGCTGATTACAACTAAGTCACTAAAACTGAGAACAGAAAAGTACTAAGTCTACTGCTTACTTGCCGGCGTAGTTACTCCAAAAGATTCCATATTGTCAGCATTGGGTTAGTTTGTCTGAACTGTCAGCCCCGCAAAAGATGGCTTCAGTCGCGTGCAGGCATGCCTGTTGTTTATTTGCTGTTGCCATGGCTGCTGCTGAGATTGGGGTTTCTGACTCCAAGTTTTGTGGCTGAAGCTGAAGCCTTGGCAAGCGAAACCCTGGCCTCCATGGACACCTGCAGCTTGGGAGATGACTCCGATCTGGTCCAAGGGGTACCTCGAGTAACGCAATCCCTCAACGTATCGTTTCGGACATGCACGGTCTAGACTTCCAGTGGCTGCACGGCCGATCTAGGAGGGCGGAAGGCATGCCTTCTGGGTAAGGGTGTTACTGTTTTGCCGTTGGTGCTGTTTGCTGTTGGTCGGAAGGGGCGGGGAGGGGGGGGGTGTTCGACCAAAAGCAAAAAACACCCTGCAGCGACCGCAAACAAAGCAAAAGCACACGCACACACACACACACACACACACGCACCTGAAAAAGAAAAACACCCGGTCCATGCCTTCTGTGCTGGTTGGCTCAAAATATTGCCCGTACTTGTTCCAGAATTTCGCCACAAAAAGTGGCGAAGACTTCTCCCGAACGTCCCGTCTCTCTCCATTTTGTCGCTACAGCATAGTCTTCTGAAATTTCACCAGTGAATTCCTCAGTTTCAAGTGTCCATTTATTTGGTAGTAGTACAGTTTCCGTTGCATACAAGCCGGCCTTCTACTGGATTGCGAATGTTCGTGATGTGCACGCAAAAGCGACTGAGTCATTGCAACGAATTGTAACCAGTCGGCGCGAAACAACTAACCTACAGTAGACCAACTCACACGACTATAGCCGTCAAGTAGCTCCCGAAACTACAAATGACGGTTCTCTGCATACCTACACTATACTATTCTGCTATAACGATAGGAAGGGAGCCGACACTCCCTGAAGTCAAATGAACTCTCAAGGGCCACAAACTCTGTACAGCTCCAGAAGTTTCCACAGCCCCTACACTAAGCAGTGACCCTTCAGACCCCCCGAAACCCCCCCCTCCCCCGGGAAGCATCCCCGGAAGCTCTACCGAAGGACAGCAGCGCCGTTGAGGCGATCGAGGCAAGGAGGCCTGCTGCTGCAGTCTACTGGGTGGAATAATGTGTGCATTTTTTGCGTATTTTTTGGTATATTGCCACTTCCTAATGTATTATGATTGTTTTTTGCTGTTGTTCTTGTTTTTATCTTCATGCCAGCAAGGTTGCTATTGGTCATTATTGTTATTGGTATCACCATGGCTTTAATAGTATTAGCATTACCATGGTTTTGATTGAAGCTACTATAGTGTGCGGAGTCCGAAAGGCTTTTGCTTGGTTTCCTGCACATACACGCCGACTGTGAAGATGAAACATGAGGAACCGAGAAAGCACTGTTGTCGAACGTAGCTCTTAAAAGGACAATGCGACCATGGAAAGCTCAACCACACGAGTCTACCAGGTACTGTTAGTAGTAACAACGGGAAACACGACCTCAACATCGCACCAATCCCAAACCCTTCTATACCCTAGCTGGCTATGCGTACCACCGGCGGGACACAGGCTTTAGCTAGTTACTCTACCCGCACAAATTCGAGACATTTCCGGCATTGACTCCAGCATACGGTTGAGCTTGCGAGTTAGAGGAACCGCAGGCACCACAAAATCCTCATAGTGCCTGATCGCAATGAAACGAACCTTCAAGGTTACAGACACTAGCCTAAAGCACGGCAGCTCCACTACTCCAGGGGTTTTGCTATCGAACGGCAGGGTGTGTAGTGTCGCTGGTTTCAACCGTGTTTGCCGAGTGCCTGCAAGGCCATTCAGCAAGACAGGGTTGGCAGTGGCTGCAGGGTTAGCAGTGGCTGCCGTCATGGCGCAGACGTGTCAGCCGATGGAATGCGTCCAAGTAACCCTGCTGCTTTTGAAGCGGGTTGGTTGGGTAAAACCAAATCACAACAAATGATCCGAAGCTCTGCAAAAGGACGCAAGTTCTCGCTTCTTTTACCCAGGTAGAACAGCTTTGGGGCATTAACGGAATCTTTGCAGGTCTTCGGCTAAAGTTGTGGATCCGAGCCCCTGTGTTGCACTGACAGCCAAGGGCAGACAGATATGCAGAGCATCTGGAAGAGGCAGGAAGCAGACAGGTGCAGTCGGTGCAAATATGGGCAGGCCACCTGCGAATCCAGACGGCACAGTAACTTCTCTCTTTCATTCAGTATGGCAGGCAGCCCTGAACCTTATTCTGGAAGCGGTGGTGCTTGCTAGAGTCTGCTAGATTTTGCTCAAGATGCAATGGCTAGGACCGGATGCCCGCAAAAAGCCCATGGTTCTATGTGCTCAGCGCGGGCAGTCAGAATATAGGAAAGCCTGTGTCCAATGAAAGCAGGCAGTTGCAATAAGCCACCGGCCGGAATCTAAATTCAGCCACTGGCCCCCAACCCAAGCAAGACCGCTGTTGCCCCTTGATGTTCAAGCACATCTTTACGCCGGAAGTTGTCGTTGAAATGCTTCTAACTTCATGCCTTTCTCTTCTGTTTTGCTCAAGCCATCCTGCTGCGTATGGTACAGGGCTTACTACGTGGAGCTCATTGGCTCCGCTTCAAGGCCTCTACGCTCTAGGCTCATCACCCTCTAACACAACAAAGAGAGGACGTGGGGCTGAGAACTCGATCCGACCAGATCACTGGCAATCCAAAGCTTCAACGACCTTGAACGACGCTTAGAAGACCTGAGGAATTTAGAAGCATGAAGTGAAACCGTTTGAAACCCTAGCCAGCACTTCAGCACGCCACCGTCCTAACCTTGCAGCCTAAGCCGCCGCTCAAGTTCGCCTAGCAGCTGTAAACTCGCCGTCGCTGGCTCGAGCCAGCCCCGCAAGTGTGGAGCAGCTTGAGTAGCCAGGAGCTTTCCTGTCAACAGTAGGGGCCTTAATAATTAGAATAGGGCTTTGAGAGGTTCCTTAGTAGACTTACAGTATCATATACTGTACGATTGACTTCCAAAGTGACTTGCGCAAATGTTAGCCGTAGACTGAACCTTCGCCTCGGCTCTCCAAAAGTGAATTTCCCTATGAACTCTCGACCCGACGCAGCCTCGTGCGCCATAAATCCAAATTCGAAGAGCGAGTTCGAGGTGCCAATCCCTGCAGCCTCTGCGAGAAAAGATTGAGTTGTGGCCCCGCAGGGGGTGTGTTGAGAGCAGACACTGCAACTCGGGGTGGGTGGGTCGGGGGTGGGTCGCGGGTGGGGATCCGGCTCGAAAGCAAGCATGCTGCATGATCCCGGCTCTGCTAAACTGCCTGAAGAAATCCGTCTGACTTGCTTCAACATCAACAACTCCTCTGCTGGAAGGAAGACACCAGCCTTGGTTAGGGGTGGCAGCAACTCGTCCTGGATGCTGGGTGCTTCGGGAGTTGCAAGACGCTTGTATTCAGGGCTGAATGATACCCGATGTCGGCGACGGCTTTACAGCCATCAAGTCACTAAGCGGCGGCTCTCTCCGGATGTTTCAGCCATGTCGTCCCATCTACAGTGCACACGCAGCACAACCGAGGAGTTGTAGCACGATTTCCGTGGCTTTCGGTAAGCAAGAACTGCAAATCATGCAAGGGAGTCAGGAACTTGGGCGTTGGCAACAGTTCCTGGGAAAAGTCTGGACGGTTCCTCTACTGCAAACGTGAAGCATGCCTTGCATAATAGGTACGACACGCATCCTGGGAAAAGTCTGGGCGGTTGCTCAACTGCAAATGTGAAGCATGCCTTGCATAACAGGTACGACGCGCATCCTGGTGGGATGCTGCCGATATCCTGGTAATGACTCTGTCGAAATGCAACTTGAAGTTCGTGCGCACAATTTGAGCTGCTGACATAACATGAGAGTGGGGTGTCCTTGTCAATTTCTTCCTCCGTGAAGGCGGAGAGAAGTTCGTCAAACCTTCCAATAGATAGTGCACTTGAGCAATTGACGGTATGTCTGCCTCCCACCTAGGTCCTAGGTTGCAGCGACGGAAAAGAAGGCTTACTGTGACTCAAGATGAAGAAAATAGAAAGGTGCACAGTCACTGCCATGCAAATTTCCAGAAAATGGCCTGGCCCGAACGTGTTGCGGCGACGATAGCTCGCATGTTTGTTCATGTAAGAGCTGCAGCCAACAAATGGCGCAACCCAGATGCTTCATGAAATGGTTGCTAGCGTTTGCAAGCACACTGGCAGCTTAGTCAGTTCAATGGTTGCAAAAAAGTTTTAGCGTCTACAGCGCGGCAATCTCAGCCAAATAAATACCTGCAATCTGTCCCAGATGACCAGCCTCACATTGCCATGCACTTGGAGGATTTCCCCCACCTGGCTTCAAATTGAGAAGCTACCGTTTGTTTGTGGAGACTGCGCAGGCAGAGTCTTCGCTGCTTCCTTAGACAAGGCCTCTGCAACATGGACGTTTTACAAGGGTCCTGAGATATCGTGCATCATCAGGAACATTTGTCCCATCATCGATGACACTGTCGCTTTCGGACTGAAGGAAGAGTCATTATGTCTCCACACTGGGTCCACACTGGTTGCTCATCTGAGTACGGCTGATGAACCAAATGCCTCAGAGAGGAACAAACTCCGAAGGAATCTCCCAAGGTACCGGCCGAATTCACCACGCTGCTTCGCAGGTCAGACTGGAGCACTCGGCCCCTGGCTATGCTTTGGGGATTCCCTTTTAGGCTCGTTGTGTCGTCTACGTTCTCCTGCTGCCGCTTCACACAGTCATGTTAAAAGATGTTTACAGTTCCGCCGTGGATGGCTAGGTTGATTTCCAACAGCGCTCGGCAGGAGCAAAACCTAGCCTTTTGCGAAGCAAAACAGCTCGTGCTGTCGCAGAGTTGCAACTTCATGAGGAAAAAATTGTGGTACTGCAGTCTGACATCCCACAAAGCACGTCCTGTCACCTACCACCCCCACTACACGCCGACTGCATGTTTCAGGATGTCAGAATCAAGTGCAAAAGCAGGGTGCGCAATGGATTGTGCCAGGTCTTCGATGTTCCGTCTTCCCAAGCATCTCATCAACAGTCTTATCAAGCGTGACAAGAAAAGGGGACAACAGCCATCATCAGAGTAGCCCCTTCCTAAGCATCGAAACGACCATGGCAAAGGCTAAGGCACACATACTTCCCAAAAACAAGGCTACGCCGACGAACAGGAAACGAAAGACATTTTGCATTGCAGACACAATTGCCGAGCTGCTCTTCCTCTTCGTCACCATATGCCTTGCAAAAGAGGGTATGGTGCAGGCTGTAAGTTGCGGCACCAAACACCGCAACTGACCCCGCTTCGTCACATCCTCGACTCCCAGGCGAACACTAGCCAATTGCCCCTAGTAGTTTCAACTCGGCATTCTCGTTTCTGCAACCTAGATTTACTGGCATCCCCTCGAAGCATGCAGGTGGCTACGGCCAGTAGTATCAACAAGGGACGAAGGCGGCGAGGATAACGAGTGCTACCCTAACTACGTGCCACGAAGTCAAGTCACCACCGGCCTCGAAGAAGATAGCCTGCAGCCGCGACTTGAGATCCACAAACCTCCAGCACAGGACGGCTCGAAACCCAGCAGCCTCGTATCCTTTCATGCCCGTCTGATGCATGTGTTCAGGCTGTTCGGAATATGCAATGTTATGTTCTGATGAATTCCAAGGTGTCCACTCTCGCACGCGCTTAGGACAAGCATGATGCCACATTTCCACCGAACATTGCATGTAGCCACACAGCATTCAGACACCAAGCCTGGCTGCACCATTCCGGGGCACCTGCTGTCAAGGCTGTCGTCCATCCCTGAACATCAACACTTTCAGCCTGAAGGAACGCCCACACTTTCGGTGCTTCTTGCTCCAGCAGGCTGCCTAGCTACCCTTCCCGATGTGGCTCTGCAGGAGCCCGGCCAGATCACCAAGGAAGGCTGCAGCTGCCATGGCGCTGAAGTCCAGGATGCCTGCTCACATCTTGGAAGTTCCTCCCCTTTTTAAGTTCACCCGGGTGCCGAAATACCGACTTACTGACATGGGTTTGTGTAATAACACCGAAAAATATTACCTATCCCTGAATGTTGTTGTCGTTTTGTTTTCTTATTATTGTTTTCCCACGAAAGACGCGTTATCGTTTTGTTATTGCTGCATTTTCTTCTTATCGTATTTCATTTCCACGGAAAACCATCAAAACCAAACACGGACAAGTTAAGACTAAACTGAACAGCACAAGGTTATTATACAGTCCCACATGGCTTTGCGCCTCCCCTGCAACACACCTGATGTAACCAGTGTCGCCTGGACGAGTTACTCTCTGTCTCCATCGAGACCCTGGTCAAGCCGCTCGTTCTCTCGCTACCTTCGAGCTGGCAGCCGTCGCGGAGCTCCACTCTGTAACACTCTTGGCCACTGTATTTTCGCGACGGAACACTAAAACTCGCTTGAAATGCTCAAAGCTCTCCCGTAGGAACCTGTCCCCATGCAAGAATGGCTGCACTGACGTGGGCCTCAACCACCACCCTGCCTGCCTCCCGAACTGACGCCTTGCACACTCACTGTCGTAGCCGTCTTGCCAACCATGCAAGCAAGACCTCACCCTGCGCTTAGTAAAGCGTCTCCCCAACTCCCCAACAGATCCGGAACACAACCTCGCATACCTCGCGCACTCCCTGCCCACCCCCTTCACCATGTCTTTGTCCCCCTATCTGTAAACACCAAACCCGACTCTAAGCCGAAATCGATCGAATTCGCCAACCTGTACCGCGCACATCTGCCACGGCAAGCGCTGCCTCCGGCTTGGCTGTTCGTCTTCGTGAGCGCTTTGGCTTCGTTCAATGCAGAGCCGGGTGCCGAGCTCGGGCTTCCGGGGA